TGAACCTCTCATTCGTTCATTCTATGAAGGCATCCTTTTCAGCAGCGTTCTCTTTGGCACACCTCTCAACCATTTCCACTCGAGCTTGAAGATTGGAGAGCACCTCACGTAGGTCCGCCACGCCTAGTGTCTCTCTCTTATCATCTCCCTCTATCTCCTTAAGTCTCTCTTTGAAATCGATAAGGTGTTCCTCCGCCCTCACGAGTCGCTCCTCCAAGGTAACCAATACATCACGAGACTTCTCCCTTCCTTTCTTAGGTTGAGGAGGTAGAGTCTCATTCCTAATATCCCAAGCAACATCTCCATGCCGAGCTAGACATGCTCACACTTTGATAGAACTCGCTTTGATACCACTTGTCATGGACTTGGCCTTTCCCAAGCTCACGTACGACACTCGGCTCTCTTCTTCTTTAAGACAAACCAAGTCGGCGTTCCTCACACAAAGCTATTAAATAAGAAAGACACACACACAAAAGAGATATAAGAACTCTTTTTATTGCTTTCTAAAGCTTACAACTCTAAGATACACTCTCTTAGATTTCTAGATGTCTAGGTGTTTTGGCCAAGTGAAGGCCTCACCTATTTATAGCCTTCCACCTTCTCAATGGATGACTAGGATCCGTTTAATCTAATGGCTATAATTGTTTCTCTAGAAATATATTATTTAGATATTTACAAGGAGCAATCTAGATATTCATATGTTAGTATAGTGATGGACCTTCTAGAATTCTCTAGAACATGTCTAGATTCCTTTAGGTCATCCTAGAGGCTTCTCCATTACTCCATACTCTTCTAGCAGCTTTCGGACTTATCTAGTGTTCTCTAGAGCTTCTAGAAAAATCTCTCTTTAAGCGGAGCGTAACACTCGCGCAACCTTATCTTCTCTCTCTCTCTCTCTCTTCTCTCTCTTTTTCTCACTTATCTACACAGCGAGTCCTATCTCTTCTTCTTCCTCTTCTTTGTTTTTTCTCCTTCACTACCGTATTTCTTTCTTATTTTTTCTTTTCTCTCGCTTCGTATAACCCTATCTTATTCCTTTTTTTTCCTTGTGGGTAACCTTTCAATCCTTTTGTTTTATAATTTGTTGCCCATTTTTTGTGTATCTTTTAGAAACCTCGATTGGCTCTAATTTTTTATTAAAATTCTGAAATAGGTTACTGAAAATTGGTATTGAGATATGAATTAAAGATTAACCGCTCCGCATATGCCATTTCTAGTTTTTAGGCATGACTAGAGAGAACCGAGTTCGATATACTGGTTACTTATGGAGAGATAAGAGTAGAAATTTGCTTTGTAATTCGAAGTTAAAGTAATTCATTCTAAAAAATGCGCCAATCGGGACAACTATAAAAGTCATGCTTGTGCAATTTCGTAATTTTTATGTTTTTGATAAGTTCCTCTCGCTTTGCTAAGTCGGTTATTGTGCTTTATTAAGCTCGTTTCATTATGGTTGCGGATACACTAAATATTAGCATTGCTCAACAAACTCAAGCAAAATAGGAGCCCAAACACAAAGATCTTGATAGCTTTGTTGTAAAAATAATTTTTTCGGACAACTAAATTAAAAAGGCACAGTCGCTTAATGTTTTTTCCTCTCAGGAGTTGCTTGAACTAGTTGGCGGGCATTTTTTGGTACCTCTTTAGGTTGGTGTAATCAACATAGACAATTCCAAACCTTGAAGTGTAGCCTAATCCCCACTCAAAGTTGTCAAGCAATGACCACACGAAGTACCCAACTAAATTGGCTCCATCATAAGTCGCTTTCTTCGGTTGAGTCAAATAGGTTTTGTAGTAGGCGATTCTAGTGGTGTCATGCAACGCCTTCTTCGATAGAGTCAAATAGGTTAAAGTCTTTCAATGCTTGAACAACAATGAAGTCTCGTGTATTTGATATAAAACAACCCCACAAACCCAGCTCTGCAAAATCAAAAAATCCAAACTTTAACCAAAAACCCAATTCAAAAACTAAAGTTATGTAGATCCGAAACTTAAATTAGTTCCTCTTCTAAAAAAATCAAAGAGACTGAAATTTTTTTTTCATTTTCTTTTCTTCAAAATCGTTTTTTTTTTAATATGAAAATAATATAAAATTATTTCGGTGATTTTTTATTTTCTCACATGGCAAGAAAAATATTATCCGTCGTTCCATGTGGCAAGAAAAATTTGACCTATAGCTCAAGTGGCTTTTTTTTTTTTGTGCCAATGTCATTTTTAATCAAAAAATTAGCTAGAAAATAGTTAGGGGAACTACACTAAAAAAAATAAAAAATTGAATAATACCAAAAAAGATTAAATAAAAAAATGCAAAAACCATAGTAAAAAAAAACGTTTGATGCCATTAACGCCGAACCTTTTCTCTCAAACTCTATAAATTCCCGAAAATACTGCTTGCTTAAGAAATTCTATAATACATAACAACTAATTAGTGACATATATAGTAATTATTCTATGAATTCATTTTGCATTTCAGTATATTAATTTTGGATCTTTTCTCAATTAAATATATAAACTTTAATTTTTTTCGTTTTAATATATCAATTTATTTTTAATTTTTAATCAAGTATTTTCATCTAAATTACTGTCAATTGAAGACGTGGTAGTTAATTGAAAAGATAAAATGATGTTTTTGGCCTTATTTTTTCTTCTCAATCGTTAGCACAAATTTAATATAAGGGGTCCCATGTTCCATATCAAAACGTAAAAGCAAAAAATTCAAACTCTTGTCTCGGCTAAAATTGTTTTTGTAAATCATTCTCATTCTTCTCCAGCTTGTTTGCCTTCATCAAGGCATTGTAAGGTTGATCAAATCCTGCGATCTTTAGTAACAACGTTCCATGTAAGTGCCCCTAGATGAAGTCCGAAAAGCAGAAAGAGAAACTAAAGCCTCTAGAGCCATCATCTGAGAATTATAAAAGTCCTTTCTGTGCAGCGCTTCAATTAACGCCTCTACAGCTTCTTCCCTGTAAATGCTCATCTGTCGTGGCTCAGCCTGAAAAATTCAACCCATAGAAACCATGTTTAGACATCCGAGTTTTGCTGTGAAAGTAAATGAAAAATATGAAAGAATAAAAGCTAACTAGGAGATCAAGCTGAAGTAATGAAAATGCAGAGAAAAAGGCAGGGAAAAAAGGAAAGGCAAAGAAGGAGAAGGAGAGAAAGAAAGGAAAATGAAAATTAAACTTATAACAGACAACGAACAATTGATAAAACAAAAATAAGACCAAAAACATAATTTCATCTTTTCAGTTAACTACCATGTCATCAACCAACGGTAATTTAGATGGTAATTTAGATGAAAATACTTGATTGAATTTTTTTATAAAATTAATATATTAAAAAAAATTAAAATTTATATACTCAACTGAGAAAATGTTCTGAAAATACAATTATCCTATCTATTTATTATAGGTTTTTACATCCCCTCGATCCTTCCTTTCTCTTTTTGGTTTGTTTATAATTATTTCGTGAGGTAGAGGAGGAGGGGATTGTTATTACTTAACCTTTAGGTCTTAAGCAATTCTACACACACCTTATCCGTAATAGCAAGTTACAATCTACAGGACATGGATAGGACTATAGGAGTTTTGCTTTATGTATATATATTTCATTTTCTTCACACACACACATATATATTATTTTCTTTTCACATGTATTATTATTAGGTCAGACGTCTCTGTGGGCCTCTTATTCACATGTCCTGAAAGCGTGAAAAATCCCGTGGGAATACCAAGCCAAGCCAAAGGAAAAGGCAATAAAGAAAAGAACAGATTGCATGCATATGCATGTATGGGACAAGTGATGAAGCGAATCACAATACAATAAATCTTATTGACTTGCAGGCTCTTTGTCTTCGAACTCCGTTTAGCAGACAAAGTTTCGTGTCTTCTCTTTCATTCGGCGGACCAACTTGGTGTTTCTTTTTTCCTTATAGTACCAACCTGCGTTTTGTTAGCTTCACAAATTGCAAAATTTTATCTTTTTTTGCCTATATTGGCTTTTAATGAACAATCATCGATGCGAATTAGAACAAAAGGACGGTAATTTTCTTCACACACACACATATATAATTAAATATTGCATGGAAGGATTGAAACTGCCAAAACTCCACCATAAGTTATATATTATTTATTTTTTTATTAAAATATACACACAGTCATCCGTAGATCATGCTGTCGGAGAGTCAAATTTTCATAATTTTACTTTATAAAAAGCAGTTAGAGTATCTTACAGATTAGTTCTTCTAGTTTTGCAAAATGAATTAAACAATCTCTTTAGTTTTAAAAATCTATTAATTAGTGTTTTTCATCTATTTCATGTTATTTTTCATTTTAAAAATAGAAAAAGAAAAAAAAATATGAAAAGATTGATGAAAAAATAAAATTTTTTTATACAAAATAATATTAAATTAAGCATAGTTAACAATGATCAAAGTACTAATTAATTATTTTTTAAAACTAGAATGACTATTTAATTCATTTTAAAAAAAGTAGAGGGACTAATTTATTATTTACTCAAAGCAATTAGCGAAACGATATATAATGTACAAAAGCGCTATAAGCTTCATCTTCATCTTGATGTTTTTCAGTGAATTAGTTTTTTTTTTTTTTGGTAGAACTAATCATTCTCTTTAATTTGACACAAACCCTATTTATGTTGATTTTTGCTAAGTAGATATTGGATTTTTAAAATTTTTTATTTATATGACATGAAAAGCACTTTCTATTGCATGACACCTTTCACTGTCAATTCTATTCTCAGCTACAAGTCATAGTGAAAACCAACGATACTGTCAAATGGAGCATAAATTACTGCAATAGTTATCAGCCGTGATGCTCCTTGAGGGTATCATGAAATTATTCTATGAAATATATATACACACACACACACACACTCTCTATGTGTGTGTGTTTTATCTTGCCTACTGTCATCGCATATCCTCATAGCATTTCTCACTGTCAGACAAACACAAGTTTTTTGGTTACATTCAATGCAAAGCAGCAATGCCGCAGCTCTGTGATGTTGCAATTCATGTTAATGGTCAACAGACTTTCTTTCTAAATCAGGTAATGCACACGAAACTTGGTTAAGTAACTGCTTGTTTCCTTTCTTCTCTGAAACTTTCTAGGCAAGATTTTCTGATTGAACTAGTTCTGATAGCTCATACTTCAATTTCTTGCAGAAAATTCTATCAGCATATTCAGGAAAGCTAAAGAAGATCATCAGGCAAGAAAAGCGAAAATCCCAGATTAAGAATTCAAGTATTGAAATTGATGATTTCCCTGGAGGCCCAGATGGATTTGAGCTGGTTTCAAGATTCTGTTACAATCATGGCAAAATCAAAATCACAGTTTCAAACGTGGTACTTCTCCATTGCTGTGCAGTCTTTCTTGGCATGACTGAGAATGTCTCCACGAGCAATCTCTTGAAACAGACACAGACATTTCTTGATGGAATGATTTACTGGTCTTGGCACGATATAATTGCCAGTCTCAAAAGCAGTGAATCATTCTTTACATATGCAGATTCATCTGGAATTGCAGAAAAGCTCATTTTTTCACTATTGGCGAAGATTGCACAGAATTCAGATTTTGCAACTCTCATTGCTTCCTCTTCTTCCTCTTCATCATCTCCTGAAACTGCGTCTAGATTCAGGTTTTCTTCCTCAGCTAAAACCACTCCTGAGTCAACTAAGCCAGGTTCATCAAGCAAACAGTGGTGGTTTGATGATTTGAACATATTACCTCCAATGATTATTGAAAAGGTAATAACCAATATGGGGGCTTATGGAACTGATAACAATAGCTTAATCCTTACAAGGTTCCTACTCCATTACCTGAAAACTGCCGTACTTCAGTGCAAAGGTGGGGCAAAAAGTACTGCTTCGTATTCAAGATCAGACTATGCTGGTATTGCAGACACAGCTGTCCATGGAGTGATTTTTGCGAGCAGAAGTTCATTTTCTTGCAGAGGCCTGTTTTCAGTATTGAGGATTGTGTCTGGGTTTGGTCCGGGCAAAGATTGCCGAGCCAAGCTGGAGAGATTGATTGGTGGAATGCTTGACCAAGCAACGTTGGATGACTTGCTGGTCTCTGGCCATGATGGGGGCGTTTTTGATGTTAATCTGGTAATAAGATTGATGAGAATATTTGTTACTATTGATTTGCTGTCCTCACAGAAGTTGATGAAGGTTGGCAGATTGATTGACAAGTACTTGTGTGAAATATCGCCTGATCAAAACCTTAAGACCTCAAAATTTCTGGGAGTTGCAGAAAGTTTACCCGATTCTGCAAGAGATTGCTATGATGGGGTCTACAAAGCCATTGATATCTATCTTGAGGTAAGTACAGCAAACCCTTTTTTCCTTTTTCTAATCCATGATGACCAAATAATTGATGGTTCTGGATAAAAAGGATAAAAATAAGAGTGAAACAAGAAAGACAAATTAAACAGATAAGACAAAATCGCCCAATAATCTTTAGTTTTTTTCTTCATCGGTTTAATTTAATTAGTCCTTTTAGTTTTGTAAAATGAATTAAATAATGTCTAAATGAACTAAGGCGATATCACTGCTAGACTGGATGCAGTGAAACTATACATGCCATGAAAGAAGCATCTTAATTACCTACACGAAACCTAACTAACTAGAAAGAATATTTCAACAGACTCTACGTACTATTTCTGTGAATAAATTTCTAACCAGTGTCTAAATGCGTTCTTTTCCATAATAAAGGTGGTTTGTCACATACGGACCTATGGCTGTCCAATCCAGCATTAATGGATCATAGCTTATTTATGGTCCAGCCAATCACATATAAGTTTGTGCATGTTCTTCTTACCTGTAAATCTTTTGTTTCTTTTTCCATTTCAAGTCCGTGTAACTCACGGCAACTAATTCTGCCGCCAATAAAGTCGTTTGTCATGTACGTATACAGACATTGCAACTTCAAAATTCTTCAAATAATACCTTGGCAACCAACAACCTAATCTTTTGATTCTCCAAGGGCCATGCTATATATTCCTAGTCTAATGTTTGGGAAAGTAGAAATGTTTGCCTGGTAGGTTATGGACGGCAAAGTCTTTACCTTATGCCAAACTGATAAAATTGAGGTCGAATGTCACTTGAATCTGATATATATGGTTTAGTAGTTTGCTAGCTTGTTCGTTTACTTCAAAGCTATATCGGCTAACAAAATAATCCCACAAACAAGAGAATTTGTTTTTAACATTAGTCATGCTAGTTGTCCTGAAAGTTTCTTTTCTAAAATATCCTCATCCATTTAATCAGTGAATCACCCCACAAATCTAATGGTTGAGAGTATTCTTCGAAAATTAATTTATGGGGCAACTAGACTTGTCTAAAACTAATATATAAAGGTATTGTGTATAATATAACCAGTAACCACCGCACTTAACTTATATGACATGGTTTTTACTCTTGTAAGAAATAAGAATTCCTGAGTTGGAGTCTTAAAAGCAACCAAATTTTCCAAGTAAAATAGTTTGGAGTGAAATATGAGCAAAATATATAGTTAAAAAGTTCATTAAATAGATATTGATTTATGATGAACCCTTAAATCAGCGGGATCTAATCGTAGAAGTACAATTGTCGATCTTTAATGCATTCTATTTGTGGGAATTGAATTTGCAGTCTCACTCAACACTTTCATTTGAGGAGCGGTCAAGATTATGCAGATGCCTCAACTACAGGAAGATGAGCCTTGAAGCATGCAAAGACCTTGCCAAGAATCCAAGAATCCCTCCTAATATTGCAGTTGAAGCACTCAAGTTACAACATTCTAAATTACCAAAACATGAGTACTCTGTCTCTGTCAAAGACATCGAGGGTCCTAGCACGAGCAGTTCCTCGCACATGGTCTTGTACGATGATAATGTTGAGAGCCTTTCACAAGAGAACCAAAACATGAGAATGAACATCCAAAGGATGCAATGGAGGGTGATAGAGTTGGAGAGTGCATGTAGGGAGATGAAGGGTCGGATGTCAAAGTTGGTGGTTAGGCATGATGTCAATGACATGAGCATTACTACCCCTTGTAATTACAGTAGATCATCTTTGCCAAGACTCTGTTAAACCTCTCTTTTCTTTCCAAAAAAAAAAATATATATTTTGTCCTTTGTGTTTATCTGGTGAAAGACCAAGGATACATGTATATCATGCACGGATATCAATTAAAGATTCTAATTACAGTCTGATTTCATGTTTTGATAAAATCTAAAATTGGGGGATTTATTTTTCAGTTATTATAGTAAACTTGTGTATGATTAATGCAATTGAGATTTCTACGTAGCTGCAGTTTTTTACACTGCAGGTTTTTGAATCACATTGCCAAGCAGACTAGTAGTCCTGTCATCAAGTTATACTTGACTAAACTTTATGAAAGGAAGTTGCAAGAAATACCATAAAACTTAAGAGAAGCTGGAAAATTGTTTTGTGTTCGATTAGTTGAGTTCTTGCGTTCAGATTGCGATGCCCGGATTTTGTCCCTTCTTTTGCTTTTATTTTTATTTTTTTGGATTCAGGGTGCCTGGAGTTCTATTAAGCTGTTAAGTTACCCTTTAATTGATTTTGGGTCATGCTCAGGTCTAGTTTTACCAGGAGATTCATAAATTTTACACACGAATTTCTTGAATTCAGGTTTCTCAACTCGGAAACTGACAAATGTCTTCATTGATTTTCTTGTTTGATAAGATGTGGAGAATGCAGCATTCCAGCATTGATTCGCTCTTGGATGTCCTTATTGATACATTCTCTGGACAGTATTGTCGCAGCATGACCAATTTTATAATTAAAGATTTCATTTCTTTAACTTTAGGTAATGGGAATACAATCAGAAATCTCTACTGGCAGTCTGCGGCAGTGGCACTTTGATGGTTTTCAAAACAGCTGGCCTAACAAGTTCTTGGGTGGTGGTTTTTATTTATCTTTGGTTATGGTTTGTTGCCATTTACCTCAGCATACTGCGCGCGCGCGCGCGCATATATATATATAGAAACGAAGACCATCACCGTCAGGATCAGTAATCCCGTGCAATTCAGGGATTAAGCAACTAGTACCAAAGTAGAAAACAGAGCACCTAATTAAGATTGTCCTAAAGTTGGGAGTTTTAACTTCAGACTTATGCTCTGGTCTCATGTGACATGAAAATTACCAACTTGGATCATGACAACTGGTCACTCTCTCGTCTCTAGTCTCTATCAAACGAGAGAGAGAGAGAGAGAAAAACTCTCTCTAATCTCTAGTTTATTTTATTGGCTAATCGCTTGACTTCTCTTTGAACTTTATTGATTTTATCATTGATGTCCTTAGTGATTGCTATTGTAGATGAGGGCATAATTTCTTTCAATTGTTGAGGCACAAATTTCATGTGGATCTCTATGATTGCAGGGTTGATCTACTTAATTTTAAGGAATAGACTTGACTGTAAAGATGGTTTTTTTTTTCCCTTAATTTCTTAAGTTCTAATCTTGAGTCACTATTTAAAAACTTTTACTCTCATAAACACAATGCATCATATCGTAAAAGAGTGTCTTAGAAATGAGACCTAGAGGGTGCTTGACATGAGGATATCTTATATTTTTCGGACCAAACAATGTTAGATGCCAAGGATATTTATGTCTGTTCTGTCAAAAAAAAAAAAAAAAAAACATTAAAGTGCCAAGACATTTAAAATGTCTTAGGACATCAAACATCCTCACTTAATGAAAAAAAATTGACAAAAATACTTGACCGATAATTTTAAAAAAGTCAATAAACTCAAAAAAAAAAAAAAATCATATACTTAATTGAAAAAAATCAAGAAATGATATGCTTATAGTGCAAATTATTTCATTTTAAAAAGTATATTATGTTGCGAAATTGGTTTTAAATGTTAGTAATATATTATATATTTGTTTATGTGTATAACTATTTAGAAAAAATATAATATTATGCTGATAAATTGATTTTAAATATAATTAATATACGATTTATGTGTTTATGTGCATAATTATTTTCTTAAAAAAATCATGGTGATAAATTAGATATTTTAAGTCCTCAAGGTAAAATAGAAGATTAATTTAAATTCCTCATAAATTTTTATGAATAAACCAAACACAATAAAGATATATTATCAAAAAAAAAAATTTAGTTTCAACGAAATACAAATATCACATTCCCAACTATCATATTTTCAAAACTTATATTTTTGAATGATATATAAGAACTCACATATCAAATATTTTTTTAATTTCAAAACATAGGAACTGACTCGAAAATGCTTCAGGCTGTTACAAATAAAGAAGAATGTATCTTTTAGCATAGATATGAGAAGTTCCGTTTGATTTTTTTTACTTTATGTGTTTTTTTCATTTTTGGATTAACTTGTATATCAATTGAGATTAATTTTTTTTTCCCTCCAACGATTTTAAACATATACTGTCCATATTGTCTTGGTGCATCTAAAAAAATCTTACTAATTTTTCTAGACTGATCCTGGCAAAATTTAATAAGGTTTCACGCACACATACCCAACATGTCAAAAATGGGACGCAGCTGCACGAACGTGCAAGGAAGCTTATGCAATGTCATGCTCCAATTGAAGCCTAGAGAGTACCTTGTTAATATCCGACTCTTACGGGGTTAAAGCAAATGAATTGATCTTGGAATTGTCGGATAACAGCGTTTAATCATAGACATACAACGTTGACCAAAAGCTTTTGAACCACTCGGCGTGTAGAGTTGAATGCCTGGAAAATTCTTTTGCGCCTGAAGTCAGTCTTTGTAATATACACCATCGAATTTTAGTTTGTTCCAGAATTGGTCAGATAGATCTTCGAAGGCATTATATGTATAATCGCCATTTTTTCTCTAATGGAAATTTAGATAGTCGATCGACATCTTCGAAGTGATTCCCAATTCTACACAGATAAATAAAATTGCCAACACCAAAATAGCATTCGATCGGGAAAAATAAATAAATAGTGAAGCAAATAAATTCGGTAAATTATCATCTTAAAAATAAGTTAGGGGGAGCCAAAGTACGTGACCGAAGCATCTAGAAGCCAATAGAAAAAGGTGCAACAAGCCACACACCTTTTTTCATCGACTTATCCTAGCAGACTAACACAAGAACAAAATAAAAACGAAAATGACAAAAACGCCCCAAGGGGGTCACGAAAATCACCTGTACCCCCCACCCAAATAACGTGTCTGATCCGACAAGAGATACGGAAGCAACATCTGCCTAGTCCTTCTGCTCCCCATTCCTTCCCGTGTCCGAAAACTCAATTACCCAAATTAACCCCTTACCTATCCCAACTACCCATCCTACCCTTCCCACGCTTTGCCAATAATCCAAACAAATCACAGAGCACGACAACCATTACTTAAAAATTAAAAAAAAATAACAAATTCACAAAATCCTCGGGACAAGACTGTAAATGCAATATTAAAACTTGTAGATCATGATTATATCATATTATTTATTCTATGGTCTGGATCAATCTTTTCTGCACCGCGTCCAAAAGTAAAAGGAGCGTGCGACTTTTCCATCTAGCCTCCACCACTCCACGCCCATCACAGGTAGGCTCCTACCTGCGCAGCTTCCTCTCTTCTTTTCTCTCTTTTTCATCTATATATATATATATATATATATATATATAAAATTCCAGCCAGGATTTCTCTCTGATTTGATACACTTAATTTGTGTTTATTTCTTTTCATTTCCCATCTACCTCAACAATAACAATATGTTTCTAACAGAGACTTCAAATTTCCCTTCCTTCTTCGATCCTTTTAACAGGAAGAACAAGAAAGATGTAGCCAAGAAATTCGACCTTATATCTAACTCCTTCGACGAATCCCTCCTTCGTCGTCTCAAAACTTTAACTAACTCCCTCTCTTCATCTCCACCGTCTGTTGCTATCAATTTCTCCTGGCTTTCTTCAGTCGTTGATTTTCTTTCCTTCGCACATAACGAAGCCATAACTCTGCTTTCCACTCTCAAGCTCGACAGTTCTTTGAATTTTTACTTGGATAACAGTGTCAAGCTCCTCGATCTCTGCAACTCGATTAGTTCAGAGATCGAACGCTTACGCCACCGCCGACTTGTCATAAGTTTTGCATATCACGTTCTTAACGACAACAGTGAAGATCCAGAGAAGCTGAGAAGAGCTAGGGCTTCATTATCTGATTGGGTAACTAATTTCAAGGGATCCAGATTGGATAGCAACAACAATTTGGAGGATTTAGTGAGAGATCTAGCTTTGAGGCTTAAGGAGGTTCCACGTGGAAAGATGTCAGCCGATGTAAGGGTTGTCCGCCGCACGATCTACGCCGTCGGGTTGGCAACGGCGTTGGTTGCTGGAGTTGTGCTCGCGGCGTTACGTGGATCCACAGGGTTAGGTGTTGCCGTTAGAGCGCCGCCCGAGTTTTTATGGGCTGACTCTTTCAATTTTATCAGCGCAGCGATTTCAGCCGAGTGGACTAGGCCAGAAAAGAAGAGGCATTTGCTCAAGGAGCTTGATGATGTGGATGTACGTATTAAGGAATTAAGTGCTGTTCTGGACGACGGTAGCGGAAAAAACGGAGAAAGGTTAAACGGTGTCGTTAGAGAGCTAGAGAGGGTGACGGAGACGTTAGGAGGGGGATTGGAGAGGTTGAGTAACGGCGTGAATGAAGTGTTCAATACGGTTTTGAGTACTAGAAAGGGGATGTTGGAGACGATGAGGGTGGGTCAACAGAAGGCCCAGACAAAGTGACGCTAATAAAGCTGCAAGTAACCCACAAGATTGATAATACAAAGAAACAAAGAAAAGTAAAAAGCGTAGCATCTCACAATCATTACGAGCGCGATCAGTACTCTCAAATAATAACATACGTAAGCATACGGAAGATAACCGATATCCTATGTTTTCATATCTTATGATTTTAGGAAGTTTTCAAACAGAAGATAAAAGTCATTATGTACCAAGCAATGTCTTGTAAATGTACCCAAATGTGTACTTACCAATTGGAATGGATCATTACCAAGCAAAGTTTTTAACAAAAGGTGCGATGCCTCTTGTTATTTAATATACTATGTTTTTACCTTCTCCAATTTTTTATTTTCTATAAATTTCTTATATATATATATATATATAATTGATGTTCCTATCACCCTTTTAAGATTAAATTTCTACTCAATTCGCACTATAAAATGTTCTATTTTTTCTTCTTTTCTTATTAGTTTAAGCGGACAAAACTTACCGCGGATATAGAATTTACTTGTTGAGAGAAGGCGAAACTTAAAAAATTAACTTCTTGAAGCAATGTGGAGACGACATTGGTTTCTCTTCTTCGTCATCTTGCTTTCTGAAGAAAGCAAGCTCCCACCCTCTTCTAAAATATCGTTCATCAGAAAAAAAGCAGAGGCAACATGTAGCTAGCAAATTGTTTGTGAAGATGCTTTCATGTACGAGGGTGCGTGACATAAGAAACAGAGGAAAAAAGGAAACTTAGGCAAAAGAAATAAACTTTCCTCTCACAATTGGGGAACAAAAAAGGAAACCAAAAACATATGATATGTTAATAAAAATCATTCTCCTCGTGTTACAAAGAAACGGGCCGTGTTATCCTCAATCTTCCTCTATTTACAAGCTGCTAACTGGAACTCTCGGCTGCAAATAACCTACTTCTATTCTAGCTAAATATTCAGATACAATAACTTACAAGAAAAGATATCATTTCCTTCTTGGCATCAACAGGACAAGATCTATCACTAGTTGAGCCCTATAGAGATGGTAAGAGTGTACATGTGGAAAATTTATGTCTATTAGCTGCTGTTTTGAATTGGCTGTGAAGCACATCTGTCTTCGATGGCTTCGGAGTTCAAAATTTTTCTAAGAGAGCGATATTGTAGACGAACATTCTCACCACTTCCAATTATCTTAAGCAAGTACCTGAAAGAAAGAAAAGAAAATATTTGTGCACTTTGATCTAAAATTCAAATTAACCCATGATTCTCTTTAATATGCATACAGTGTTTCCTTTAACAATACTGTGATTATCAGAAGGTAAGTACTGTTTAACTGGTCTAGAAAGCCATCTCAACTCACCAGCCATTGAGACATTGTGAAGTGATGATTGCTTCCTTTCCAACAAATTTTTCTGGTGTCCTCCTATTTCCCTGCATGGTTCAACACATCACTCAAATTTACATGCATTAAAGGGACAACAGCCATAAACAGAATACAGGGCAAGAGATTGCTAAAATCTAACCTTAATTACTACTTTCTCATTTACAGCAAAAGGATACTGCACTCCTCTATGCAAAGCATCATCAGCAGCAATATCTCCATTCTCCTAAGGACAAATAAATAATCAGTTAAAATGCATAAGTTTGAAATTACCTCTCTTCTTAATGCATAACAGAATGCACCACTTACAGTAAAAATAAATTTGGCAATACATTACTACTCTAATCAAAAGATTATATGCTGATAATTGCATCTTAACAGCCTCTGATAAGTAATTTCGAGGTCACAACATTGGGAGATAAACAAATTCTAACAATTCCGATGAAAAACAAAACTGTAAACAGCTCCAAAAAAAAAAAAAATGATTTCTATAATCACAAAGGAGAAACCGTCTTCCCACATACCAGCTACCTTTCCAGCATGCTGATTTTGGAAACAAAAATTTACAGTGAGTATTTATCATGGAAAACACCAAATACGCAGAATCCCTTTTGAAATGCAACACCCTTGAAAAGTTGCCAATGTTCCATAACAGTTGAGAGAAAATCTACCAAACTGAGGTTCTTCACCCCAATTCCTAATGCTTCATTTGTGGTATCAGTCATCATTTGATTGCTATGATTTCAAATCATTAAAAAAAAATAGTCAAGTAGTTTTGATCACTGAAAGCACCTACACAAGTCAGAACAGAACCCTTTCAAAAATAGAAAACTAATGGAAGAGTCATCAATGTTCCATAACAGTAGAGGCAAAACATGCCAAAATCAAAATTCTTCACACCAATTCTTAATGCCTCATTCATGCTGTCAGTCACCATTAGATTATTATGGATACTGTCTACAGAGCCTATGCCCATTTTGAAATTTATACTATTTTTTAAAAAAAATCATGCACCTAAATTCTGTTTGCCTTGCACCCCCCATATCCAATTTCAACATAAGTAGTTGATGGTTTGATATCTTTGCATGCTTGTAAGAGTGCATTTACAAGAAACTAGATAATAAAACTATCAGGCATTGATTTGAAGCATACCCTGTGTGGTCTCTTCATGGAATCTGTGTGATCACCCATTTCTTTGCGACGTTTCCGCAGAGCTGCATTATGAAATAGCCTTCGATCATCTTCATTCTTTACAGCTGCAGCTGCAGCTCTAAGAGCTACATACAAGTTAAATATAAGAACAAAAGCAATAAGATACAGTTAAAAGGTTCAAAAAAAGGAATTGGTACCTAGCAAGACCTGACTTCAACAGGCTGTGTGTGTGTGTTGTGCGTGAAAGAAAGAGAGCATAAACAAGATAAAATACTCAAAAATCAAGTTTGAACCTACCATAGTTAGGAACCAAAGACCCAGCCTCAATTTCTGCATTGCAAAGTGTACATCTCAACTGTGATGCAAACAACAACCAGAGTTATGATTCTCGTCTCCTATATAGACTAGACAAATCTATTGTACAAAAGCAGCAGACCAGTAGATCTCATAAGAATATATATCAGTGTGTCACATCACAGGGTAGCAGTCCTTGAATAACAGAAGAAGTAAACAGACTATAAACTTCTGTTTTTGTGGCTATGCAGTAGAAGCAATGAACACTAGCTGAAACATTTGATGAAGCATCATTTGGAATCTAGGCAGGATGAGGATTGTAATTTTTTCTATTTCTCAGGGTATAATGACAGACCAAGAGAAAGGAGTTCACTATGACAGTCCAAGTTTGCCACTTACTATTCATGTTGTGTCAGAAAATATATGAATGAAGCTCTTGAAACTCCCTTGCATGTATTGACACAAGATCCAATATAAAATCATTGAGCATCTAGTGTTTTTTACCATCAAACATATTCTTCTTAAGCTGTTATGAAAATTAATTCTAATTTCTGTAAAAAATGGCAGATAATCCTACTTACCAGGTCGAGGACTCTTCTCAGCATGAGACCACCAAATGAATGTCCACAGGAAACAACCACAGCATCTTCCAGGAATGCACCTCTAATGCATCATCACATAAGTGGGCAGAAAAGAAAAGACCCATTCAGTATTCACATAGCACACATGAATATAGCAGCCAATTTTTGTCTTTATAAACAAGGGAGGTAAAGCAACTTATGAGCAAGAAGAGCAATGAATCTAGAAGCGATTTTATCATAATCACAGATCAGAAAGTGATGTAGCCAAATAGAAAGAACTCTTTGAATTACCTTATTTTGATTTTTAATACTAAATATTCTTGTTTTCTTGGAAATTTAGCCTATTTAGTACTTTGTCCTGCTCAGGAATTTAATGCTGCTTAGGTATTAAGGCTTATTTAGGAAATTAGGATAACAACAGAGAGTTTTCTACTATTTATGGTTTCCTTTTTCAATTTGGAATTCGATTACCTATTCAGTTCAGAACGATTAGGGCTTCTGGTGCCTACAATAGTTCTATGTAATAGATAGGATTTGAATGATCGAATTATGAGTATATTAGTTTAGTTTGAGCTGCAGCCTAAGAGTGTTTCCTTCTCTTTTCTCTAAGAGTTATTCTTCTATTTCTTTTCCTTTTTTTTTTCTTTTTGGCTATTGGTAACCTCGGTTACTATTCACATCTACAGTAGAAACACCAATTTCCTTCTACAATCCTTAATTTTCCAGACCTCTATGAATCCTTTTTGAGGCTTAAAGCCAAAGTTTTCCTACATCACAATTATAGACACAATGATTCAGCCTTACATTTTTTTTTTTTTTATGACAGAGGAACGCAGAATTCTGCTGAGCGCACCAAGAGATTAGGTTTTTTAACAACTCAATGCATATGAAGTTGGCCCTTAACTACTTCTAGGAATACTCTCATGATGTATATGTACATGGGTAAACCAGCAGAACTGCAAACTTCTCACTACATGAGTGAAAAGGAGACATTGCAGAGATGATATATAGACAAAAGATTCATCACTCATCTTTTCCACCACTGTGGTAACCTTAAGTCTACTTAGACACTACCTACTAAGTGTCTTAGTTGCAGCGACATATAACCATACAAATTCCATGGCATGTGAAGTTGGTTATTGTGTGTGATCCTAGGAATAATTTCATGCAGTGTTTTTGCTTTTCGAACTTTATGTATGCACAGGAACACCACCTGAGAGGTTGGTTCTGAAAATAACAGAAAGGAACTAGTATACACATTTCTTTCTCGTGTTGTGCATATATGTTCACAAAACATTGCCACTTTGTATTGGTAACAGATGAAGTAGGGATTACAAATATTTTAACCGAATGAATTTAACAATTTAAGCCACTGTAAAAAAGGTCTGATCCTAGGAATAGTTTCATGCTACGTATTTTCTTTTATTACTGAGTTATTCTTGAACTTTATATATGCACGAAAAACACCAGTAGAGAAGTTGGTTGTGAAAAAAGCAGAAAGAAACTAGTATGCAGATTTCTTTCTCGTGTTGTGCATATATGTTCATAAAAAATTGCCACACGGTATTGGTAACAGTATGAAGTAGGGATTACAAATATTTTAACCAAATGAATCTAACAATATAAGCCACCGCAAAAAAGGTGCCAATATTACAAAGAATTAGGATAACCTACTTGATTCCAAGATTTGAGACTGTAACCCAATCATTGAGACCAAAAGGCATAATGAAAAAACAGAAGCAAAGACAGAAGAACTCACGATAAGGGATCTGAGAGAACACTTCTTAGTGATGGTTCTTTGTTCAAATCATTTCGAGCAACCTGTAAATCCAAAATTTAATATGGATCTCATATGACATATTTACAATAAAAAGTTTCAGTGGATCAGCAAACAATAAAGATAAAGCATTAAAATTGACAATGAAAAAAGACAGTCTCGACACACATGAATAAAGAATAAGGACAGACAAAAAAGCATATAATGATCTCATATTCTTTCACAATGTGTATCTTAAGAGTATCACCTCATTTCAGCTAATTTTTCAATATTTTTTTTCCTCCAGATGTCAAAGTCAAAAAGTAGAAGTTTCGCAAACCAATGAAAAAATCACAGAATAGGAACTTGATCAATTACAACATAAGTTACATAGTTGTTGCTTAAGAGGGGTCTTTGAGATCCAATGTCAGCAGAGCAAATTCTGTTTGGTGAAGGAAACAGACTGAAAACTGGACGGATAACATAGGGGTGTTATAAACAGATTAACTTATCTACATCAGCACAACCTACTCTTAACAACCTTAAAACGAGAACAGGGAAAAAAGGAGAGGCCACAAAGCACAACAAACAAAGGACAAAATCTAATATACGAAGGTTCGGTTAGTGTACATTCTTTTTTCTCTTACACTTATTACAGGCAATCCAGTAAAAGCTTACATATGTATTATCAGGTCGATTGCACATTACATCCTCCTCAGCAGAAAGGTCATCCATAAACTGACTCACAGAAATTGGTACATAGCTCTGGGGTATAACATGACCAGCTGCTGCAATCGGAGAACAATCTAAAATGGCATTGCCCTGTGGCATGAGTCTAAATGCCAGTGAAGTCCTGTAACAGCAAAGTTTAATAAGCAACCTAAAGGTGAAAATCAATTGTAACAACTAGAACATTTTTAAACATAACATGCATGACAATAATCAGTTACAAATAAAAATATTTATACCTCCCACCACCGTTAGCACCCAATGAGTAATCAGGGGCAGCTCTATATGAGGCGGCAGGACGAAGTCCAGCAGTAGTGTGGCTAAGTGTCTTGCCAGTTACAAGTAAAAGATCCCCTGGAGCTGAACCACAATCAGCCAAGTACCAGCGACCATTGGGGTCACAAACCTAGGGGCGAAAAGCATTTAAGATGGTATAAAACAAATTTCGATCTATTAAAAAGAAACGTCTATCAGAATGTTGCAATGAACAATGTTACTCATGGCTTGGAACAAAAACGGAGTAAGAAAAAAGAAACTTTACAATTAACTTGAAGCAAACACAAGTGTGATAATAGTCAGGAAAATTTTCCAACACTAAAGAACAACACTTATTAGATATGAGGTATGTATGTTGTTTAAAAGACAAAAACAAAAACAAAAACAAAAAAAACAAAAAAAAAAAACAAAAAAACACCTGTAGACCAGGACTGTCTGAGGAGATCAAAGTCAACAATCCCTTCTCAACTTCGCCATTAGCTGCTGGCTTCCCTCCCCCAATAGCCCCTTTTCCATTTTGTAAAGAAGTATGAGAATAAGTGGCAACAAGCACTGAAGAAGACACCTCGCCAGCAGGCAATGGGGTATCATCAAGTAATTGGTTGAAAACACTGCAGTCAACATAATTTGCAAGCTACATATCATTCAAAAAGTCATAACCTCCACAAACTTTCAAAATTAAATATCCACTACCATCACCATCCTTACTCGCTTCTTAAACGAAGATGTCTTGCTATTGCACACAAAGCAGAACGCGCTGCCTTTCCCATACACCTAAATAATTCAGACATACATGGTGGAGACGAGTCCCAATCTTCCACTGGCCTGCCACAAATTTATTAAAAAAAAAAAAAAAACTCAATCTTGACAGAAACCACAACTAATTACAAACTCAAAGTTTTGAACTTCGCACTAATTACAAACACACAAAAAAAAAAAAAAAAAAACCATTTAAAAGTTTCAAACTTTACACTAATAACACACTTCTAATCAAAATTCACACTAATTAAATAAACATTTTTACCTTCCAGCTCTATACATATAAACCCCGCGGCTGCTACAACCTTTAACTGCACCGTTTTGAGACCGACTCCTAAAATACAACCTTGCGGCTTCAAGGCCACACCGCATAAGCGAGGATTCTTCACTCCCCAATTCAATAACCGCGGCGTTATGCTTCATTAAAGAGGACGATAGCGCCTCCACCGCCCGCACGTAGGGCCCACCAGGAGCCCCATCATAGGGAGAGATATCGGAGAGCCGAACCCTAGCCAGCATGAGAGCTGGCTCGGCGGAGTGGTGAGCGGCGGATGCAATTGGGGAAATTACATGATCGAGGGAAGGTGGTGGTGGTGGTGGTGGAGGAGGAGGAGGAGGGAGGCGGTGAGAGGATGAGGAGAGTGGGGCCAGAGAAAGAGGGGATTGGGATTGAGTGTGGGAGGGTGTAGCTGGGGATCTATGGGTGGAAGAGGAGAGAGGTACTGGGTGTGGTGGTAGTGCAGTGGAGGTTTGCTGGTGTTGGTGGTGGTGGTGGTGGTGATGTTGGATCATCATCAAAACCATTAATCATTGTTTTGTATTTAATTAATTTTGTTTGATTTTGGGGGGTTTTGATGGGAGAATGGTGGAAATTTAGGGTTTTGTACTTAAAGTCATTTTTTTTTTTTTTTAGAGTAGTGGCAACAGCTACAAATAACTAATGCGCAGGTACTTGTGTTGTTTTGTTTTGTTTTGTTAATTATGGTCCGTGAGAGAGTCAGAGAGAAAATGCTAATGTCTCAATAACCAACCTGATGTTTTTCTGTGTCTCGAGAGACCGTGTTTCAGCCAATGACCCTAGATCAACTAAAAAAAAAACTAGACTTTCAGATCGTCTTCCTCATGATCTACGCTCGTTTTTCGGCCCAAGAATCCTGGGAAACATCTCGGCCAAATCCGAATTCTGCACCCAAACCCTTCTTCTTGGGCAAATTTATGGCTCGTGAGAATCATAAAGAAGAAGATTATTCAACAAAGGCACGAAAATCAATTGACCTAATTACCCTTTTTCTTGTATTTATATAGTATTTGATAAAACTGAAAATTAAGTATTGAATATGTTAAGTGTTGAATTTTATGTTACATACTGAATAATTAAGTAATTAATATGTTGCTAACAAGTTGTTTAGTATTTATTGAAAATTAAGTGTTGAATATAATAAGATTGTTTGATAAGATCTGTTGTTGAACATACTAAAGCTATATACATGATAATTTTAACCTTACAATTGTAATATGATATTTTTCAACACAAATAAAAATATATACATAGATGTATTTGTATGTATAAATAAATAAATGAAATCTCAAGTACTAATAAATTCATTTGCAATTTGATTTGGTAAATTAATAATAAATGTTTGACCAACTCGTGCTTGCGCTCTTCCTCCATTGAATGATAAATTTGTTGTAGCATTTGGTGTTTATTGTATCACATAATCGCCATCAAATAGTTTTAAAAAATTATTAATAATAATTGTTTTTGAATATAATTGTGTATTGCAATATATACAACAATAATATCTCTCCGAACTACAAATGAATATAATGTTATTATCTTTAGAATTGGAAACCTTATTTTTAGAACACCAAATGCTCATTCAATAAACATTCCCCATTTACATGTGCATGGTTAAATGCTTATTCTTTTGATCTTGGATGACAACCATTGCAAAAATTGGATAATCAATATTGTGTATTATGATATGGTACCATAAATTCTCTAATATGTGCATATATAGCATTACAAAGATAATATTTATCTCGCTATCAAATATTAATCTAATAAATTACATAAAAAATGTAAAACTTATTGACATAATACACATAAAAAAAAAAAAAACCCGAGGGGAATTTTCTATAAAAGGAATTTAATAAAAATGGAAACAACTTACAAGGTGGAGGGATGGAAAAATTAATTGATGAGTCACACATAGTTTTTGTTAATGCTCTTGAATCATGTGCTATACTTTCTCATCTAGCCTAAGCAAAAGTAAAAATCATGTCAAAATCACATATCACAAAAACATTTTGATAGCAATCTCCTCGTTCTCTTCCTCTATATGACAATTGTTGGTCATGTGATATAACAACACGAATTAAAGTCCCATTAAGGGCATTTACGACAACCTATAAATAAATAGATAAATAATAGTTAATTTGAAAATACACAAACCAATAAAATTAGAAATAAAAGTTAAATGTATAACCCGAAATACTTGACGAAGTTGACGATAAACTTAAATCTAGATAAAATGTAGTAGGTACAATCATTTTTCTTGCAAACTTTAACATTGCTTGAAGTACTTAATGAAAATAATGATGCACTCGTTTGAGTTGATTGATTAAATTTTCGTTTCACATCATGATTTTGAAAACTTTGACTTAAAGTTATAAAAAACATTGTCATTTGTTCTTCAACCTTAATATAACGACTATCTCTCAACCATTTTTTTTGTTTGAAATAATCACATAAATTTAAGAATGCTTCTTTTTTCATTCTCAACATTTCTTGACAATGAGCTGGATTTCCATAAAGGATCTCTAGCATATACGCATGCCTTTCAAGAGCCAAATCCATATCTGATTTTTTTTACAACACATCCTCTATTAATCATTTTCAGTATAAGAAGCAACACAATAATCCTTAAACTCTTTTTTTACCTATTTGTCAACATGTTAATTAAAAAAAAAAAAAAAAAAGCAAAAGCATGTATCAAAAAATTGGTGAGAAATCTAATTAAAGGAAAGATATTAAAAGTGGAGTATTTTTATTCAAACTATCATTCTTATGAAAATTCTAGACAATCAAAATGAAATAAATTATTCTAAAATACTAAACACAAATCATAAAGAAAAATGTACAATTAAAACAATACCAACCTTTTAACAACCATTTTGATCCATCTAATTCTAACTTCCTCCGGCTTTTGACAAAGATTTATCCATTGCTCTAGATATGCTTTACTTTCACAATAGATAGTACATACAACTATATATAAAGGGTCCTCCATTCCTAAATTCATCATCTCATCTAACTTCTATTGCATTGGTCTATAATGGATCCATCATATCCTTCCAGTGTCTTCAATATTACTAATAAATTATTATCAATGTCATCATCCTTATTCTTCTTTTGATGTTTTTTAGACTTTTTTATTTCAGCACTTGGAGTTGAAAATGGAGCTGGAGAATCAGACTCCAAACCAATAAATTTTTCAAAAATTTGTTCCAATCGGTTCAGTTTGTATTGACGAACCAGCTCTATGTGCCTGCATGGATTCTTTAGAAGAATTTGAAGAAGCAACTCCATTTACATACACGAATGAAGTTTACATCCTTGGATTAACAAATGTTTAATTAAATCGTTACCAGCAAAAGCATGCGCAGAAGATAGATTTTTTTTTTTATTTAATCACTTCTCATTGGGTTTGCATACCATGACTTGTATTATCACATTAATCAGCACTGCTTATGCTGCTGCTTTTCCTATATAAATTGTAGTCGTTGCCACTTCATCTTGGCCTGCCCTCCAAAAAAAAAAAAAAAAAACTACATGAAAATATTCTTAGTACTCTTTAAATTATTCAGAACTGGTACGTAAGATTATTATCAAGTATTTGGAATGAAATCATCACCCTCCCTGTGGTTTTTGTTTGGGCAGGAAAACGTCAAAGAAAAAAGAAACGCCAGGTGAAACAAAGCTCCAAGAAACTCCAAAGTCCAAAGCGAACAAACAGTTAATGAAGATCAGGCGGCGACCACTTAGACTGACGAGGGCCAAGGAGCACTAAATAATCATCAAAATGCAGAACCTCCTTCCTCTCATTCAACTCCAACAAGAAAGTAATTATGAGCATTTCAAACAAGGGTTGAGATATGATATCCGAAACAAGGAGGGTCAGATCAAATTTCAGCATAAAACAACTACTCGGATGAATTACGATACAAGAAAATATAATTAACATATAGCAGTTTACGCAATGCAAATAACAAAATAAATAGACTTTACCAAAATATTCAGACTCGGATGCCTCGTCATTTATAGGGTGTATATTGACATGCACTTAAATTTATCTCAAAATCCTACATCCTGCTGCTTTTATTTCAATTAAGTAAAACATGGCCAAGCACAAACTGTCTCATTCCTCAATTTTATGCAGAAGATATGAGATATAATTATAATGTAATTCTGATTTTGTTAAATTAAAAAATACAAATATACATTTCATACAGGTTTTCCAAGGGATCCTCCTAGTCCTGGGTCATAACTTACATGAGCTTTTATCATGCAAAGAAAAGAATCTCACCTATAACAAAATTGACTAAATTTTCTAGAGGGGGGCAGTTTTGACTTCACAAGTCACAGCAAAGATGCTGCTGGGAAAATGCAACTTATGCTGCGGGATTGGAGGAGGCACAACAGATGTAAACCACTGTCAACGCTACCTATTCAGACTTTTCCTCTTTCTCTTTTTATTCTTCAACAACCCCTTCTCTGCTAGGGATTTCTGCTTCTGTTTTTTCCGTTCATTTACTAGCTCATCAAACCCATCATCCATCATCTTCATTTTTGCCACACGTCTAGCCTTGTAAACCTGAAAATTAATATAAAGATACATAAGCACACTGGAAGACGACCACTACTATCTAATGATTCTCATCAGGCTTCATAGATATAAACATTTAATTTTCAATCAGATTTTCCTTTCTGCTCAGTTTTTTCTTCTTTTTTCCCCCAAAATGAAAGAAAAAGAAAAGGCCCTCAGCCAGCAAGGTTTCTTTAGAATACTTCTAAACCACCCTTCAGCCAGCAAGGTTACTTTAGAATGTCTTGTAAACCATAACAGAAGTATCAGGGTCCAAATGATTTATAAATAGTTGAGGTGAAATAAATCACTGCAAGACCAGCCAAATGTATGTGACTCTGTTTGTACACTCTTCACTATACCATACAAGCATTAGCATATTAATATACTGAAGTAGTGGGAGTTTAATGGTAAAATCTAATTGCAGTGCATCCCCATAATATGCTCTCTGCAGAAATATATATAGGTGCAGGCAAAATCAAATTGCTTGAAAAAAGACTTTCTTGTGGGAGAATGGCTGGATGCATTTGGTAGCAATTGGTCATCACATTGACAAAGTAAAGAAAGTAGTTTCATACAGAATGCATATAGATTTTGAACTAGATGAGATTCCCACAAAAAACATTTGGAAGAAAGCCCAGCACCAAGAGATTGGAACTGCTAAACCAAGTAAAACACCATGCAGATAAACTAGGCAACAATCCACTAATTCATCGTAATATCAATTATTCACTGAGTTAAGAAGAGATCTGACCTTCGTAATATCAGAAAGGATCTCATTCTCTTTACAATCAAATTCCTCAAACTGTTTTCCGACTTCAGCTTCTATAGCTTTCACGAGTTCCTTATCATGCTGCCAATTAAATGTTACAAAGTTAAGCAAGATTACGATCAAAGTACAGCACATCGCATATACTTAATGGTTCTCCTCTAGCTTGGAATTCCAAATGCTATTCATCGACCACCCTGTAACAAATAGAAACGAGCACAAACAAGGGAGACCACAGCACATGAAAATGTTCAATTCAATTACTAAACAGCACAGATGTTTTATGGTGTCGTTTGGTTAACATGAATGAAAGGTCTGAAATGAGAATGCAAGAATCGAAGTGAAAATTAGAGAATCAGAATGTCATTTGCATTCACATACTGTTTTTGGAATACTAATAAGAAATCGAAACGAAATTTAAATTTTTTAATATCTGTTTTTTAATACAAATAAGAATAATGATTAAAAAAATATTTTCATCAACTATAATGGTAATAAAAATAATAGAGGTGATTGTGGTAGTGATAGTAGTGGTGATAGAGAATGAAGAGGAGGTGGTAGTAATAACAGTATAGTAATAACAATAATAAATTTTAAAAAATTAATACCATCACCATATGAGGTGGTAGTGGAAGAAGAGTGGTGATCATGGTGGTAGAAGTAGTTAATACATAATAAATAAAAATAATAGATATTTATTTTGAGAAAAAAAACTCATTCTCAATCCTTGTTATTATTCTCACCTTCTACATGAGAATGAAACTATGTGTAATTTTCATTTTCATTCTCATTTCATTTTTTAAACCAAACAACTATAAGGTGGAAATAAAATTTTCATTCTCATTCCCACAACTTCATTCCTAGTAACCAAACAACACCTCGGAGTCAATGCCCACATCAATGGAAGACATAAATATGGTAGAAAGTTACAGAAACTACAGCTTCATTTTGTGCAAACAATCTTTACACTACAAAGAACCATGTCAAAGCCAAGAGGGCATAGTTGAAGAGTCTTTGATGGTGAAGCAATCCCTAATCATTTAAGCTGGTGATGTCACATGCTGTGTGTGTTGCAAAATTCATCCAAATATGAACTTAAAAGAATCTAATATCAATCTTTTACTGGTATTATAGACCCAAAACCAAATTACGCATCTTCAGCAAATTGCTACGTTGATCCTCTACACACAACCAGGGACCAAAAAACGACAGGAAACATAGGGCAATCATTCACTTAACCATATAATAAGGTGTAATCAGAAAAACTATGATTTGTCATTAATCATGCAAAATCAGTACATACATTTAGGACAAACAGATAACTTTCCCAAACATAATGATGACCAAAGATAACACTCCCAGACATAATGAGACCATAACTACTTGGGAAATAATTGGAAAAACATTTAGCTGTAGGAAAATTACAACCCAAAAGATGGCTTTCTAAAGAGCATATAAAATCTACAGGTACAAAAATATATTAAAGCCTTCCACTATTTACCTGAGTAACTAAACTCACAGCCAGCCCTTCCCTCCCTGCTCTTGCAGTACGCCCAACACGATGAACATAATCTCTAGGATCCCTGCAATATCGAGCTGTTAATTTAAGCACTTTATTTTTAAGATAAGTTAACAAAGACTAAAGAGCATTGAGAAGTATAACCTTGGAAGATCATAATTGATAACAAGATCAACAGTAGGAATGTCCAAACCACGACTAGCAAGATCAGTGGCAATTAATATAGAAGCTCGTCCAGATTTGAACTGATGTAATGAAGCAAGTCTCGAAGACTGGGATTCAAGTGAGTGCAATTTTGCAGGTTCCATATCAAGCTCTTTCAGTAATGAACTCAAAAGGTGACAGGTACTGCTTTCACATTATGAAGACAAAAGCATTCATGAGTGGGTGGTTTTCCAGATCTCAAAAATCAAAATTGAGAACAAAATTTCTTCCAAAATAAATCTACTACACCAAACTCACAGGGAGACAAAGGCAGACAGACTACCGTGAAGGCCTGAGCAAAGATCATACAGCCAACACAATGTAGCATGAATCAAACATAATTTCCAGTGGCCATGTTAAAAAAGAAGTCAATGCAACTTATGAAACCATGCTTTGTCAAGAACGTAATATCCTGGCTGATTTTTTCCATTGAACAACCGGTGTATAAAGCACCCTTGCGATATAGGCACTTCCCTGTTTTGCTAAAGATTAACTAGAACGGATGACACTTTTCTACTGCAAGAAAGCAACAATTCCAAACGACTCTCTAGGTAACCAATAAAATTGTTCTGGAAAATTAATACCACCAAATTCAAGATCATTTTAGTTACAAAGAGAAATAATAGCAATAGGCATACATCCATGCCATGGAAAATTGCAACACAGGGATGTCACCAGGCAAATCATACAACAAAATAGCCACTGATGGCATGATTATTGCCACATGAAAGAAGCAAATACCGCAAACACAACAAGAACAGCAGCTAAAAAAAACATATCCAAGAACAGACTGAAGAAATTTGTATCAGAGCAATCTATACCTGCAGGTGGAGGCAAATATCATGGCAGATCGAATCCCCATTTCTTCCATTTTGGACAAAATGTAAACAAGATAAATCTCCTTCACATTCTCAGGCATCTGAACATACTGCTGTTTAAGGGTGTCAACTGTCTTGAAACCTTCATATGCCTCATAGAAGTAAGCCTTATTTGCAGAAAGCTCAAGCAACGTTTGCAATTCACTTGTCATTGTCGCAGAAAAAAGCAAAGTTTGCCTAGTTTTTGGCAAGCACTTGAACACTACCCTTAATTCCTCTTGAAATCCAACATCCAACATCCTATCAGCTTCATCCAAAACTAGAAACTGGCACAAAATAAAACAAAAAAATATGCAAGCACGCACTTCCATCAAACAAAGAAAGTATCCAATGAGCAGAACAGAAATAAATAAAGCTCCAATCCTTAAACTTTAAAGGGTGAGACAAAAAGAAAAATCTATCTCCACATTAGCAAATTGCATTAAACACCAAGCTCAGCTAAAGGTACTAAATCTATCGATTAAACAGCTTATTTCTAAAGCTACACACACAAAAAAGACATAATCAAGAAGGCTTTTTTTAAAAAAAAATTTATTTACCTTGGTTTTAGAGAAAACATGGGAGATATCGATATTCTCCAGCAAAACCTTAATTCTTCCCGGCGTAGCAATAACAACATGGGGTCTCCCCATCAAGGTCTTAGCTTGACTCAACAAATCCATTCCCCCAACAACAACAGCACACCTCAAATGCAAACAAGAACCCAAAGCACGAAACTGCTCTGCCAATTGGTAAGCCAATTCTCTAGTTGGTGTTATCACAAGAGAAAAAACCCCATATGGGTCTTCAGCTAAGCGGTGGAGGATTGGCAAGGCAAACGCTGCCGTCTTGCCGCTTCCAGTTTGGGCCAGGCCTAGAACATCCCGGCCTGAGAGGATTTTGGGGATGCAGTGGGATTGCACGGCTGTTGGGTTTGCCATGCCTAGTTCTTTGCAGGTTTGGATTGCCCATTCGGCAAGGCCAAGGTCGGAAAACGAAGCGGTTTCGGTGGTGGCGGAATCGGGGTTATTAGGGTTTGAGCAGGTTTCTTTTTCAAGTTTTGGGATTCCAGGGTTTTCCTTAGGGTTTCGAGCTTTTTGGAGTTTGGGGCGTTTTAGGGTATTTGAAGGCTTCGAGAAGAGTGGGAAGCTTTTGTCTACTACATGTGTTTTCTCTTGCTGCTGCTCCTCCATCTTGTCTTTCAGAGGGGGGCGTTTCTTGCAGCAAAACGTCTACTGGTACCATGTATAGGTTTTCTTTTTCCCCTTGTTCTTTTCAACTTAAACAATTAGTCCTTATAGTTTCACTTTTTTATTTTAAAATGAATTATTTAATACTTCAAACAGTATTAATCATATTTAATTTAAAATTATTTTATTTTAAAAAATATTTTTTCAATTTTCCCGTAATATTTATTTAAATAAATAATAAATAATTAATTTTTGAAACACAGAGATTAATTAATTTATTTTTCAAAAATTAGAAAGACTAATTTATAATTTCATCAAAAAATTGGGGAAAAGGTAAGATAAAAAAAATAAAAAAATAGAAAAATCAAGTGCCAGTCACATGACTAGGGTTTAAAATCAGTGTCATCTTTCATCATGTATTTAAAATACAATTGGTTAACCAAATAGTTGAGGGAGTGTATCCTGCAGTATACTCATCCTTTCCCATTAGGATTCAAACCGCAGATTCATGAAATTTTCTTGCTATTATGTGAATGACTTTCTTGTCTTTAATTAGATTCAAAAAGTTTAAGAGAACAAATTGTATGTGAGAACAGACAGACCCATTCATCTGCAAAATACTCTTTCAAATACATGCGCATCGTTCGGCAACCTTATTTTCTTTATTTTTCTTTTCTGCTCTCGCTAAACAGCCACAGAATAATCTTTTCCTTCTTTCCCAGAGGAAGAATAGGAACCAAAAAAACTACGATTGCAATACAGAGAGAGGAGATCCCTTTTATTTCTTTTCTCTCTCTTTCCTTCCTATACCAATAATCATAGGGATGAGATACGTGACATTCTAAGTAAATATTTATTAGTATTATTACTTTTAGAAGCAGACTTTTTTTTTTTTTGGCTGATATAAAACCCGTTTATTTAGGGATGCTGGTAGATCGTTGAAAAATCTAGAATTTCATGTGACAATTCAACATCAGCTCAAAACCCAATCCATCATAAATAGTAAACACGAATAAGGGTGTTAGATATACCACGATGGTGACGGTAATAGAGACGAACAAATGTTAAAAAAATTGAGTTAAGCCTACAGCATTGTGTTCAAGTGTTCTGTCCATTGTAAGTGGTTTAAAGGAAAACATGCAAGAAAAAGAAAACTTTTCACATTGATTTTTTGGTATGCTGACAATGATTGTCTGTTCCACTACCGTTCATTTCCCCTTCCATTTCTCCTCCGTAAATTTTGGGCTTGCTTTACTATATGAAACTGGTACAAAATAGATTTTGGACATTCGAATCTGTACACAGATTGACAATCTTCAGAACCGATACAACAGCATATATCTGGGGAGAAATAGTTATCATCAGCACCAAAATTGGCATGGATAAAGCAAAACTGGCAGCAACTTGTCGCAGAACCCCATCCACAGGATCACAGCTCAAAGCAATAACTGTTGATGCAAGATCTAGACCAAAACTACTCCATGCAACCGCACTGAGAAGCATTGGGGCCTTCTGTGCATTGAGCGTGACTAAGAATTTACTAGCTTCGAAACTTCTGCTCTTCAATCAGCGGACACACCTTGTCTGCTACCGGGATCAAGTGGCTTCAAGAAGAAAAGTGTCAAAATCACAGTCTGTTGGTTTTTAGCAGCAGAACAAAAGTCTTTTTTTTTTTTTTTTTAACTCCATAGTCAAAGTAGCAGACAGAAAATGAATTTCGGGGACCATGATTACCATAAGAAGTCCCTAAACCTTGAAAAACAATGGACTGACGTAGGGTATGTGTTCAGTGGATGGTATTGCAATGTGACATCATCGGTGGAGTGGTGCAGGATATATGTTCAGAGGTTGATATCGCAACTTGTCATTGTGCGGCAATGGTCCCTCCTAAAGAATTCAACAAAACAAAAGCTGATAACTAATGGTTGGAGTTTGAATTCAGTGCAGGGCAAAGAAGAATATAGATTTGTTATGTCTAGAAGAACTGTAACAAAACATACATCCCAAAAAATGTCAATTACAAGAAACCAACAAGGAATTGGAAGTTAATAATCAATAACGGTTACTGTATGCATAAATACATTAGAATACACTAATGTAAAATTCTAGACATATACCAAAAATATATGCACCTCTGCATTTGTGCACCTTGATAAAACCAAAGATGTAGGTTGAGAAAATAATGTGACTATCCTAAAAACTAAAATTACATTAAATTTTACCTTCCAGGAGTACTAATTCAAATGGGATTAAAAGCAGTAATATTTTCCAATGACTAAAACTGTTTCCTCAGAAAATGATAATGCAGATGATAGCTTAAAGTTTTGTCTCAGATCTCAATTAAAAAGAAAAAAAGAAAAAAGATCAGGGTCTAACAGTGGTTTAAAAGAGTACCTCATTTAAATTTATCTGGAATGGCTTTACAAAATCCTCGAACATCGTTGGAGAGAGTTCCTTCATTATATCCTCAACTTCCTAATAAAAAGTAACAACAGATAATGGTCAGAATGGAGCATAAATCCTCAGTTCATTATAAAATATCCAAGGATAATTGGGCGCAAACTGTTAAAATTGAAGCAAGGAAAAGTCTTTAAAACCCATGGACTATGGAGTTATGGACAATGTAGCATAAGAGGCCATGACAGAAGTTGAATTCTCTACCATTTAAAATAAATTTCCAGAATTATAAATATGTATCAGAAAGCAAGAACATGACTCAGCAATTTGTTGAGGCTCCACGTAAATTTGGACATGTTTATCCAATCCAGGCCCCATTTTCTGGTGTCAATGATTTTTGTCATTTACTCATTTCATGAGGTTAGCATTTTTCACTCAGATCATCAAGCAGACTTTTAAGACTGTCCCTAGTCTGACGCAATACATGCAATCAATAGTAACAGAAAATGTGGTAAAAATCCATTTTAGTTAAAGAGTAAAGTAAACATTGTGTAAGATCTAGCATACCAATCCAGTTATCCTTGACTTCTCCAATAGCTCCTTGGTAATCACATCCAGTATACGCGTGTTGTTCCTCAATCCTTCCATTGCAAGTTCTTCGGTCTCTTCAATGTACTGCACAGTGCCACCAACATCAAAACTCACTGTTTTGCTAAATAAATTTAGATAGCTAGCAAATTTATTACAAAGGAAAGGTGGATAAACGTTCAAGCAAAAACCTTTTAAAAGATATAAAATGTCTCACTATTAAAGAGGTACACCCTTTGATTTGGTCATATGAACTACCAACATGAGGAGTGGCATGCGTAGTTATAGTAAGTACATCCATCTTCAATTAGACTTGTGTGACAAACATTAAACTAAAGAGACAACTTTTTTAATTGAGTTAAAAAAGCATATGACTGTAGTACAAAATGAAGCAAATACTTACCCTTGTCAATTCTCTAGTAAATAGCTCAGATACTTCAAGTGTCATATCGGCAGGAATCACATGAGGATCATCCCACTAACATCATGAACGAGAATAGAAGCAAGAATCAGTTGATAAATATCATTAAGTCAAACAAGATATGAGAATACACAAAGCATACTTTCAATTGGAACTCGGTAAAAGTTAAAGAACATGCCCTGTATTTTATCAGCTCGCCATCTGGATTATCCGGTCTATCCATGAGTCCAACTCTTTTTGTTAAAGCAATAAGCCCCAGCTTTGCATTTTGAGGGCTGATTGCCATCTCTCTAGCGATCTGGAAAGAAAATGTAGTGTCAAACAACAACAACCAAAACCCCTACCCTTTAATATAAACAATAGCTAAATCTTTATCTAAAAGACTTTAGCAATTTTTAATTACTACATTATTCCTCGTCTATTTTTGGTAATCAGATCGGAACATTGGGCAGGTGATTAGGCCCATGGACGTGCCCAGACGATATTATACTCAAATTACCACATTTACCTTCGTTATCTTTTCAAGATCATCACTTCCTCCGTCAGTAATGTCCTCACCATACACGAGACGTTCAGCACAACGTCCACCATGAGCTACCACCATTTGCATCTTCATGTAGCCAAAGGTTGTATATCCTTGGTCAATCATATCTTCTCGTGGGTAGAAAACAGATATTGCAGTTTCCTGCTCAGGTTGGACAAAAAAGATGAAAATTAAAGAAAAAGAAAGGAGAAATTGTTAGAAGAAACTGCAGCAGTTGAGTAGCAGCAATCACAAATCCAGCTTGGAAGCAGAAATTTCACCTTGCCTCCAGGCAGGAGCTGAGAAAATGCATGCCAATCAAAGCGAGGAAACAAGTGAGCTAACACTATATGACCAGCTTCATGTACAGCCAGAAGTCTCTTCTTTTCAAATGACACCTAACAAGTAAGATTCTCAACATGATGGCTAGTTTTAAACACAATTATACAGTCTCTTTCACTTCATGAGAATAAATAAAGACAGATACATTTTGTTCACATTTCTGCTGTTCTTCATCTGTAAGAAGTACGCCCATGCCCTCAAGTAATTGTTTATCTAACACATCAACCATATCTTGCTGGTAGATCTTGGAATGCCCTTTCCTTACCTGCAATAATGATTAGACATAATGTTTCATGTTGCTAGAGAATTCAGCAAACCTTTTAACAGTTCAACTTGTATGACTGTTTATGTAATATATATGAAATACATGATCCTCAAAAGTTAAGAGCGCAACTGAAGAAACGCATTCACAACCTGGCTCACTACAAGAACTAGCAATGGGCCCCACTCCTATTCAATGGACCTACCACCTCTCCTCCCTTTTCTCATGTAGGAACTGTTATCTCATGTTCTCATCTGCCACATTCCATTTCTCTTTCTATAGAAAAAGAAAAAAGGGGGGACAAGAGTAGAGAAAATAGATGATGATATCCATTCAATCTAGGATAGGTGGTTAACATGGAGAAACATGATGGAAATGACAGGTAGATTTTGAACCCCTGTTGTGCTGAAGGGTACTTCTACAAAACTTTGATAATGCTCCACCTATGGCACAGAGTGTTCAGCAATAAAGATGTCCTAATATATAGGTAAGATACAACAGTAGTGTCTACACATGCTGATAAGATTTTAAAGTCTTTGCGCCAGAGGTTGGCCAGGGGAATATTTCCACTGGTACATGTATCTTTTTTGACAAGATTTAGAAACTTACAGCCATGATTGCAGCTTCATTGACCAGGTTCCGAATATCTGCTCCAGAGAAGCCAACAGTACGGAACACAAGCTGCAAAGTCAAAGGCATAGAAGCTAACAGTTAGTTAAAAATTAATTGAATGGTATTGAAAAAGGAAAAACTCTAATGTAAAGGGCTAAGCATTCGGTGTAGATGTGAGAAATTTGGTGAGCGTATCAAAGCATATCACATATTGCATCACACATGCAAGCCGTGAGAGACAAAATTACTGTGAAGAAAAACCACTTAATTTCCTTGCTTCAGGGGAAGTTTGTCAACACAGAAGGTTCTATTTCTTAATGTAGAAAATGTCAATGGATTGGAGGCTTCTTCCCTACCCTGTGAATGTCTCCACATGGCTATCCAGAAGAAATCAATTGAGTTATTCAAGCACATAGCTCTTAAACAAGAGTATGCCAGTCTAATCTGAATCCAGGTCCAGTATGCCTGTCTTTCAGAAAAAATGAAGGATAGTCCCAAATCTTGGCAATAAAATGACAACATGGTGTATCAAGATAACCTTCAAGATGAGAGAGTTTAAACCTATAATGTTGACCATGTTTTCATTTTAATTAAGATTCATATCACGCCACAAACATATAAGCAATAGTGCCTCGCTTATTAATTTATAATTCCTCTCATTTCTTCGACAATGTTACTCCTGCCAATGCATTCTATCATGTCATACACCATAACCAACAGAAAAATCACACAGCACTTACCTTCCCAAAGTCCACATCTTCTGCAAGTTGCTTTCCTACACTGTGCACACCAAAAATTTGTACTCGTTGCTTAGCATCTGGCAATCCAATATACAAACGTCTGTCAATACGTCCAGGACGAACAAACTCCAGGTCCAATTCATCTGGCCGATTGGTAGCACAAATGAATATCACAGCTTGTCTAAGTGAAAACCGATCTATGCCAGTTTTTTCCTTCCTGTATGAAACAAAGTCCTCATTGTGAATATCCTTTCACAGGTAGTTGAGTTCAAAAGAAGACAGGAAAGAGATGCAGCTTTACAGTAATGCATAATCAAGAAAAACAAAAAATAATAAGACGAGAAATATATGAAATTTTTTTCAAAAAATGTTGGTTTGATCAAACTTAATGGGGAAAAATGAAAACGCATACAGGAGGTTGAACTACCATACTTACTCTCCATCAAGCTGTGCAATCAGAGCCTCAAATGTTGCCCTTCTTCGTGGATCCTTTCTTGCATGCCTTCCAGCAATGGCATCAATTTCATCCACAAACACAAAACAAGGAGCCTGCATGGGAAATAAGTTTATTACGACCTGTACTCTTCCAGATGGATCCACAAATTTCCACCTTAACCTAATTACTGCTGCTGCTGCTGCAAGAAGATAAAAGTCCTATCTTGAAAAATGGATAGATATCTTAACCTGGAACCCTAAATTCCATCTTAAACCAAAGCACTGCTAAAAAAAAAAAAAAAAACAACCTCAATCGGTAAACTAGAGAAGTGGTACAGGCAACTAAAATGCAGGAAGCATATTTAACTCATTTTTGACTTGCTGATAAATATATATTTATATGTATATTAGAATACAGGAAGGCAATGGCAGGAATTGTGTGACTCATAGATGACAGCTATCCACCTATGACATTCTCCATACAACATCAATGGAATGGCCCCCTATCACCTACAATGCAAAGCTGCAGTTTATATGGTCTTACTATGACAATTACATGCAAATAAATTACAAGTGAAAAGGAATACACAAGTCCATTAGCTGTTGAATAATTAAAAAAAAAATCAATCTAAGGCTTTAAACTTTTGGAGCACACATACAGACTAGGACATGTCAATCCCAGACAGATTAACGCCTAAGAACTGCAGAAAGCATCCAGAACAGATAAAAGAATTGGAAAACTTGTACAGAGAAATCAGGCACTGATCCCCAAACCTTGAATAGGGCAGAGCACTTAGGGCATGTAAATTATTTTTCACAGTTACAGTGAGTGCCATGGCTTTAGATACATACAAAAATCATAAAACAATAAGGATGATCTGAAAAATTTCACTCACTCATCATATTGCATTTGCAAGTTACAATAGGAGGAAGCTTACATTTCTCCTAGCAATAGAAAACATCTCATTGATCCTTGCAGCACCACTTTTCTCACTATCTGTAAACTCTGCGCCAGAAGCAAAAACAAAAGGCAATCCACTTTCCTTGGCAAGTGTCCGTGCAAAAAGCGTCTTTCCTGTTCCAGGAGGTCCCGAGAGAAGGACACCCTGTTACATACATAAACACTATGCACTTCATGTTTTATCATAACTTTAAAGATTTAGAGCACAACAGCATGAAACTCACACTTTTTACAACAATTATTAACAGTTACCCGAACAAACTTCACCCCTCTTTCATAGTATTGCATGGGATTGCCCATGTAGATCATTATCTCATCAAGAAGATCCCAGACATCACCCCCAAGTACCACTTCTTTATACATTGATTTGGTTTCACCAACATCTCCAACTGGCTGGATGAGTCCAAGACAATGATGCTTTGAGGGAAAATACACACAGGAAGAAAATGAGAGACAAACGAAGAAACTAAATCAATACCAGGATAAAATTTTCTGCATACGCCATATCAAAAAGTTGATTATACTTTTTGTAAAGAAAACGCTTAGAAGTGATATGTAATAGCATCACAGTCTCCCTTATGAGCCACAGGATCAGTAATCCAGGCACCAATGCAATCACAACTTTCAAAAAGTAATGTATCTGCCTTTTCTGAAGGAGATCTACTTCTACTCCAGAACCTGAGATAGCCTCAAACAAGTATGGATCGAGGGGAATATCAACCTATCAAATGCAAATAAAAAATATCAAAGCAAGCCAAGAAGGCGTATGGTTCAGTTTCACAGTTGCGCAAAGAAATACCAAACTTACAACATATTCTAGTGGAAAACCTTCTTTCATAGTTACATAAAGTCTTTTCAGGTCCTCTGTGAAGACAACAGCAGCAACCTGCCAGAAAATAACCCACAGAATTAGAGACGAGGTCCTCTGCATATCTTTATATTAGAATTCTACATGCTTCCATTCCACTGCAATTATTGCTTGGGTAGCACCAGCTTTAAGTATTTTATGTATAACTTCATTAAAAATGGTTATATTGATATCCCTTCTTTCTTTAACATTAAAGAATAAAATTTATTAACGATTAATGAATGAAAAGGTGTGAAATTAAAGGACGAGGCATTCATTCTCCAAATGCTTGCCAATCCCACTGAATATTAGCTCAAGGAACCCCTCAGAAAGATATAGATGTAAAGAGCACCATAAAGAAACCAATGAAAACCATTACCCCAAAGTATTTCATTAGACAGATTGTTTATAATAAGTTCTAAACCATCTAACATTCAAGTTAATCGAAAAGCCAGGTATCAGATTAGCCGAGGAAAAAAGTTACCCCATGTTAAAGAATAAATTTAGCCATTACGGGCTATTAAAAACAGAAAAGGGGAAGGTTTTCTGTTTCTCAGGCACACATGTATGTAAGCTGCATGCACTCAACAGTTAAATACTTGAAAAAATCCAACTCTAACAAAACTCTGCATAAACATAGGTTCCATTTAAAGAAATTGAAAGCCATGAAACTTTGAACACAATACATAGAGGAATATACCTGTAGAAAGCAAAAAGAACAGCAGGGAGAATAACACTTGCCTCAGAGGAATCAAGCTTCTGAAGAAAATAAGTGTATGGAAGTTTGGGACGGTAGCGCCACCATCTCTTAGATATCCATAAAGACCTGGCTCCTTGTGTGTCTGTAATCTTTTCCGCCACATCCTTGCGAAGGCTGTTCTCAACCTCTTTCATGTCAAATTCAACCACATATTTGGCATGTGAGGAATCTAATTGCTCAGCTAACTTCTCCTTTTTGAGAACCTCCTTCCACATATGAAGCCTCTGGCGCCATGTTCCTTTACTTTCCTGAACTTCAGCTGCTAAAAAAGCATGAAACAAACGTGCAAGTATGATCAACAAATGGAACCGAAGTCTCAATTATTTCTGTATTTTTGAAAGGAAATCCTTCAAGTACTCACTGAAATCACCAAGAAGACAAAAATCCCTAGGCTCACTGCTCATCCAGTTCAATTTTGCTTCTACTGCTAAGGCAATAGATTTATAGAATAAAGTATATCTAGCTAAAAACATGTAAAAGAAATCCAAAAACACATGGATAAATAGAATACTTTTTCTCTGTTAATTATAAAGAAAAGGAAAACTTGAACATTTTATCATCTCTTATTGGCAACAAGACGAATATATTTTCTTTATACCTCAAAAAATCATGAACCAAAGATACGTTCTCAAAATGCTTAGAAGTGTATGCTTCAGATAGAAGCTTCCTCCAGGAAAGAATTTCCCATGCTTAACTTAAGCAAGCACTAACTCAAAGTACCAGCAAAAAGAAACTAAAATAACAAAATCAGAGGCAAAACCATACTAAATGAAACTCAAGTGTCTATCATGTTTATGCATGTCCAAAACCTACAGCATCAGCAACTCACCTAAAATGCCCAAGTCTTCCTTCAAATCTTTCTTTTCTAAATTTAATCTCCCATCCTTCTCAATAATTTGTTTCATATTTTCCTGAGGAGGCTCCTGATCATCTTCCCATGCATCTTCTCCAACATAAGAAGTGTCCTGAATCAGTGTTCCGTCAGGTCCTTCAATGAACTTCTTCATTTTCAAACCTTTGGGTGTTGTCTTTCTCCACATACCCTTTTTAAACCTATATGTAAGAATCAGATACGGGATAAATATTGGTTAATCAAACACAGAACTTAATTAGCAACTTGATGTGCTATTAAAATATAGTCCTATTCATCTCTTGTAGATTGCATTTGCAAATAAAAAGAGAACTGCTGTACTTTCTAATATTAATAGGAGATGGCTCAGGAATCAAAGCCTCCATATAAGCCTCTGTTAACTCTCTTCTTTCTTGGTCTAGAAAAGGAGCTCGAATGGCAACATATATTCTTTGGCAAGAAAACATCACAACAAAAATATAGAGCAACAAAGCACCAACTCGTTTAGGCTCCCAATTCTTTAAGTCCTGCAAGTAGAAATTGACTATGTTATAGTTTCAAGAAAAATTCTTATGAAATGACTGCAAAGGGAAGGTGAAAAAACTTCAATTAAAGTTTTATGGGTTTTCGTATGTGAATCCTATTGTTCAATTCCAATCTTTAAAGTGTCGTTTCCTAGTCCTTTTCTTCATGCTTGTTATTTTCGAAAAGCATTACATTTAAAAATCAAAAGCACAGATGTTAAAGGTTTTAACTCTTAAAAAGCAAATTTCCAAAAGAAAAAGTTTTTAAGCCTCTGTTTTATTCATAATAAATTGTTGCCCTTTTTTTCCCCAAAAGAACAAGTATTAATTCCAAGTTGCCTATTCATATTTATTAATTCTTTATTCCAAACTCTTATATACTTTATCCTTTTGCTTGTATCTTAAAATTTCTGAAATCCAATGACCATCCTCCATGTTCTTGCAATGCATATGTATCTCCCATTTCGCTTGCTTGCAAAGTTGTACAGCAAAGAATGCTTCTCGAGTATTTTTTTTTCCTCATATTCTGGAATGGGAACCGAGGATTGGAATCTCAACCTTCAATCAAATTCCATTAAATCTCACATGCCTTATGTTCACACCATGGTAAATTCAACACAGCAATAAAACTTTGAGAAGCAACTTGATTGTGAGATGCGTTGGCAGTTTTTCCCGGAGATGTCTCATTGCCATGATTGTGATCCTTTATTCTCGTCTACTAATAATATGTTCCTTTATTGAACTTTAAAAAGAATATAGAAATTGCAGCCTGTACGTATATTCTATTTCAATTGCTTGAAGGAAGAAAGACAAACCTTGATGAGCCAAACAATCACAGAATAGAATTAGAAACCGTTGTCCAACAGCCAGATTATGCATAACATGAAAGAACACTAGTTGTTCATGACATATGAAATGCCTTACTCAACACTAGTTGAAGTAACGCTGAAACCATGGCCATTTTCACCAAGTTCCGCATTCATAAACTTATTTCCGCACAAAAAAAAATTCAAAATAATGTCAAGTTCATCTCATCTGTCAATACCTTCCTAAAAAAAAAATAAGGAAAAGTGTCTTACCTTCCAACGCTCCCAACTATTCCAATCGACAAACTCAGTTAACAATTCAGTCCTGAACCGAGTCAACGCAGCGTCACCTTTATTGACATCACCTTTGATTCGCTCTGTAAATTCACCTACCTTCACATTAACCCTTTCTACATCAAACCCGGTTTCCCTCTTCACGGACTCGCCGAGATTCAACAAAAACCGCTCGGTCCCAAGCCGAACAGAACGAGTTAGACTCGGCCAAGAAAACCCATCAGACCCATTTGCATTGGCAGAGGAATAGATTCTAAAAATCGTTTTTTTGCGCGAAACCCTGGATCTTTGATTTGTGGGTAATTGGAAGAGAATTGGGGGGTTTGAGCTGCTTGGGTTAGTAAAATTGGAGAATGGAGAAGTGGGTTTTGTTTGTGAGGAAGTAGTATAAGGTTCATATTTGAGTTTGGTTTGTTACGACATGAGAAATTTTCGAGGTTTTTCGAAGAGGAAGTAGAGTGTTGTTGTCTTTATGCAGCAGCAGCTAGACGGTTTCTGGGTTTTAGAGGTTTATCTGAAATTGAAAGTAGCGTTACTGTCCAAAAATCACTAGTGATCCCTGTACTTTAAGTATTTAGTCAAATCGACGCTTGTGCAAGCAATTGGGTCCAACTGAGATTTTATTCCAATTTAAGGCTATTTGCGACCTACATGTGCAACTCTCTGGCTTCCTGCATGATGTCTTTAACAAAAACCTTTATTTGTTGCCATGCAAGATATTGTTTTTTGAGTTTTTTTTTTTTTTTCCAAATACATTTTACTATCAATACACTTTTTAAAAAAAACTTATGCTAATTCTTAGGCTATTTGTGTTATTTTTATTTACCATCTAACAATATTTAAATTTAAAAGACAAAAAGATTGGACATATAATGGTAGATGCAAGAACCTGCTTGCGAGAAACTTGAAATTTATTATCCTTTCGCCCTTTGATGTACAAATATTTTTTTAAAAAAACCTACAGTATCTCCTAGTTTCAGCTGACAAATTTCAAAGCCTAAGTTCATGGCATGGAATGTCTCTACAATCTTGCTACTGCTATCATTAGATGTCGCCGCTGCCGCCGCCACTGTTAGACTAGAACGAGCACGATGAACGACTTAATTTAGTAAGTTGAAGGAAAAAATAATTAAAAAAACTACCAGAATAACTTTTTAATTTTTTTTCTAGCTTTTGGGATTTTAAACATGAGATTTGTATGAATCTCACATACAAGCAGCGTTCGGGAATGTGAATCAGATGTTAACATATCACGTGCAAACAAAGTTGACGTTCAGCAATAAATTAATGTGGTTTAGGCTGAGCGAGCGAGTTAAATCATGTATAGAGAGAGATTCTAGGGAAATATCCTACAATACCTTAAATATGTTTTAGTTCGAGTGAGGTGGCCAAATTGGCAGAAACAGTATTCAATCTCTTCAATCTTCATAGCCATAATCACCTGATAAAAGAAATCTTTCTCCATGCACCCAACAAAATATCGTCAATATTGATTAATCTCATTCCCAGGATACATCTATAACAGATGATTACGATACAAAGTACAAACATCACGGGCAATCCACACAAAAAAGGTACGTATCCAGCAAAACATACTTACTGGGGAAGCAATTACGAAAGAATTACAATTGCTGCTCAGCCCCACGTCAAATGTCAAGAGGATCTTGGTCTGTTATCTACCGTTATTTCTTCTGTCTATTACAAAATATTGAACTCAAGTTGGAAGTATGACAGGTTTCCTTGTGATGCTTGCTTGTAACCACATTAATTGGTCAAAAACTTTAAATACTTGCACACAGCTAACAGTTCGACTAACTTCAAAAACATTTGCAGCTTGGGATGGCCGACACTCGTATTAATCTCTAGAGTGCTTAAATCTGTCTCTCTTTAATCACACTGCTCACCCTCTTGTTGGTGTTTTTTTAAATATCCTATCATAGGACTGCAAGAGCAACTAAGAGCACTGATATGGGAAACAAGGCCAATTAAGCGGCAGGAGATGGCAGGAGCAAATGAAAACAGTATGAAACCAATTCAACTTTCGATTTCTTGCCACCCGGCACATTTTGTCCTGCCAGAACAACAAGTGGAGACATTATTATACGTATATCGAAGTAAAACCATAGTAAACCCAACAAAACAAGCATACAGAACATGAAAGTGGAAACTATTACCTTAGAAACAACGTGGAAGCAAAAATCAACAGTGACTTCATCCAGTGGAAGACATGGCATCTTCAATCCTCCTAATTACAACACTTAGACTGCCACCACTTTCTAAAGCTTTAACAGCAGCTCGATGAGCATCCCTATGCCATTTTAACAAATTATAAGATTGTAGAACCGACCACCTTGCTTGATTTGACATCTATACAAGTGAAAGCCAAAAGAATGAGAATTAGATTATTAGCAAAGAGAAACATCAAATTTGGTAAAATGGTGGGATAGATACCTGGGCTAGAGATAATGGGGGTTGCAGAAGAACACAGATACTCCTAAATAGATTTTCATCATTTTCTCCACCCTCTGCCTCACCGTAAACAAGAGCTTCGGCCGCAATGCCAGCAAAAAGCACCATGCAATACCTGGCCAACATTTCAGGCCACACATCATGGCAAATTGAGACCAGAGATCAGTATGCATAGACATGAGAGAATTCCTACGTATGACTTAGATAACACAAGCAATGCTCATATGGATGGGGAAACAAGTCATATAGTTGCATGGACACTGTTATCATCCTCCCCAACACCTTCTGTAAGCGGCTGCCTGGACAAGCTGCCTTTTGTCTATTTGTTTTAAACTCAAAAAAGTATGCGAGCATAGGGGCACAAAACCCACTTACATTCCTGCTTAAAGTCTTAATCCAAATAAATTACTTGTGGTAGTAAAATAAGCAGCAAAAGCAGGTAAAAGTCTAATCACCATATGAAAATTCTTTCAACTGTATTTAACAAAAGCACTTAAACCTAGCAACCTCAAACAGCACTTCACATTATACCCACCTGTCAAACGAAGTGCCACTGAGTTGCCCTTCAGCAAGCTCGTTATTCAGCTTTTCATCCCAAAACTGAGTTCCTGCCTGTATGGAAGTGAGATTTTACGAGTCGTTGCCAGCAAGGCATTGCTGATTTGAATAAATAAGCATATGATACCAATGCTGATGTTATAGCAATCATTAACAATGATAAAGAGATAGTAGAAACTTTGGTTCTTAAAGCAGAGTCAAATGGTATTCCGATTAAAAGGATCTAAAGATGGCCATCACCAGGCAACGGAAAACAATGAGGACAAATACTCTGACCAACTTGAGGACATGAATAAAATAAATCAAATTTATTTCCCTCCAGGGCTTCACGACTATCATCATAACTTTTACCAAATACTCCAAATAATGCAACCAGTCATCTATTCTGAAGTCTCATTCCAATGAGGGTTGCATTTCCAGACCTCCTTTTCTTATTCCACCAGTAATTTCACAGGAAATTAAGTGTAGCAGGACAAATAAAGACCGCTGGAGTGAATGGCATCGTAGACGAAAATAATAAGTAAATGGAAACGAGTCAGCTGATTAACACAATAGTTATCATCATATATTCGACTTGAATATCTTTGGTTCATTAAGGAACCAGAATATCAGTTTGTGTCATTCAAGAAGTTTTTTCCCCTGATGTGTGGAATGCTATACAGTTGTCTCTGGAAGGGTTCCTTACATCCAATGGTGGTACAATCAGCAAAATAAACTGCAGGATTTTAACCAGCCAGAGAAAAGTAGCAGCAATTAATAAATAATTTATGAAAAATATAGGGAGTAACACCATGTTTGTCCAAAGTAAGTGCAAATGAAAAAAGTGAAAAGGGAACTGCCATAAAAATCAAAACGAGAGTAGTAAGTAAGTACCTGCCCTTGAGTTCCCATTTGCATTGCAACGATGGGGTCTAAAATTACACCTCGAATTGGGCAACCCATAAGATATGCTGCCAAACGGAATTTTACAAGTAATTACATAGAATCATACCAGAACAAGAGAGGAACGATCTAAGAGAATGCTGGCACGGTTACTGGCAATTTTTTGAAGAACAAGATGCAAGTCAATTGGACAACTTAATGAACAGTGTTAAATGTACAGAACCACATTAGACACTAGATTGTTTGCCTACAACCAGAATATGTAGCACCTTTCCAAAGGCAAACTTTACCCTTATTTCCCATTTCTTGTAATAGAAAATTGCATCCAAACAAAGCATTTAAATTGAGCGAAAATGTGCATACCTACCAGAAGATGGCCTGCTTCATGAACTAAGATTCGACGCTTATTGGGAGGCCAGTAACTGGAGATTTGAGCCAAACAAGCTCCACCAAGGAAGATGGAATCTAAAAAGGCCAGTCCTAAGATAGCCGCAAGGTTAACTCTGATATCAATCCCTCGGTCAACAAGCAAGTTTGCTCCTCCAATAAAAGCAATGAACAAAAGGCTTGAGATCCCAGACTCACCCCACTTCTTTGGCGAAAGCTTCGTCGCTAAATGAGTAAACGGGAACAAAACATGCACATTTTAGTGTCATTTAAATAAACATGCACTAAACCAAACTGCAAGGCCAATAATCTGCAAATAAATTAAGACCAGAAAAACCAAGTAAATAAAGCAGTACTATATTCATACTAGCACCTTCTAGACCAGTTGAAGACTGCAACACAGTTGGTGTAACTTCTCTAGGTCCTTCCAAAGCTGCAGAAATTGTATCCCAAAAACATAAAGTAGATATCCATTACACAGTTGGTTATAGTTTTCTCTATAGCCATTAGATTCAAAGCCAATCTATATCAACAAAAGAAAAGTTTAAACTTTGGACCAAATATATATATATATATATATATATATATATATATATATATATATAAACTTACCAATATTGCTAAATTTTCCAAAATTGGGCAAGAACCCTCTGTTCTTGAGGAACCCGTAGGCACTGGCAACAAGCCTCATGTCATCAGCATTCAAACAAGTGTCCAAAACCTCCCAATCCCTCTCCAGCCCATCAAACAAACCCAAGCCACCGAGTCCAGACCGAGTCGCTGACTCATTCGAGAAAGACCCATTAACTGAATCAACTAAATTGTCATTGTTTTTTTGGGTTTCTTTGTATTTCAAGAACCTAAGAGCTCTAGAGAGGTCTTTCCTTTTCACTGCATCCTCGTACTCATTCCATTCTCTTAATGCTGCTCTTGGGATGGTTTTGAATTTTCTATTTGGTCGTGTATGGGTGAAAAGAAGGGAAACTTGGGTAGAAAATAATAGTTGTTGGCACGAGAAAGCCATGAAAGAGAGAGATGGAAGCTTGGGTGTTAAATGATCAGAGGATGGGAAAAGTTTTTGCCAGGACAGGCAGATATTCATGGAAAAAGGCCAAGCAGTCAAAAATGGGCTTCAGCCCGATTACATTTGAAAAGTAAACTTAACTTCCGAAGCTAACCTTGGCCCGTTGGACGGGATTTGCATTGATGTCACCCGTTTATGAAATTTGTGGAATATTTAGCCCAACCCAAATGTTTTAACCTTTAATTGGGCCAATCACCGAGCTGGACCCACATCTCTCAGATAATTCTAATAAAAAAGCCTTTTCTCGAGACCAAAGCATAGACTCCCCAACGCCCAAAGGCTTCCTTTAAACAGTCTCTTAATTTTACAACCACGTTTCAATACTTCATTTTCAGGCAAACTCTCAAGTTATTTCTTCTTTTCGAGTAATATAAAACTACGGAGGAGCTCACTTCTTCCCATAATAAACATTTTCCTCCCAGATCTGTAGATTATTGGACTAGTATCTCTCTTTTTTTCTTTATTTATTTTTAATGATTTTTGGTTTATTTTGGGAATTTGTGTGAAATGTAGACAAATTTTCCATTTAATGTTAAAACTTACAATATTTAATTTAAAAATATTAATATTTATCTTTTATTTAAACAATCGTACACTTAAATATAGATGTTAATAGAGCTATATATATATATATATATATTGAAATGTATCTAACTAAAATAATGTATTTCGGTGAAAGTTTTAGAAAGTACTTAGATTTTTTACCGCGCTACGCACTGCAGATTGGATAAAATATATAAAATTATATAAAAAAATTATTTCAGTTTAATAATTTGTTTTATGATAAAAAATAATTATAATTTTAAAATGAAAAAAAATTATATTTAACTATTTCTTATTTGTGTTTTTCAATTTTAGAAATAAATAATAAAGCAAATAAATTATTGATTTCTTTAAAATTTTAACACCCAATTAATTGTTGGTTCTTTTAAAATTTTAACACATAATATTATTAAGAAATTAAAATTAAAAAAAAAATTCAATGTTTAGGGAAAAAAAAAAAAGAGGCCAGCCGTTTACTGTTCACGTGAATAGTAAACGGACGGAAATTAAAAAAAATAGTGTTTAGAGAGAAAAAAAAAAAGGCAAGCCGTTTACCATTTAAATGAACAATAAACAAGTAAAAAAAAGGAGAAAGGAGGCCAGCGAGTGTTGACAAAAAAAAAAAAAAAAACTTAAAAAAAAAAAAAAGCCAAAGTAATATAGCAATGAACGAGTGATTAACACTATTCATTACTACGGTGAAAAATTGTTTTTCTTTAGTATATATTATTAGATTTTTTAACTCGCTCTATGTTGCGGGTTGGATAAAATATATAAAATCGTTTAGAAAAATTATTTCAATTTAATAATCTGTTTTATGATAAAAAAATAATTATAATTTTTTAATAAATAATTTTGTATTTAACTATTTCTTTTTTAAAAAAATTTAAAAATAAATAATAAAAGAAATAAATTGTTGGTTTCTTTAAAATTTTAACACCCAATTAATTGTTAGTTCTTTTAAAATTTTAACACCAAACACTATTAAGAAACAAAAATTAAAAAAAAATTCAATGTTTTTTTTTTAAAAAAAAGGGTGCAAGCGTTACTGTTCATGTGAACAGTAAATGAGCTGAAATTTTTTAAAAATTAAATGTTTAAAAAAAAAGAGAAAAAGGAGGCAGGCGTTACTGTTCAATGAACAGTAAACGGATGGGGGGACGGGTCTAGCAAAAAAAATAAAAAATAAAAAACAAAACACTGTAGCAATGCACAGTGATTTACACTGTTTATTGCTACAGTGAAAAAGCATTTTTGCTTTAGTATATAGGAGAATAATAGGGCCAAAAGATTACTATGATTGTCGTTGTTTCCGTTTGTGAAGAATTCTTGATCTTTTTATTTATTTGTAGCAAAACTTGAATCAAAATATTTTAAGCTTTCTATTACTTGTCCCCTATTATGTTAAAACGTAGTATTTTTTTCATGAAAATTAAGTTCCAAAACACGCACACCATGTTCATTCCATTCCTCTTGTCCCAAATTACTAAATATTTTCAATTGTATACGTAATTTTCTCATGTTCTTGATGGCTTCTAAACATTAAAAAAGGAAAAAAGAAAAAGAAAATATCACATTCAGTTAACAGACATGCACAGTCCATACTCCATACGTATCTGGGTTCAAGACAAAGTGGGAAGTGGCTTACACCAATCGAACCTTAGCTCTTGTACGAGGAGGACGGGGTAGTTGCCCCTCGCCAGCAGAACTAACTAACTAACCCTCCTGGCACCGTAGTTCGTACTTGTGGGCTTTAGCAGTAAAGCCTACCCCGTACGGTATAGTAAGTAACAATCTGAAAAACATCGAGCATCAACAACCTCACTTCAACGATAAGAGAAAATCCAAAACCCAACACACGTCGCCCATTCATTCCCTCCCTCGCTCTTCCCGTCCACATCTTCCCCATTATTTCCATCTCCCTCTTGCTCTCTCCATCACTCCAAAAGATCAGAGAAAGAGAGCCTCATTTTCACATTCATATAACCCCTCATTCCCTCCTCTTCTCATTTTAGTCCATACAACTTCTCTCACATAAAAACACACCCTAAACACTCGACAAACACCGCCAAATGGCCTCTGCCACAGCACCAACAACTCTCTCTCTCCTCAAAGCAGCCGCCTCCTCCACCTCAACCTCCACAGCTGTCCGTGCCTCTCTCCTCCCAGTCTCCACCTCCGGCCTCCGCACAACCAGCCTCCGTGGTCTTGGTTTCTCTGCTGCAGACCCATTGTTTAGTTCTCATGTGGTGTCAAAAATCCGATCTTTCAAGCCAAATGGTAAAGCACCAAGAGCAGTGGTGTCTATGGCAAAGAAGAGTGTTGGTGACTTGACAGCCGCTGATTTGAAAGGAAAGAAAGTGTTTGTTAGAGCCGATTTGAATGTGCCTCTTGACGACAACCAGAATATTACTGATGATACTAGAATCAGAGCTGCTATTCCTACCATTAAACATTTGATTTCCAATGGCGCTAAAGTTATTCTTTCTAGTCATCTGGTACGTGGGTTCTTGTTCGATTTCAGTTTTTCTTTCTGGGAATTTTGTTTTAGTATTGTTACGATTTTGGGTTTTGCAGCGGTTCCGTTTTGTTCATTTCATTGATTCTATTGTTTTTGTTCACTGTGTGAGTTTCTTGGTTCTTGCACTGAATCTTTGATGTATGGAATTTTAGCATTGACTTTTAGTTTCATATACTCTTAAAAATTGCTGTTTATTTTCTATTTTTCCCTTTTTTATATATAAAAAAGTTATTTTTGGTCCTGGTTTATAATTGCACTCGTGTGCCAACGGGTCCGAAATTCAAGTTGATTTTGAGAGAGTTGGCAAGATTCACTGCAGGTTTGCAATTGTTAATTGCTGATGATAGAATGTTAAGAAGTAATTGAATATTATAGTTTGCCTTCTTCTGTTTATTGTGCGATATTATTATCTGAGAATTGCCTTTCAGTAAAGATTTACATTTAACTGCCGGATTTGGAGTTCGATTCTTTGCAGAATATCTCTATAGCACATAATTGTGCAGATTCTTGTACATCTGATGTTCATTGGTTACCAGTGAAAATATTTTGGGTGTATAATCTTTGCATAATGTTTATTGGTTTACCCATATGAGCTGAAGTGTTCTTTCATTATTTTTTAGGGACGACCAAAAGGTGTTACTCCAAAATTCAGCTTGGCACCTCTTGTACCCCGGTTATCTGAACTTCTTGGAATTCAGGTACAACTTGTTTTTGGAAATATAGAAACAGAGAATGCCTATGTTTGCTGGACAATGTGACTAATACATGCTACTTGAGCAGGTTGTGAAAGCTGATGATTGCATTGGCCCAGAAGTAGAAAAGTTGGTTGCTTCACTTCCTGAGGGTGGTGTTCTTCTTCTTGAGAATGTCAGATTTTACAAGGAAGAAGAGAAGAACGAACCCGAATTCGCAAAGAAGCTTGCTTCCATGGCAGATCTTTATGTAAATGATGCATTTGGAACAGCACATAGAGCACACGCCTCAACTGAGGGAGTCACAAAATTCTTGAAGCCATCTGTTGCTGGTTTCCTGTTGCAGAAGGTTGGTTTATAAGTTACTGACTGTGCAAGATTATATACCCTAATCTTTTGGATGAAGTCAAATTTTTTAAGCAATTCCCTCTATGAGTATGACTCCGAGGTTGTTTTGTTTAGGACCTTCATCTAAACTGCCTTTAGGTGCCATATGTCTTTGGTCATGCTACCCTTTGAACATTTTCACTCCTTTTCTCTTTTGACATTCTTTTGGTGATATCTACCCGGTGCCACCAGCTTTCCATCTTTCTATGAGTCTGGATTGTCAATATTGCTGACTAGTTTGCATCCTTGTTGTGAGTTTCGAGTACGGAAGTGGTGGCATGTAACTGAAAAGAAACAATCCGTCCTGCAATGCTGCACGCATTTCTGTAGTTAGGGCCTGCATTCAACTATCTCATATAAGGAAAGTTTGTGTATCTCAGTTGCTCCTTAAACTTCTGGTCATGTTTTGATTGGATTTCTCTCTACCTTGATCTTAGGAGCTGGACTACCTTGTTGGGGCAGTTTCAAGCCCAAAGAGGCCATTTGCTTCCATTGTGGGTGGTTCTAAGGTCTCATCCAAGATTGGAGTCATTGAGTCGCTTCTGGAGAAGTGTGATATCCTCCTTTTGGGTGGAGGTATGATTTTCACATTTTACAAGGCGCAAGGCCTCTCAGTAGGTTCATCCTTGGTTGAGGAAGATAAGCTTGATTTGGCAACATCACTCCTTCAGAAGGCCAAGGCAAAAGGAGTGTCTCTTTTGCTACCCAGTGATGTGGTAATTGCAGACAAGTTTGCTCCTGATGCAAATAGCAAGGTTTGTGGTCTAAGCTCTAACAAGAAAGTTCCCTAAAACCTGTTTTCACTCTGACATTTTTTTATGCTCCCTGTAACTGAAATAATTTGAGTGCTGCTTTGTTCACTGCAGACTGTGCCAGCATCAGCCATTCCTGACGGTTGGATGGGACTGGATATTGGACCAGAATCTGTGAAGACATTCAATGAAGCTTTGGAAACCACCCAAACTGTTATCTGGAATGGACCCATGGGAGTGTTTGAGTTTGATAAGTTTGCAGTTGGAACAGAGGTATGTATGCGAGAACTGGGTGCTTAAATTTGATTTTTGGATTTTATCTATTACTTTTGGTTCAGCTCTCTGATAGGCATGCTTTTATGCTTTGCTGGAGGCTCACACGCATACAATTATTTAGGGAAGTGTGAAAACTATGTCTGAAGTATTGCAAAATTTTCCAATAACTCTCTTTTTATTACTTGGATTAACTGTACAATGAAACAAATGGTCCTGGTACTTGATGCAACTTTGTGAAGTGGCATTTTAAATGCCTGCCCTATCATATGGTTTTGGGTTTATTAACTGTGATTAGATGGTGAAACTAGAGTTGTACCTCTGCTTGCAGGCCATTGCAAAGAAGCTTGCTGAGCTTAGTAGCAAGGGAGTTACAACTATTATTGGAGGTGGAGATTCTGTTGCAGCTGTAGAAAAAGTAGGAGTTGCTGATGTTATGAGCCATATATCAACGGGTGGTGGTGCCAGCTTGGAATTGTTGGAAGGGAAAGAGCTTCCAGGTGTCCTTGCTCTTGACGAAGCCGAACCAGTTGCTGTGTAAGATTATTTGATTTTTCCCCATTCCCATGCCAATGCTTTCATTGTTACAAAAGAGAGATGCAATGTTGTAGAAAAGTACGAGTCATGCTGTACATTTTCTCTGTTTTCAATAGGAGAGGTCTGATTCCACCTTTGCTTTCTTGCTTCTTGCTAAATTGCCAAGAGAGAGATTGAGGGTGGTTAACAAGAACGATCCAACATTTTAAATAAATAGTTGATTTTGATAAATGATTCTCCTTTTTTTTTTTTTTACTTGTTTATTTCTTATCAACATATTTTTTTTCACTTTTCAAAAATTGACACGTTGTGATTTGAGAAGTAGAAGTAATCTCGATGAAATCCGGAAGAAGAAAAAAGAAGTTACTTTGCCCTCCTGTTTCTATTTGCCCTTCTCTGTGATTCAGTACTACCTTCGCAAAGATTAGCCAGCCATTGAAGGCAAAATGCAAGTCTCCTGCCTGGATTACTCACCCATGCAATTCACATGAAAAGTATTGTGCAGATATAAAAGATTGGATAACCAATACAAGTAGTTGAGAAATTTATATATGATCTACTCTGGATTCTACAATATCTATACACAACAGGACTGACTTTAGAAAGCTCTCTCCTTTCTCGTCAAGAACATTGGTCCTTTTCAGCTTTCGCACCTAGGTAGAAGTAGAACGTAAGCCCATCGATTATCTCTCTCAAGAGGTAGTTATGCTTTCATGTCAGCAGCTCCCCTTTCTGTGATACAAATATAATGGAAATCAGAAGAAGTGGAAAGGGACATACGGAACAAAGTACATCACAGAATCTCCGTAAGTTTTAAGCCACAGAAATGAAAGGCCTTGGGTGGTTTTTTTCTTGTGACCACTTTTTTCTAAAGCTAACAGTTTCCAAAACTAGCTGACATCATTGACAGGCACCTTGTTTCTTTGTTAAATCAAGTCTTCTGCGGACTGTCATCTGTCTAAAAATCCAACTCATTTGTGGCTACTCAATTTCGTAACTGCTACAGTTTTTCGAATGTTTATTTCCACTCTTTTTTAAGTTATTGACTTCAAAAAAATAATTTGAAAGTATAAATCATCGCAGCATGCTACTTGTCGTCGTCGTAAACTTCAATATTTTAGTAGTTGATTGCTATGTGGACAAGAAGTAAATCGTGCATGCTTGAAATCTCAATCGACTTGTTAAATAAACCATTTTTTTCCTGAATAAATATGATATTAGCCAGTCATAACGTACGCATATCAAACTCAATAAAATAAGCAAAGTGACTAAAAGCAGGCCAAAAGAGACTAAGGCATCGTTTGATATTTTACGTTTCAAGTGTTTTTTAAAATGTTTTTGAAAATATGTTTGAATTGGAAAAATATTAGACTATATGTTTTTTGAATGGTTTTAATATAAAAATGTCAAAATTATCGGAAAACACTTCAAAAATCAATTCAATGTTTTTAAGACCCAAAAAAAAAAAAAACAGTTTTAATTAGATTATTATTTAAAAATACGGGTAGGTAGTCATGTAAAAATGTCTAAACTCATTTTTTATACATAAAAAATACCTTCTGAAGAATTAGGAGGGAAAAAAAAGCCATTAACCGCAATCATCCTCTCTAGGGACTGTCCAAGTAGTTAATCGAATTTGTTAAAATCCTTCAATTTTATGGAAACCAAAAGTTCTCTTAGCTGAATCTATATTTTTTGTCCACTGCATCTTAATTGAATTGAAAATACTGTTATAAAAAAATAATAGCTAAAATATTGCTTAAGCTTAGAATTAGTAGCGTGAAAACTTGGCTAAACTAAAGCCATCCCGAATATTCTAGAAAACGAAAAAACGAAAATTAAATAAGGACTCACTCATCATTTTTCTTCAAAACAACTCATTTAGTCTAAAACTCATTTTCTACCTATTTTAGCGATGCAACAAGAAGAGAACAAATTCGAATCTAATGCGTATATTCTCTAGCTTTAACCCATTTATCAATAAACACTTGTTAACCAGAATTACCAAAGATCGCCCAAGGTTTAACCCAAATACCACGCATATTGGCCCAGTGTGCACCCCAAGAAAACAAACTTGTTAAGTCCCAAAGGCCAAACCCACCTAATCTTCCACTCTCTATATAACGCCTAGAAACATCCACCGCTCTTTCACTCTTGTCTTTTTTGATCTCACTGTTTGTTCTTCTATCTCACTTTGTAAGTAAAGTTCCAATCTTTTCCTTACAGTTCAATCGGTTCTTGCTTGTTTGTGTTTCTACATCCACCGCTCTTTCACCGTTGTCTTTTTTTATCTCACTGTTTGTTCATCTATCTCACTTTGTCAGTAAATTTCCAATCTTTTCCTTACAGTTCAATCGGTTCATGCTTGTTTGTGTTTCTTTTTTCATCTGGGTTTTGATTTGCTTTGGTTGTTATGCAGGATTTGTTGAATAAAATGGCTACTAAGAAGAGTGTTAGCAGTCTTAAGGAAGCAGATTTGAAGGGAAAGAGAGTGTTTGTGAGAGTAGATCTGAATGTTCCGTTGGATGATAACTTTAATATTACTGATGATACTAGGATCCGTGCTGCCGTTCCCACTATCAAGTACTTGATGGATCATGGTGCCAGAGTTATTCTATCTTCTCACTTGGTATATACTCGATGACTTCCTGTGTTTCACAATTTTAAAGATTTCACATTTCTTTGGGTGGAAATTTGGTTTTTTTTTTTTTTATTGTGTTTGGATCGCTGATTTGGATTTTTATGCAGATTCATATGATGTCTTATATGCAGATGTTTTCCGTTTCTTTTTTTATTTTTATTTTTTTATTTTGCTTATTGAGGTTTCTGTTTTGGAGGATGCTTAGGCAAAACTAAATTTGCATGGCATGTTTCTTTGCAGATTTATCTGGGTTTTTTTATTTTTATCATATTGCTCCTATTTTCGTTTTGGTTTCTTAGATTTTGGATATTTGCATGCAAGCAGATTTGCGCTTCGTTGTACTTCCTGCCATTGTTTTAAGCGATAGGTTTTAATTGGGAAATGGGCTATATTGCGTTTATTGGATTAGAGTTTGGATTTTCTTTAGTTTTCTTGCAACTGTTTTCCATTATCTTGTCAGTTGTTTTGTTATGCTTAAAAAGTTCCTTGCCTGTCTTATAAACGTTAATTTATGGTCGGCAAGGCAGGGTCCCATTTATTTTCTTTCCCAGGATGTTTGATTAGACAAAATGGTCTTTCACATTTCTGGAATAGCTTTTTTGTTTTTCCTGGTTCTTTGATTAGCTTTGTTCTACCTGAGATGAATACATTTGTGGCCTTTTATATTTTTGGTTCCTCAAGAATGTCTGTCTTATTACTGCATTTTTCGCTAGCAATTCAGGCAGTAATCATCGCCCATTTTCATTGCCTGTGGATGATTTTCAATCCATAGTCTGAGTTACTTGTCTGAAATCTTGTAACCAGATTGGATGCCACTCCTAGCTTTTACAAAGCTATGGGATTGAACGATGTTGGAGTGTTATGGACATCACACATCTAAGGCTCCAAGAAAACATAACCAATACCCAAAATTGTTTTTTTTACTGCAAACATGTTTTCTTTCTTTCTTTCTACCACTTTTCCCCGTTTTTGATGATTATGACAATCCCAAAATATTAGAAGAAAATGAACGCAGCTCAGGATTTTTAAGTACTATTGTTTCATCCTGTAGCTTTCTTTTCCCTTTTTTTTTTTTTTTTTTGTCTCTTGTTCTGGATGGGCTTGGGCCTTACAGCTAACTTGGAATGTAAATACAACTATACTTGTAATGCTGGAATGTTATCAATTTCCGTCTTTTAATGATTGATTGTCTTTTTCTGCCTTAAACTTGTCTGTTTGTATTTGTCATAGTTAAAGATATCAATGGTTTGTGCTTACATTCAACTGTTTTTGTTTCTTGTATTTTTTTCCTGTGTTGCCACAACTTCTTATTGAAGTTATGTAACCAATGTCAATGATGAACTGCTTTCGTGAAATTGTTACAGTGATGGTCTAGAATGATGAAAATCTCGTGTCTTCTTTTACTTTGTTCGACCTTATTTCTTGTTTGTGATTGACATGATTTGATTTGTTACCACTCTTTGCCTGTTTGAACTGATATAAATATTGGGTAATTAGGATGATTGTATTTTGTACTAGTCTTTGTCAAATGGTCGCTCATATGCTCTCTTTCTGACTATGTTTTTCAGGGACGCCCAAAGGGTGTTACACCTAAATACAGCTTAAAGCCTCTTGTACCAAGACTATCTGAACTTCTTGGTGTTGGGGTTAAGATGGCAAATGATTGTATTGGTGAGGAAGTTGAGAAAATGGTGGCTGAGATTCCAGAAGGGGGTGTTTTGCTCCTTGAAAATGTACGGTTCCACAAGGAGGAAGAAAAGAATGACCCCGAATTCTCCAAGAAGCTTGCTTCTCTTGCTGAAGTCTATGTGAATGATGCATTTGGTACTGCTCACAGAGCCCATGCTTCCACCGAGGGAGTCGCTAAATACTTGAAGCCTGCTGTTGCTGGTTTCCTTATGCAGAAGGTATGATGGTTTGCATCTTTATCCCGTTCTAAGTGCTTTCCTCCAAGAAATTGATATCTTGTGAAAATGCACGTGTGCATGAAAAATTGAAATGAGAAATGCACTGTTTATGGCTTGATAATTATAAAAGCTGTCATATAGATTCCATTTGACCTGTTAAATTCATGGCTGCATACTTGACCATCTTCTGCATGTATGACCTGTCTGGTGCTCTGATTTTAGGAACTTGACTATCTTGTTGGAGCTGTGGCAAATCCCAAGAAGCCATTTGCTGCTATTGTTGGTGGCGCAAAGGTATCATCCAAGATTGGAGTGATTGAATCCCTCTTGGCGAAGGTTGACCTTCTCTTCCTGGGTGGAGGAATGATCTTTACTTTTTACAAAGCCCAAGGGTACTCAGTTGGGTCATCCCTTGTGGAGGAAGACAAGCTTGATCTCGCAACTTCTCTTATTGAGAAGGCCAAGGCCAAGGGGTAAAATTACTGCTGCCTACTGATGTGGTTGTTGCCGATAAGTTTGCTCCAGATGCCAACAGCAAGGTTTGCGTCTCTGTTTAAATTATGTGCATTTTGTGGAAATTGTACGTGTAAAACCTGGGAGTTTCACTTTCGAGTTACTAAGAGCTGGCTAGGGTTTTTGTTTTTTTCAGTGGGATACACAAAACAAGCTTCTATGCACACTCAGGCACACAGAGAATTGGAATGTAATATAGAACATTTTTGTTTATAGTGTTAAGTGCAATTTTGTGGCAGGTGGTACCAGCTTCTGAGATAGCAGATGGGTGGATGGGTTTGGATATAGGACCTGATTGCATCAAGACATTTAGCGAGGCATTGGATACAACCAAAACCATTATTTGGAATGGACCAATGGGTGTCTTTGAGTTCGAGAAGTTTGCAGCGGGAACTGAGGTATCTCATAGTGCTTAGATCTCGTGTTCAACCACTGGCATTTTTAGCATTGTAATTGAGCATTATCTTTTTCCTGATTCAGGCAATTGCGAGGAAGCTTGCTGAGCTCAGTGGCAAGGGAGTGACAACCATCATTGGAGGAGGTGACTCTGTTGCTGCTGTGGAGAAGGCTGGACTCGCTGACAAGATGAGCCACATCTCAACAGGAGGTGGCGCCAGCTTAGAGCTTCTTGAGGGGAAATCACTGCCTGGAGTCCTGGCTCTTGATGACGCTTAAGTTGAATTTCCCCGTATTACTTCTTTTGTGCAATTTTAGTGATGTTATATTGCTATTATATGTATGGTTTTGGTACCAGAGTGGACGAAATGATAGAGGCTGATCTCATGGAGGCTGTAGAGTGACTAAATAAATGTCCTCTCAAGCATTTTCAACCATGCAATGGGTTATTGGATCCTTTTTGGAACTTTGTTTTTGATGACCCAATTATGCCAATTTTCTCTCTCAACCAGTTATTTCAGTTTGAAATTTTAATTCTGATACCAGTGGTGAACCCGGTTCTGCATCATGTTTTGCCCCCAAATCTTCCTTTGGGATCCTTGCATTTGACGTCAGAAATATAAATTTTTGACATAAATAAAAAATTTAGCTTCATAAAAAAATGTTTTTTTTTTTTTTGGTTTGAATTTAAGAGAGAGTATTTTTTTTTTGGGTAATTAATTATTTATTTCCATTCATAAAGGTGAGGGGAGAATTTGGGAATTTTTTCTAACATTTTTTAGATTTTTTAGGGGTTTTTTTATTTTCTTAAGATTTTTTTTTTGAACAATTTAATGTAATGTATCAGTATTCTATCAGTCTGGAAATTGCCTCTGTTCCTTGAAAAAATGGATATGATTGTTAGAATATAATAAATGGATATGATTTATGAAAAATAAAACAGAAAAAGTACATTTTAAACTTTCTCACTCTCTTAAAAAAAAAAAACAGCTGTTATGGCATGCAATGGTCATTATAGAATGGAATTGGGGGTAGCTGTTATTGTTTTTTTTTTCCCCTGGTTATAACGCATAGTTTTGTGTTATGCAAGCGTTACTGTTTTTCTGCATTATAATGTTAACCGAGTTTATATCTATTTTTTAAGACATATCTCTTTTTTAAAACAAAAAGATGCTGAACATGCTGTTATTTTGTGTTTCAATCTTTTGTCGATTGTAAGATTTAATTGAAACATGAAGAAAAAGGCATTGGAGGGAGAATTGGTTTCTGAGAAAAGAAGATAAATAATTATTGTTTTCAACATACAAAAAGTAAAAAAAAAAAAAAAAAATCATATATAAATAAATAATAAAAAAATGAAAAAAAGAGAGAGAGAGAGAGAGAGAGAGAAGAAGATGAGTATTACAGATATACAACCGAAGGATGCGTATAAGGAAGAAGTACAGACCCCAGGGTAAAGAAAAAGAAGAGATTACAGAGGGAGGCGCCAAAAAAATGTTTGAGATTCAGACATACGAGCATTTAACTTAAACCCAGAAAACTAATATTTTAGGCCTATCTCGTGTATTGGGGCCTATATTTTTAAATGATAACTAAATATACACATACAATTTTTATTGGACCTACTTTTTTTTTTTTATTGAAGTGATAATTGGCTACTTTTATAATTTTTTTTTATAACTTTTTCACTTTATACGGGTAAGTCTATATAATATGTTTTATTATTTTAAATAATTAAAAAACTTAGGTGTAAAATAAAACTTAATTAACACTAGTTGTGAGAATTTATTTAATTTAAATGTTTTATGCTATATATATAATCGAGTTTAAGGATATCCTATGAATATTTTTTATTTTGATCGATAAAAAAAGAAAAGAGAAAACATGCAATTAATTATTTTAAAAAAATCAAATTAGAAAAATGTACTAAATCAATTTATATTAAAATATTGTTTAATTTCAGTTAACAAATCTATATAAAAAAGTAACAAATAATTTTTTTATAATATTTTAAATAATTACAAAATTTAAGCATAAAATAAAAATTAATTTACTCTAATTGTGAGAATTATTTAATTTAATATATATTATGTGATATTTAATAAAATATATCTGTTCCATAACTAAGTTTAAATATATCCTAGGAATATTTTTTATTTTGATCAATGAAAAAAAATGCAATTAATTATTTATTCTTTTAAAAATAAAATTAGACAAGTCTATATTAATTTTTAATTTTAATTAACAATTCTATAAAAAATAAAAAGATAGCCATTAAGAAAAACATTATTTTGGGTAAATAATAATAATAATAAAGCATAAAGGGGGGGGAAGAGGCTGGGCTGGGCTCATACTAGGCCCTTTCATATGGACCTATAGACAATCAAGCCCACAAGGTTGGGCTGGAAGCACAACCCAGTCATAAAAAATATATGAACATCTTTGTATATAATAAAATAATAATTAAATTTAGCAAATATAATAAGAACTCAAAGCATCGATGTATAAAAAATGAATAAAATAACCAAAAATTCTTTTTTTTTTGGAAAACAGCGTGGTTTCAAGCCAAAAAAATCTCAAAAAGACATCGTATTTGTTCACCTTGTCCAGACTTAGTTATAATGATTTCACATTGTCTTTTAGATTATTTATAATAATTTAAGAAAATTAATAATGCTTTTATTTTCTTGTTTCACATAATAAAATAAAATAAAATAAAATGAATAAAGATTATGAGTCAGTTTTTCTTCCACTCTAGCAATCAATAACTAAATTATAATTTTATCATAACATTTTATAAAAAATAATTTGAAAATTGGGTTAATTAAAATTTAATTTTTAACAGTGCAATTATTATTGAATTATAATGATGTGTCTACATAGATACTAAAAAAAAATGTTATTATTATATTTATTAAATAAAATTATCAAATTAACTGGTATTATTAAAATTTATTATGAATTTTTAAATGATTCACAATAATTATAACCGTAACTATTTTATTTTAACCCTTAAATTCTGCATTTGTTATCATAATCAATTATCGTTACTGTAAACTCGCTATTTAAAACTGTGTTTCAGAGTGAGAAGGAGAGGGAGAAGAACCAAATTTCGTGGCTCTTTAATAGCGTGCTCGAAAACCATTTGGGTATGACTCAGACCGTCATGTAACTTGAGGCCTGAAATGAGTTGCAGGATGCAAGACTCTCGTTCTTCTCCTTTTCCTAGATGCAGATGATTCCAAGATGGACTTTTTATTAATCATTCCATCCAACACTTTTATCCAATTTATGCCGAACATATTTAATTAACTCATCAATTGATGGAGGTTTGTTTAAGGATAACCCTTCGAACTTTTAATTTTCTCACTGGTGTACTTCAATTTACCATCTCTTTCTAGTATTCGTTCTTAGTTACTGTACAGTTTACCGTCTCTTTCGAGTATTCTTTACCTGGCTGCAAAACGGTGATCAATCCTATGTCAAGACACAAAAAGAGAGAACAATGCTTGGAAATCAAATTTATTTTCTTTTCTCATAAAATATGGTAACCAGCAACCACGACAATTTCCAAAATATGTTGCGACAAAACCTAGGTGCCAATGTCCAGTATTCTTTCTACAACTTGCGAATCTATTGCTGTATCTTGTTCCCTCAAGAGTGCGCAATAGAAAAATTACGAAGTCTTCGATATTTCTAAGTTTTGACCTGCATGAAGCCATGGACCTTGCTATGGTATGAGGAGATCATATCTAAAAACAAATTTAAAACATTTCTTGACGACTTCCAACTGCTATTAGACTTGAGAGACTTGTTTATTCAATGGACGAGACCTTTCTGTCAGGATTAACTTTTTGTACACTAACATTGTACTGAAAATTTTGATGTGAAAATGACACGTTATTTCTGGAGTGCCGGGCGCCAAGCTTATATAGCCAATTATCTTGGACTTCAGAAGCATTAAGATCATTTCGAGGGTAGTATTCCTCTAGACAAACTTCAATTTTAATTGGGTTGCGAGCATCATGTGCTCATTGTTGACTTGTGCCTTGCTTGTTCATTGGAAAGTTCACCTCATGACTCAAAGTTAAACTCAAATCTGATGACACCATAAAAAAAATAATCTCTTTCCCAGACAAGTGGAAAGAGACACAAATCCAGCAACCTAACCATGTTTTTTTATGCACTCTAACGCCTAAAAGATTCTGAAAATATTCAAACTTGAGCTAAATCATTTGACCAGATATTTAAATACTATAGCAGGGTGCATGCATGGTTGCTGGCTAAGTGGGCGTTCTGTCAAGGTTTTGAGCATCTTGAAAATGATTGAGCCTGTAGAAAGTAAAAGCTATTTTCTGAGGTCGCTGGCTGTGTTTCACTTAATTTGTTTGATCAATTTCTCCAGTGTCGAGGCAAGAACTCGTCACAACAAATGGGAGGTCAAATATGAATACAAGTCCCCAGACTGCTATAAGAAGCTGACTATCACCATAAATGGGAGATCTCCAGGACCTACAATTTTTGCACAGCAAGGTGACACTGTTGTTGTTGAGCTAAAAAATAGTTTGTGGACAGAAAATGTCGCTATTCACTGGCATGGAATCAGACAGGTATCATGAGGTTTTTCGGTCTTAATTTTTTCAGGTCTTCATATCTTCAACCATCCTGCATATGTTAAAAACCTTTTTGTTGTGCAAACTACTTTCCGACCACAGCTTGGAACGCCATGGAGTGATGGCACGGCAGGGGTCACCCAGTGTCCGATTTTACCTGGAGACACCTTTATTTACAAGTTTGTTGTAGACAGGGTAAGCTCACTAGTTCTAACTTCTAACCCAACGCTTTTCTTGTCAATATTAATAACAAATTCATTCTATGCTCTTATTACCAATAATAGCATTCGGCAACAGGAATATGATTCCAGATCTCAGGTTATAAATATGGTTTTCATCATTTTTTTCTAATGCTTTTACAGAACAAAGTATAACTGGCTCAGTAACTTTTTGCAGGCTGGGACATACCTGTATCATGGGCATTATGGAATGCAAAGAGCAGCTGGATTATATGGATCCATTATTGTATCGCTTCCTGATGGAGTCTCTGAACCCTTTTCCTATGATTACGATCGGAGCATAATCTTAAATGATTGGTACCACGCAAGCACTAATGAACAAGCTGCAGGCCTATCTGCCATACCCTTTGTTTTTGTCGGAGAGCCACAAGTGAATTCTATTAATTCTAAACTCATATCAACTTTATTTCTCTTGAATTAGTTATTAAGTGTGACAATATTTAGCTGATACTGATTAATTTTATTATAACCACATCTCTTTACTTTTGCTATCCAGTCACTTCTTATAAATGGAAGAGGAGATTACAACTGCTCTCTTTCCACCACTTCAGGCTCTGCAGCTGGATTTTGCAATACAACAAATCCTGAATGCTCTCCTTATTCGCTGACTGTTGTTCCTGGAAAAACATATCGACTGAGGATTGGTAGCTTAACATCCCTGTCAGCTCTTAGTTTCGAAATCGAGGTAATTCCATAACCTCGCTACCTTTCAATTGCTTCAGAAATAGTGTTTGAATTTTCAATATTCAAGTTCAAAATGTTCGTGATTGTTACTCTTATTTCTTTTGCAGGGCCATGGCATGACTGTTGTAGAAGCGGATGGGAACTATGTAGAACCAGTTGCTATAAGAAACCTTTATATCTACTCTGGAGAGACATACTCTGTGTTAGTAAAAGCTGATCAAGATTCTTCAAGAAATTACTGGGCAACTATTAATGTAGTGAGTCGCAAACCAGCAACACCAACTGGTTTAGCCATTTTGAACTACTATCCAAAACATCCACAAAAGCATCCTCCAACAGTTCCAACCACAGGGCCTCTTTGGAATAATACAACATCCAGGTTGGCTCAAAGTCTTGCATTTAAGGCTCGCCAAGGTTTCATTACTACCCCTCCTCTCACCTCAGATAGAGTGATTGTGTTTCTAAACACACAAAACAAGATTGATGGCTATTTTAAATGGTCCTTGAACAACCTCTCTCTCATACTTCCTCAGACCCCATACCTCATTGCACTTAAAGAAAATTTGACCAATGCATTTGATCAAGGCCCTCCTCCTGATGGATATGACTTTGCAAATTACGACGTATACAGCGTGGCCAAAAATGTTAACGCTACTTCAAGCAACAGAATATATAGGCTACGGTTCAATTCAACAGTTGATATCATACTCCAAAATGCTAACACTATGACTGTGAACATCAGTGAGACGCATCCCTGGCATCTTCATGGGCATGATTTTTGGGTCCTGGGGTATGGTACAGGCAAGTATAACATATCTAGTGATTGGAGAAAATACAATTTGGTTAATCCCATTTTGAAGAACACAGCGCCTTTGCATCCTTATGGATGGACTGCTTTGAGGTTTAGAGCTGATAATCCAGGTGTTTGGGCCTTTCACTGCCATGTTGAGTCTCATTTCTATATGGGCATGGCTGTGGTGTTTGAAGAAGGGATAGAGAAGGTGGGGGAGTTGCCTTCGTCTATAAAGGGATGTGGTGAATCTAAAGGCTACCATCGACCATAGTTTCTGCAACTACAAATATTATGCATTCTTTTTTCCTATTATGCAAGTAGAGGACCATATCCCTCAAACATCTGAATTTGCTTGTGATATTGGCAGGCTTTGATACTAGCCATATGCTACAAAAGACAGAAAAATCATATGATTAGTATGTAAAACTTTAATGATTTCCATATGTTACGCTGTTACACCCAACATTGGTCTTTTAGGTGAAAAATAGTACTTTTCTTTTCGTTTCATGTACTTCCAAAAACTTCTATAGATTCGTTCTTTTAAGCTCTTATCATATCTCATTAATTTAGGATTAACTTGCTACCATAAATTAATTAAGAAATAAACTGCATTGTTACAAAACCAATGATTTTACTTCCAAGATCTAAATATTCATGTTCCCATCCCATCTACTACAGACACTCGAAGCAACCGTTAAATATATAGAGTTCCTAAAAAAAAAACAAAGCCCAAAATATATAGTAGCCCAAATCAACAAGCGCAAGGGCACAAAGCCCAAAATATAATAGGAGAAGCCCAAACTTGGACTAACTAAAAGCTCAAGCGGATTGGAAGTTTTACCGCTAGACAGAAAAAGAAAATAAGAGCGAGCGAGCGAGCGAGCGCGCGAGACTCAGAGAGAATCGATTTGGGGGTGTTTGTCGGTTCAGTTCTGAATTTCAGCGGTAGTTATTCTTGGTCATTAATTTATCAATCAGGCTGTTCTGCTACTGCTGTAGTGGCTGTGGGTACGTAATTTCCTATTTTGCTAAACAAATTAAGAAAATTTATTACTATTTTTACCTAAAAAAACAGAAGAAGAAGAAAGAGAGAAAAATCAGAACTCCCATCAGTTACTAAGGTCTTTTATTAGCATCTATATTCCTCTTTAATTTACTTTTTTTTTAATAACAGTCACATCAAGATGGCATTTTTAGTAATTTTTGGAGAAAGTAAATTATACCACATCACAAATTTGCGAGATTGAATCTTAAATTTAGTTGAAGCATAAAATTTCGCTTAACTGCAGTCAAAATTTAGTTACATTTACAGTTGGGAATTTCTCGAAAAAATATTACAGATCAGTAGGAATTCACGAAAGCAGTTGGGCAAACTACAAGTGAATAAAGAGTTTAGCAGATAGCGAATATTTGCAAGTTCTATTGAATTTTTTAAAGAAAAGTTGCAAAATTCGCACTTCAATGTGGTTTCAACTGCACTTTTTTCTGTGCAAGAATTACTTGTTTACAAGTGGATAGACAAATCTTCTGGCTGGTCTTATAGTCGTATAATTTGCATCTCGACTCTTTCTGTATTTACTGTAAAATTTTGCAACCTTCTGAACTGGGAAATTTCAGATTCCGATTTTTTGTTTTGTCGTCAATAAGCAGTAATAAATTGGCATGCTATTTCTTTGCAGAATACCTATTCTGTAACTTGAGGAAGAGGTTCATGATTCTTCAATTCTTGAAAGACTTCTGCTCTACACTTCTTGCCTCTCCAATGTTGATAGCATTCCTGGTAGATGCTTGGTTAGAAGAGGAGCTTGATTCTCTCCGGATCGAGTCAGTAGAAATGGGCAGGGGAATTTGGAAGCAATACTTGGGGACTGCACAAGATTTAGCACAAAGGTGGAAGAAAGAGAGACTTAAAGTCTTCAACCATGGAGAATTTGGCAACCATGGATCAACTTGTTCGCCATCTGGTATGTCTAGGGATGCAATTGATCCAAGGATCAACTGGGAGCCAGGACTATCTTACCATCTTCCAGGAATCAGCTGCCTTCACCTCAGAGGAAGGGAGTTGAATTAATCGTTCTTCTGTGGAGAAAATAAATTATGTGAGTGATTAATTCCGAATGCTATGCAGGGAGCAGAAAGTTCATCTGACACTTTCTTGAATTCATGAAATGAAGTTTTCAATAGGTCATGGCAGAAGTTTGGTTGATGGGGAGGCAAGATATACTTTACATGGATGATCTTGACAAAGAAATAGCAGGTTGAGTAGTTAAGATGCCTGTGGCTCTTGAGATTGCTTCCTGGTATTTATAAGGTTAGAGAGAATTCCATGTTAGACCCTATGCTTGAACATAGTTCAGGTCGCCATTCTATGGGTCCAACTGCCTTTGGGTGGGAGAGAGGGTTTGGCACAACCTGCTTCTAATGGGTTGAGCTTCCAATGACAAGAAAAGTCTGGTTGAAAGTGATGAATCTCATGAGATTGAATCAGCCTTTTCTTAAGAGGAGGTGTGGCGAGAAAGCATTATCTTTAGAGAAAACCTTTTGTTGAACACTATAATTATCTTCAGGCTTTTGTGTTAAGAGATGATAATAAGTTTGGCTGAGTTTAGTGGAAAGGATTAGAAACGACAAGCTCCTGAGAAACATTGATAAATCAATGGAAAAGGTTGGAGCAGATGCTCTGCACATTCATGGATTTGGAGGTTTGAAGATCCTGTCAGAGATTAGCATGAGATGCAGGTAATATAACAAAAAGGCAAGAATGTGTCACTTCGGAGAAAGATTTCGAGGAAAATTTACATTTGAGTCTTAAACCAGGAAGTAATGGGTCTTAAGGAATCTCAACTAATCTGGTCTTTGAAATTTTGGAGCTTGTGCTTTATTTTGGCTTTGCTTTATGAGGAAATTTGGCATCGGTATGAGATTTCTGCTTCACTCAATGCTTTGGTCTAAATTTCTTTCAGTTATTATATTTCTCTTTTTTTATTTTTCTTTTATTCCATCATATCATCATTTTTCTTTTCCTGAAAAATTTTGAAATTATCAGTGACTTCTTACTGAAGCTGCATACTGGGTAGAAAAATTTTCTTCGTCATGTTAATGGGCATTACTTCATGTAATGATGTTTCTAGCAGTTGATCATGCAATTGTCATCATTTTCTATTATTTGCTTTGACCATTCTTCTTTATGATGATCGTGTTATTGGTTCAAATTCCCAATCCTAAACATCTTGCTTAATTCTTCTGCACTGAATTTTGCACTCTAAGTCATATTATTGAGCATTATGAAAAATATTTATTGATGGAAGTGTGTTAAAGGAGGAAAGATTAAGATCCGACAAATGCATAGCATGTATCATCTAGACGTAGGAGGTAATGCATGCTTGAGATAAATTCATGAAGCCATTTTAGATGTTGTTTGCACCCCCAACTCCCCTCCTCCCACATTCTCTTTGCTTGAGATTTGATTGGTGCCATTTATGGGTCTTTAGATTGTAGATGGTACTTTGTCATAAAATGAGTGCAAATGAAAATATTATGTCTCTAGTGTGACCTAAGCAATGAAGACATCAAAGCCCAAATACCCCTTTCTTGGTCCCATAAAAGAAGAATATGAAAGTATAGAAGAAGAATATCAATTTCAGCTTATCAAGTGTAGACATACCTGAACTTCTATTCTGATTTTTCTTGTGTATCACAAATCTGACATGCCAAGGTTTATCAACACCTTCTTTTTGCTCCTCCTCTTATGCCATTCCTTTTTTCCTTCACTTCTCACCACCATAAGATGGGTATGCGTATGGTTTTTGGAACTGGTAAATGGGATTTTATCATGCGTGCATGATATTCAGAGTCTTTGGCAGTGTATTTATAAGAGAAAAATAATCCTTCTAAAGGAAACCAAATCTAAAGAATATAACTGAATCCTGAAAAACCCAGCATTTTGTCTGAATATCTTTGAAAGCAAATCTAGTAATGAGTAAAAAATCAGTTCACCATTATAAGAGAAATAATATTAACCAATTAATTAATTCCACAAAAAGAAAGGATTTAGAATGAAACATACATCAAATTGATGGAATTAAATTAGTGGTAGGGGGTTTATTTACCAATAAGTTTAAATGAGTTCAAATACTAGGGCATGCATAGTTTTTTTAAACATATTTATACGCTATATTTTGTTTTTCCACAAATTAGAATATCAAACAATCAATCTACTGAGTTAAGAACACAATGAATGGTGAGGGTCTATTGTATTTAATATGAGTTGAAAAGAAGGGTGACAAATTAGATGTAAATAAGGTTGTTTTTTCTTTTTTTCTTTTTTTTGTGAAAAGTAAATGTTGTAAAGCCGAAATGTAGTTAAATGACCTCATTGTGTTTGAAATTCTTTAATTTTTATCATTTATTTTGTTCTTTTATTTGAATAAATTATGGAGTATCGAATATAAATGAAGGAGAGAGTAGTTGGATTAAAAGAATTAAAGTGAGTTGTAATTAGAAATTTAACAGAAAAACTAGATAATTAATTGTTTGACTTTTTTTATAATGGACAAACAGTTTTGAGACATCTCAAAATGAAAAGGTGGACAAACTTTTAGAGACGGAGGGAGTATTATAATCTATCACATAAACTAAAGTAATTTATTTTTAAAAATGAAAAGTTAATCAATTTCGATAAAATTTTATTTCAAAATCTGGATATACGAAAAATTTAATCATATTTTTTAAGAAGGGAGTTTCCTTAAAAAAGCAAAGAAAAAATCAATTCAATGAGAATTTTCATAAAAATTTACAGATTAGAACCTTTTTTTCTGTAATTGTGCATATATATATATATATATATATATATATATATATATATATCTAGATAAAGTTATGAAATAAGCAAGTAGAAAGCTGAAGAAATTAGCTTTAACCTTCTGATTTATATATATATATTTCATTATATTTTAAAGTCCATATCCTAAAAGATACACATATATATTTGAAGCTATTTAATTTCTATAAACATTATCATATTTAATTATAGTCTTTTAAGAAATTACTAAAGATAAAAATGAATTAAGATTTAAATATTTTTATGGTAGGAACCCATTGCACAGCAATTGGATTATATTATTATTATTTCCTAAAAAAACTATTTAAAAATATGAATAAGTAAGAAACTCTTTGGAAAAATATTTGATTAAGCAAAAAAAAAAAAAAGATGAATAGAGCCATTTTAATTTTTTTTTTAATGCAGAATTTTCATATAAATTCATTCAAGACATTCTTTGCATTTCGAGTGACAAACAATTTGAAATATATGGTAGATATAAATGCCATATTTGGAATTTTAAATAAGATTTGAAATTCATGTTTAATTAGAATATGAAAATGCATATTAAATATTTTTGCAAGGTTGTGTGAAGAATCCAAAATGTTGTGATTATTTTTTCATTATATTTAGGGAAATTTGATTTTGAACAAATAATAACAGAAGAAAAGAAAATTATCTTGAAAAAAAAAGAAAAAGAAAAGTTGTTTCTAGGCCGACTTGTGCGAGGCCCCTGCGTTACAGCCTAGCAAGCTAGGCTTATATGCCTTGGCTAGCTGAGCTAGTTTTTATTTTATACTTTTAAAAAAGAGGCTGTCGAGATGTGGATGACTTTTTGTCCCTTGAATGTGCTTTGACGAATCCCCAGTCTCTGGAATTCCAATCTCTACTGGCATTACTTCTCAAACACTATTTTTGCACTATTTTTCCCTCAAATCATTCCAACGAAATTTTTTATGATATTCTAGGAATAACTACCAATACTTGATCCATAGAAGATATATATATATATATATATCATTTTTGGTGAGTTTGGATGTGACTTTCTATAGAGTATGTATTGATAGCTACTCATGAAGTATTCTAAAATTTTTCATTTCCCACAACCTCAACAATCCTATTTTCAACTTTAAATTTCATTTTAATCGAATTTAAAACTTTGAAAAATCAAATCAAGATTTTGAAACTAATTTGTTTCCAGGTTTAGATCTCCATTTCTCGAGGATATTGAGTTTTTGGTGGCAATTCAATCAACTCAAATGACCAAGGGAAATACAATGACACTATTTTCATGAAACTCGCCAAAATAAGTACCGCTTGACACCCTTCTCTCTCCTTCTTCTATATTGTTCATTTTCGCTCTCCTCTCCAGCAAAAAGAACTATAGGATCGAAGTGTGGATATAGCAAAGGAAAAAAAAAAAAAAAACAGACTTAGGCAAAAATATACAAAGTCTTAACTTTTTTAATGCCGTCAAAAGTGTACAAAACTTCAAAAAGCTCACTTACTAACAGTAATTGAACAATAAAAGAGGCCCTGTTTTAGTATATTTATAAATTCGGAGCAATAATGCTGATGTTGGTAATTTGGCAATATTTTTATCCTAGAGTATTGCTGTACATATATTAGCTTTGTATGCTGATGGACATGGCCTCCTGCCATGCACCATTGCATATGGCTGCCATATGTCTCCCACCAATAACTCCAATACTGCTTGGGTGCATGGGATGTATTACCTTGACACAATTGCCGATTCACTTTATTGTTGCAAGTGGCTAATGTAAATAGTTTCTTCTGAAGAAGAAACATAATGATGGTGATGTATAGGAATCGGTAAGAGAGGGAACTAAATTCTACCCGTCCCCAATTTTTAAGTATAACTGACAAAGAAACTTGATTTTGTTGTTTTTCTCAACTTGGTTTAATTCCGTAAGGGATATCACTTACCATAGAATAAGATGAAAATGAAAGTCAAATGAATGGTAGAATAATTTCCTATAGCCCAGGCACCAGCAGGAAAATAATTTCTTGATGCATGGACTTCAGGAAATTATTATCTGAACGTGATTGGAATTGTCTAAAATTCCTATTTTAGAGATTTTCTCGTGCAATTCATCATTCTTGTGCAGCAAGGCCTAGGCTTTACAGAAAGTCTGTGGAATCTAATAGTCTTCATCCCAAACGGTTTAGTATTCCTTTATGGTATGGGCATTAAGGACAGACGTTGATATGATAATCATAGAATAAGCATCTGTCCTGCAGTCAGAGCAGGTGGTGACTCCAATGATGACCATAGTTTGCACTGTGAGGACTTGAAACTTAGCTATTTTTGTTTCTTGTGTGGCCGAATTGGTGGGTGACTTATAAAGGGATTCTTGCCAGATTGTGCTTTGGTGACTCTTTCTACTTGTGGTTTGGAATGAACCAATCTATATTGATAAAGATTGTCATTGATTTTTTCTCTACATAATACGTACCTAGTAATCTCAATGATACAGTGTATGGTGGGCATCTGTGATATACTTTTGCCACCATAACCAGCAGTGAAAAAGTAGTGGTTCAAAGAACTCTTGAGAGTTCATTTGTGAAGTTATATCCTTGAGATGTAGGAGATGTTATGGCTAGAAGAAAAATTCCAGTTGCAAGTGGAGTTAACAATAATTCTCAGCATGTTGTCATATGTGGTTTATTTATCCTGTTGATTCATGAGATTCACGCTATTATTGGAGCATTGTAGCTAAAAAAATGTTGGAAATGCATGCATATACACATGCAGTTGCTTTGGTTGGAGAAAGGATAGTTACTGTATGGAGTTTTTAGGTACAGTATGTGGGACTGATGGTTAGCATGTTGCTCAGGTGAGTAAGAGGGGTTCTCTAAAGATAAAAGAAGAACGTGTGAAGAGAATGTGCAATATTGGTTTCAGGAAAGTGCTTTTTTTTTTTTTTTTTTTCATCTTCAAGGTCATTAAAATGCATCCAAGCGATTTCTTGCCATTAAAGGGCTTGAATTTTGAAGACCTGAAGAGCCAAACTCTCTTGGTACGAGAATATTTTGTTGTTTACATTTTTCGTTTTCCTTTTTTCTTATTTGGCCACTGTTTTTGCTAACCGCACAAGGTTGGCTCACTCAAAATGAGTGCACAGAGTGATTGAGCAAGAAGGAAAACTTTATCTTTCTTGGCTTATTCTTCTGATTATTCCATGGGAAAGTTTATGACTTCTTGGAACTCAGTGAAAGAATTGTGGGAGTCTATGAGATAGCATTCTTAGGCATCACAACTATGGCAGCTAGGACTGAGGTCTACCTCTAATGCCATTTTACAATGAGTAATTGATTTTACCAGTGGTCTAGGCATTAGTCATTACATGACAAGCAACCCTGATGATGCGTCTACTTTGGCAAGACAAAATTGATTACTTACTGCATGTGTGGCCTGAGATGATATATCATGCAAAACATATATTTTGCTTTTATGGCTATACAATAGTTTTAGTATTTACTGCTGTGAAAATATAATTTTTCCCTGCAAGATGCATTTGCTTTATCAAATGGTTTTAGTGGATCTTCTGGTTTTAAATTTATTTTTGCCACCATGGCAGCCCAGTGTCAATTTTCTAATTACCAAACAGGATTTCTGTGTATACATATGTGTGTGCATTTACTACAAAATGCCTTGAGAAAAGACACTAATAGTTTTCATTATTATGCTTGCGCTTTATGTTAGAAAGCATCTCTCTCTCTCTCTCTCTTTTTCATGTGTGTTCTCTCTATTATTTTTTATCCAAACAGGCGACTCCAAATTCCACTCAATGATCCAAGCCCAAAAATTATCACTGTAAATGGACAAAATAGGAAAGTCTAATAAGCAAATCTATTGGATTTATTATTGGATCTGACCATATCTACTATTCTTCTCCAAATTAGTAAACTAAATACAATAAAATGTGGTTCATCTATTTTTCTTAGCCACCTGACTTGGTTAAGAAAGTTATGAGCTGGCTACAATTAATTTCTCAAATAAGGTGACATAAATGGTATTTTCTTATACAAATGTGACAGTATAACTATTACTATTATGAATGGCAAGGACAACTAACGTTGTTAAATGTGTGATGCAATTTTTTCCTATTGCTTATACAATTGGTACAGTGATGTAATTATCTTTAGGATCACTTTTAAATTGTGTGATTTTTTATTTATGTTCTGGTTTAGTGATTTTGTAAATGACATTGCCTGCAAGATCTACTCAATCCAGAATTACATGTTACTGCAACATAATTTTAGCAAAAGCTAAGTGCATACAGTGAATTAGTTTTGCTTATGCAATTGTTAGTTTGTTACAGCAACAAAATTATTGATTGAGGCAAGCAGTTTTTAGATTATTTGATTTCCTTTAATTAACATTTTAGTGACTTTGTAACTCAGTGTTCCTACAATATGCAATCATTTTTTAAAGCAGAATTGCATGTTACAATGTGCCTGTTTGAGTACATAATTTACCAAAAAAGCAATGACAATGCAACCCGTTTTTATTATATATTTATCATCCACATAGTCCTTACATTTAGTAATCTGCTATATGGTTGGTAGGTTTATTGTCAAATTAAATGAGATCGTGTCCATCAACGGTCATGGATAACGAAAAACGAATAACAGAAAACGGTTGCTCCTTTTCAGCATAAGCTGTGATGCTGTGATCCTTGCTTGCTTTTGAAATTTTTTGTGCATAGAAGATCATACTAAAATGTGCTTTATTTTTCTAACATCGATTTATTTTGCCTATTCACTTTATATATCTCTACCGTCGTTCCGCCATTATACTGTGTAAGTCGACCAATAATCTGTATTCTGATTTCTCCCTTCATAATCTCTATTTTTCTGTCTTTATATATATCACTAGAGGAAAACCTGAAACTCTCTCTTTGTCACCTCTCCCTCAAAAATTAATCAACTAAGACTCTTTCTCACCCTCCTTTTTGGCTCTTTTTTGTTAATGAAAGCAAGAATGAAGAGAGCAAGCAAACAAGAAAAGAAGAGGGAGATAACTCAGGAAGAATTAAAATTCCTGAGCCAATGCCATGTGTCACTCTTCATTCAATTTCATACTCCTTACTGTCACCTCTACAGCTTACCATTACCTTCCAAACTCTACATATGCCCCACACTCTCCCCTTATAAATTCACTTTTTCTATACCTATTTTCTCTCCCACTCATTTCTACAGTCCTTGGAACTCTATTACCAGGCTTCTTTAGTATTAGGTAATTTCTGTTTGTCTCTAAATCATACGTGCATAATTCATGTGTATGGAAACCTCTCTCGGTATTTATATGCTGTTGTTTTCTTGATTCTGCTAGATATTGTGTTGTTATCATGCCCTAATCCTCTGCTGCGTGTTTCTTTTTCCTTCTCTTCATAGCAAAATGCTTGATCAAGAATCCAAGGTAAAAGGAAATCTGGTGGACATAAAGGAGAATGAGACATCTTGATTTGTTTTTGCTTAATTAATCACCAACTCAAAATTTTTGAATTTTGAAATTATTTATTTATTTATTTATTTATTTTAATTTCTTATCAGATTACTTGTTTTGATAATTTGCTTATTGATGTTGCCATGCAGTTTGTGTGAGAATTGGAATTTAGCCAAGTTCAGAATTAAGTGGAGGTATGAGGATTGAGTTTCTTGTTTAATTGAATTTTGTGTTTTAAGTAGAATGCTGAGGCAATAAATAGTTGCTCAAAAAGAAAAAAGAAAAAAAACTCCTGGTATTACTTTATGAATACGCCCACTTTTAGTGGTAATTTCTTTTATAGACCATATGCTAAAGGTGGAAGCCAATTTCTGGAATCCACGGGATAGCAGATGTTTCAGTTTTTAAATGTTAACCTAATGGCCAGATCTGGCCTTTCTAACATAATTGTTAGTTTAACTGGGGTTTATATGAAGAATGATTCTTAAAATTTTTTATTCTTGTCAAGATTTAAAATGCTAATCCTGCTTAACATGTGTTGGAATTGGCAACTTCTTTAAAAGATCATTTACAAGCTTTCAGGTTTTTCAGAATGAAGGTGGTCATTTTGCATATAACATATTGGTTATTTCATAATTACAGCGACATTTAACTTTTATAGGTTTTTGCCATCAGCTTCTTATAGGCATCTTGTATGAACCTAGACTTGGAGTAGCTATTCGTTATAAAATCTAACTCAGTCAAGTAGGTGAATGAATTTATTGAGGTCTTTCTTGTATTGATATTAAAATGTCTGACGCAGTCAAGTAGTTGGCATGCTGGGCTTCAATGCACGAGCAGCTTAACTGGAAGTGAGGATTAAATTTTGCTTGAAATCTTATTTATCTGTACGGTAGGATTAAGCTTTGCTTGTCCTCTTTACAACAAAATCAAGGTCATGCAGCCCCTTTCCTTACAAGTCTTTTAACATTGACATATACACAATGGATTTTATGAGAGGATTTACTTTATTAGTGGATTCCAATGTCTGATCCTTCTCCCTTCTGTCTCTCCATCCGTGTCTCCCTTGTTTTCTTTCCACTTTAACCATGGGACTAATTGTTATATTGAGAATGTTGGCTTTTATGAAGTCATAATGCATTTTACTTGTCAATCTGCAATGATATCCATTCCAACTTCTCGGAACAGGTTTGGTATTGTCCATTCAAGACTTTACTTTGGCTTAAGTCTTCTTGATAGAGAAAGCTTTGGAATTACATGAAATGATTTTGTCATAATTATCAAGCCTACTACTTTTACGAAGAGTGACTATTAGGAGGTATTGATGTTTGAAGGCTGTTTACATTTGTGTGATGTGATTGTAGTCGTTTAATGTCTGGGATAATGTAGAACTTCCTTGTAGCTTTGTTCTGATTTAGTTTCTCTGGCAAGCCTTATCAGAAGACATATTCAAGGATGTCTCGAACAGCTGAAAAAAGTAAGATGATTAACAGTTGTTGGAGCTTCAACCGCAAAAGGAAAAGTCGTCCATGCAGACAAAGCAAATCAAATAGTTATGGAGTAGTTTCTTTAGCTTCATATTCATGGGAAGCAAATGCGAGCTGCACTTCCAATTTGCCACCACGCCCAATAGGAGATGATGGGGTGAGTTTTCCTTTTCTTTGGTTTGTTATGAGAAATTTCTTGAGACTCCAAATCTGTTGTCTTTTTATTCTATAGATTAGTTTTGATGTTGATTATGTTACATAAAACCCAACTGCCTTAAGCGACTATGAGCTACTGTTATCAAATTTTGTTTCGGAACCATGAATTGCATCTGTTTGGTTTAGGGTCTCTTCCTGTTAACCATTGGCATTCTTCTCTTAATTTTTCTTAAGTTGCCAATTCTTTTCTTTTATAAGATGATAAAGCACTTTCTTTTCAACGGAAGAAAGAAAAAGAAATGCTCTTGATGATTCAGAGAAGCATACAGAATATTCTATCTATCCCTGATGGATTAATTTATGTTTTTGATAAGGTCAAAACAAAAAAAATGGAAATGCTATTCACCACGAAGCTTTGATGCATCTACGTCGAGAAGAGAGTTGTCTAATCAAAGTGTCAATTACTTTGTTAGAAGTATTCTTATGGGATTTGCATTAACGGTTGTTGTTTATCTCACACAATAATGTTCACTGATCTAGCCTCTCTTTCCTTTTGTTTTCAGAATTACTATGAGTGCGTGATCTGCAATTATGGTGGTGATTTGCTTTGCTGTGACTTCTGTCCATGCACTTATCATCTACAGTGCCTTAACCCACCTCTTGAAGTATATAAATTTTATGTCTCAGTTTCTCGTTTCCTTTGATCAATGTTCTAATTATCACAAAGATTGATATTTGTTATAATTTGTTTATGCTCAAAGTGTATTCCCCCTGGAAGCTGGCAATGCCCAAACTGCTGTAAAGAGGCTGATCCTGCTACTCAATCGCTATGTATCAAAAGTTCCATAGAAAATGTCTCATCTAACAAAGCAGAGCTGGCACACTCTCATAATTTCTTATCTTCAGGCATAAAGAAGAAACTAGACTTGTCATCGGATCTACCTGCACATGTAGCGTCAGGATCTCTTACCCATGAGGTATCCTTTCCTTTGATGTTTTTTCAAGCATAATGAAGGTTTTTGTCTGGATTGGCTTATTTGATCAAGGATTTCATCTTACCTCATACTATGGATATTTAAAGATTGTAATTGTAATGCCTAGATCTTTGGCAATAAAAGGCTGGGGCATTAAGGGAGAGAAAAAAGGGAAGGGGTGAAACTAGGACATAAATTTGTCATTCTTTACTCTCAGTGAATGATCAACTCTGCAATCAGCTGTTAGAACCAATAGGTCTTCAAATCATTCATTTGAAAAATGGAAACCCTTTTTATTGGATGATCATTTTTCATTTTATAGAAGGTACCTAAACATTTGTTGCAATAATTTATGTACTGTATTAAACAATTAACAACATGCTTGAATGCTGTCATTCTTCCTACCTTTTCCTTTATAATTGCTGCTGTTTCTTTTTCTTCTTCTTCAGTTCATTTTTCTTTCACTGCGTATCTTGTGCTGCAGAATCTTCCTGCTGGTTCATTGCAATCATTATATGACTTGGCTGAGGCTGGAGATCTACTGGAAAGAACATCCAAGAAATATGTCCCTACTAAAGAACAGCTGGTGAATATTTTCTTGTATTGCTATTTCTAGATCTGTCATTTACTTATTTGTTTATTGGGATTATACAAGCAGATGAGCCATCTTAGATCTCCTCTAGTATGTTTTGAATTTCTTTATTCCTTTCTTCCCTTTTCCTTTCCAGAATGCTCTCAGCCATGCTGGTGATGAAAAAGGAACAGAAACTAATTCTAGAGCAAATGAAATAATAGTGGATATCAATCCGAGTAAATCAACATGGTTTTGTGGTTCTTCTGCAATGGTGAATGGAGATCACACAGACAAACCTATCATCAATACTTCAAGGTTGCTTGATTGCTCAAACATTCAAATTCTGTCAGGTGAACAGGCTGATGGGGTTTCCGAGAATGAAGATCTTAATGCAGTAAGGGTGTGTTGCATCAATCATTCCAAGACAACTCAGTGCTAACATCAACTACTTGAGACAAAATCATTGGAATTCAGAACTTGTGTAATTTTTTGGAAGTGGTATTGCATAAACATGTTGGTGAAAATTTGTGACAGCATGAAATCAAAACCCCTGATACTTGTGATCGAACACCTCGAAATCAAATCCAAATATTATTTATTCTGTATTGTGGTCTCATTATCTTTGTTTTGTCAATATGCTGTCTTAATTCTTTGGTTGTTTATGAGTGAAATGTTTGTCCATTATCAGCCCCGCAACAAAAAACCAAGAGAAGAGCAAGGGGAAAGGATGGCATGCCAAGGCCAAGTAACAAACAATGATATTTGTCCAGCAAGTCCTAACGTGAATCAGTGTGACAAGCTTTTGGTTTTGAGGTAAAATATTATTCACTCCTGCTGATAGTCTGTTTTTTTGCTAGTTTACAGCTCAGAAAAATTTCAACCTACGTAACCAAAACCAAGACCTCTGCATTGTACTGTCTCTTCTCACAAAGATTGTCCTCTTCGAACCCAAATTTTTAGTTAGGATCAAAATAGGGAAGTAATAGAATTGATGCTTCGAGTATTTGGTATTGGACATATACTTTGGAAGCAAATAAATGGGGACATACTTTGTGGGACAGAGGGAGTATTAACAAAAATGAATTCACTAATAGGATGATGTCTTTGGAAAAAATTTGCCAGGGATGTCATGCTGGAATCAATGGTGGATCATTACAAGTCCAAGCAGGTATGTGAATATTCATTCTTTAGAACATTCTATAGTTTTGTTTTTAATTTGTTGAAGAGCATTTATTGACTCTTACCCGCCATGATGTCAATGCAGAATATTGGAGAGAGGGAATTACAGCAGGGATGGCGGCCTCAATATCCAGAAGGTCGGAAAACTCTGAAAGCAAAGCAGTAAGTCTAAGCTTTAATATGGGCACAGCTGTAATTTAATTGTGTTGATATTTATATTCTAACAACTATTTCCTTTAAATAGTGCCAAGCTTCGTGCAAGACAGAAACAAAAGCTTGCTCTAAGGAACAAATGTACCATTCTCAGTCCAGTAACTGTTGAACAAGTGCCAGATGGTTGGTCGGATGAGGAGCTTGATTCCCTTTGGGTTGGAGTCCGAAGACATGGACAGGGAAACTGGGAAGCAATGCTGAGCGACCCCTCCCTTTTTTTCAAGGGTAAAACCGTAGAACATTTAACACAAAGGTGGATGAAAGAGGAGAGGCATAAAATCTTCAACCTTGAAGAAAATGGAAATCTACAAATCGATAGGCCTCAGGCAGCTGGAACCACCTCACTGTCATCTGAGGATCGACTCTCTTCAGGTCAGACAAAGATCGTTGAACCAAAGCTTCTTCTGGGTGGACTAATTCAGATTCCATCGGCGAGACTGGATTCCACTGCAAACAGAGACTCGAATCAAATTCAGCCAAAGGATACAACCACAAACAAACAGCCTATGTGAAAATAGGCCAAATGGTGAACAACAAACAGTCTCTATGAAACTAGGCAAAGGCTACATGAAAAGAGACAAAGATACCCTTTAACTGAAAAACAAGCTGTCAAGTTAATTTCCCTTGCCATCGCAAATAAGGTTTTGACTTTTGTAAATTATCTGTCTATTTAAATGAAAGGGTTTCTCTTCACAAAGGATTCAGTATATGTATCTTTTCACTCTTGAGGACTCTCTGGAACAAGCTTTAACGTATATATGCCTAACGGGTATGTGTGATTATACCATGTGCAAGGTTTTTTTTTTTTTTTTCTAATTTAAAAAAAACTTGGGATTTTCTGTTTGAAGGACTTGGTTTTAACCTTGAGAGAGATTGGTAATGGTTCTCTCTCATTGTATAGCCTAAAATTCATTGGGCCTTCTCATTTAGTATATTAAAAAAGAAGAAAAAAGTAAGCGATAATAATAATAATATTGACGAGAATAAAACAATCAATTTCTGTTGATTTTTTCAGCTCCTTAAAACTTGTTCGAGTTATACGTTGTTCATTGGCGACCTTTCTAGATGCAATTCACACATATATAGTACTTGTTATTAAAATGAAAAATTATTATTTCAATAGGTGTTGAATGATAATGCATCAAAAAATGCTCTTATGGTTTTAGAAAATTATATCACGGATATTATAAATGTTTTTTTTCATAATTCAATTTATATTATTATTTAGTTTTATCCATATATCTTCATCCCATATTAGAGATATTACTAATTATGTTTAGAATGAAAACGATAAGGTTTAATTTTTTTTAATAAGTACAATTTCAGTTCGTAATTTAATTTATATTATTATTATTACTATTATTATTTAGTTTTATCTGGATATTTTTATCCCATATTAGAGATAAAACTAATTATCTTTTGAGACAAAGTGACATGGTTTAACTTCTTTTAACAAATGTAATTTTAAAATTCGAATCTTGCATAATGACAAAAATTCATCTGTAAATCAACATTCTTATCACTTGATCAACAACTTATTGATAATTTATTATATTATTTTTTATAAAGTCACAAATGATGTATTTATAAAAGCACAAACTATATTGAAATATTTGATTCAACTAAAATATTTCAAAAAGTGATATAATAGTATATATAAGAAAATATACATATATACGAAGACGTAAAAAAAAAAAAAAAACCCTTAGAAAACCAAATGAGAGAATACATTTAATATATAAATAAAAGTAGATAAATAAATTAATCTCATATAATATGTATCCAGGAATTGCCCAAGAAATGAAGACATGATGTCAACCTCTTCAAAGACAAATAGGAAGTCGACTATTTCTACACCTGTCTTGATTTGTTAATTTAGAATCACCAGTCAAACAACAACACAGGAAAATATTTCTTATTTCTAAGAGATCGAATGTGGTTATTTGTACAGGGGATCAAAGCACAACGTTTGTGAAAAATTCATATCAAATATCTGAATAAATATTAAAATTTACCACAATATTATCGCTACACGATATTTAGAAGATTTCAAAAAATTTTATTTTAAAATACTTTATTTGGTTTATTTATCGAAGATATAAGTTAAACCATATTTTAGAGTTGTCACTTAGTATTATAGGAATTAGAAAATCTAAAATCGACACTAATTCAGAAATTGTAATGTAAGAAGTCGGTTATTCTTTTGAAAAGATATCAATCACTTAAAAACTCTTTTCGAAGAAAATACTATATCTAGTTTAATCCTAAAGTTTATCTCATAAAAAAAAATCTATTATTTGCCAAAATTATTTCTAAGTCAAAAATTCAAGTTTTATTTCGTAAGCCAATATATATATATATATATATATATATATATTGTGGCATTAATATTGAATCGATCGTCGGACTCTATCACTCGGGAGTCTTATCAATTCAAAATTGAATCAAGTTTAAATCTCAACATAACCGATACGTCAAAAAACACGAGATAGATTTGAATTAACATCAATCTTTATTAAATATAAGACTTGCTAATTTTCACCCTATATTTCTCTTTATTTATTTATTTAATTATTTTTTTCTTTTCCCATTTTTTAATTTTATTATTGTTTTTATCATGTTTATTATATATTTTTTTCTTTCATTTTTTTTTATTTTGTTCCAAGGTTGGTGGAAAATTGCCATTAGTTCCTAAAAATTAAGTGTCTAGATGATTCGTTCATCTATTAATTACCTAATTTAACTAATGGTTATTCTAGCCATATTTAATATTAAAATAAAACCTAAAAATTAAATTAATAGCCCCTACATATTTATAGGAGTCTAAAATCTAATCATAATTTTCAGATTCACTTAATACTAAATATTAAACTAGACCCGAAATTTAATAGCTAAAAGAAATTAAAGGCTAAACATTAAACTAAATAAATTGAAATAAATAGGTAAAAAGAGATCAAAAATTAAATCCATGCAAGGCATGTATTAAAATTTCAGAGTTAATTTACCGAGGAAAATAGCTTAAAAAATAGGGAAGATGGGGCTATCGGGCATTTGAACCCAATGGGCTTTCGCCCCATTGGACCAAGTCCATTGGGTAAGCGGTTGGGCTAGCCACTATTTTACTTTTCTCTCTCGGGCCGGGTTGGGATAAACTCAACCCAACCTTCTCACACGGGCCGAGCTAAGCCTAGCCCACTATTTTTCCGCACGGGTTGGGCTAAGCCATCCTTTTTACCTTTAACTTCTTCAACAACCCGACCTCAAAAGATTAAACATCCTCACCTCGCCCTAATCTTTTTTCCTTCAAATTCCTCTTCTTTCCATTCTAAACCCATTACACATAAAACCTCTCGACCTTCACTCTTTCCTCTCAAACCCAAAGGCTCTAGGCCATCTCTTTTCTAGTTTTAGTCCTCCTTTTGTTTTCAACCCAAATCGACCCCTCACCAAAGAACCTCTTGTTCTCCTATTCGTCCTCTCAAAACGAAACCATAGTCTTCGTGATGCCCATAAAACCAATAAATGACTTAAATGAGGTTTTTAAATGAGGGGCATTAGGGTAATTTAAAAGAAAAGAAAAGAAAAGAAAGAAAGAAAATGGAAGAATTGGCATAATGGTTTTAGAAACAAAGGAAAGAAGAACGAGAAAAGGAGAAGAGAAGGAAAGGAAGGAGACGAGTCGTCGGCGACCACCCACTCCAACGATAGCTCCGACGACGACGAGTGGTGGAGTGACTCAAGTAAGAAGAAGAAAGATAAAGATAAAAAGAGGTGGAATAAGGAAGAAGGAAAAAGATTTATCAAGTTAGTTTTTGAATTTTTTTTTGAATGTATTAGGTAATTATAACCTTAATTAGGATGGGTTATAGGTATTTTAGTGAATTTCATTTTGAAGTAAGAATTAAAATTATGGATTAGGTTTGATTAAAATTAGGGTTTATTTTAGTTTAGGAAATTTGGAGAAAGTGAGTGAATAAATTAATTAGAGTCCAATTAAGCTTGAATTTTAATTTATTAATATCTAATTATTGTTATTTATGATGAATGTAAATTTATGATGATAGAGATAAGAGAGGACTTAGTGGAAAAAGCTACTTAAGGAAGAGATAATTACAATTTGGGGTGTTCCTCTAGATTAGAGGTAAGTATAGCACATATTATGAGTTTTTATTATCATATATGTATATATTGCTTGTGAAGTGAAAAAAAATGATTGTATGGATAAATGCTTCATTAGTACAAATAATTGTATATGAGTTAAATTATTTTAGTATGGGTGTTCTTATTACAAGCTAAATGAATTGAATTGGTATGTTGCCATATGAATTGTGGTTATTAAAGAGAATATTGGTACATTGAATGGGATATGTGCATGTTGATATGATGATCATTTGCATTAAATGGAATTATGTGATTGATATGTACTTGAATGAGAATAATGATATTGATGACTTGAAAGAATTCTATGCGGGATTAACTAAGCTAACATGGTTATAGTTAACCTAGGTGCACCTAGTATTACCGGCTAGGAAATGGTCGCGAGTGCTTCCTTCGTAGTTCACCTCTATGGGGGCCATAGTTTATCTTTTTGAGGACCAAAGGAATAGACGAGTTCTTCATATAGTGATTTCAAGTAATTGTTATGCTATTATTAATTGTTAAGAAAGAAAGAAAAAGAAAAAGTTATTGATTGCTTGCTTGGTTGCAAATCATGTATGATAGGTGCATTGGCATAATTGTATGTATAGCGATTTATAATATGTGTTATGCTTACTGAGTTTTGAAAACTCACCCTCAACTTCAAATGTTTTGTAGATAATACAAAAGCTAGATCATAGAAGAAAGACGATAGATTTTTTGGATTTGAAGGTACTACTCGGACATTATTTTGCTTCCTCCGGGTATAGGACATGGTTGTTTCAAATTTGTACTCATTGTTCATTTTGAAATTGTAATTAGTCATTATATATTTTATTTCACTTAGTTGCTCCACTAGTAGCATCACCAAATACGAGAGATAGCTAGTTAAGGGTCTCCATGTTTTGTATTTGGGTGGTTAAATGGTGATTTATGAATTTTGTTATGTTAAATATTAGATTATGTTTTGTTAGTCAATTTAGTAAATACGGAGATTTATGAGGAAGTGTGAATGTCCAATGGAGGGACTTGATGATGATTGAGAATTAATGAAGATGATTTGAAAGTGTATATATATATTGTGATTTTTATGCGGGATATATATTATTTTTGGGATCTTTCAATTATAGGGGAAATGCTTATCGAAATTTCGTAGAAAATAAAAAAAAAATTAAGGATCACATAGCCTGTGGTGGGTCACCTCACCCCTGGCTACGTGCCAATTGCAGCTCGATAGTTCGGGTCGTGACACCTTCTTCTCTCGTCTCACTCAAACCTTTACAGATACACCAAATCCCCAGCCCCAAGTTTTCAATTAATCCACCACTCTCTTCCCACTAGACAAAACCCTAATAGCCCTAGACTAATTCGTCCAGTAAATCAACTCAAGATAGGGTTCCATGATGACAGTGTCACTGTCATCGATCGGTCCTGAACCAGCTTTGAGAGCGAAATTTTAGCGATTTAAAAAAAGAAAACGAGTAGCTGGAGATGAGGGCTTGCCTCGTTCGCCCAATGTGTGGTTTGCGGAGGTGGCTGACTAGTGATGGTTGCTGGTTCGTTCCATCAAAATGGGTGACTTGCAGGGATGAGCAGCCAATTATAATTTCTAGTTCAAAGAACCCAGTGGTAACCGTGCAAGAACCAGTGACCCTTCCCCAAAAAAAATCAGTGTTTTTTGGCCCAATTCATAGCCAAATGAAATCCTAAAATCCTCTCTGCCTTCTTTCCAGCAAGCAAAGAAGAATTGGAAATCCCTTTGCACAAAAAAAAAAAAAAAAATAGAAGACCCTAATTTCTCTCTCAAAACCTCCCTAAATCCTCTCTGAATTTTCTCTGCCTTTTCTTCTCCAGAAAGCAAAAAGGATTTCAAAATCCTTTTCCACAGAGAAACAGTAGGAACCCTATTTTTTCTCTCAAAAATTTCCCACAATTCCTCTCTGCCTTTTTCCTCTGCATGGCATAGAAATTAAAGAGACAGTGCAGCTTTTTATGAAGAAGTCATTTATCAGAGTGCAATTTGGTTATTCATTAGCTGAATAGTAACTTTTATGGTGCAGGAACAAATACTAAAAGGGAGATATTAGCCCTACTAGTAAATATTAAATTACTTTCCAGTTGATCACTGGAAAGCAATATCATGAAAAGAAAAATAAAGAAATTCTCTTTTTCCTTTTTTTTCTGACGAGTTAAGAAATTCATTTCTGATGAAATCAAGATTAATTAAAGGGCCGAGCCACAAGTAGAAATAAAATTAACTATGCAGAAATGGTTCTTAATTAAGAGAGAAAAAAAGTGGCAATTAAGTTAATATGATCAACACTCCAGAATCCTTAAAAAGTAGTAGTAAGTAATATACTAAATATGCCCGAAAGACTCAACTGATCTCTCCAAGGTTGTTAATTCTCATACTCAACCCCATCAAACACAGCAACAAACCCCTCCATCATGAAACACCGCATCGCACTGTCTGGTTGTTGTCTATACATAAAATTTCTGACCCCTACACCTTGTTTTTTGTTCACCATCTTTGGTTGTTCATAACAATCCACTGTGGCTGTGCTCCTTTCATTATCTGCCTCGTATTGAGGACCTAATCTTTTCAATTCATTGATTTCTTTCTTCAATTCCTTAAGCTCAGCTTCCAACTTGTTTGTCTTCTCTTTATAATCATTCATCACTCTCTCTTCTGTCTTTGCAATTGATTTTGAAACGATGTCATAAATTGGCCCCCCACCTTAATTATAAGAAAAATAAATTAATTAATCACATGGGTGGTGACCGGGCGGTGAATATAAATAACAAGTAATGCAGTGAATTATTGTGTACGTACCAGGAACAGATTTGACGCTTTCGCGAGCGGCAAAAACTGCAGCGTTTTTTACACAATTGGTGGCCAAATGGCCCATCATGGACCGGGTTTCCTTGTCTTGTAGTTGCTGGTTTAACTTGGGGATGGCGTTGCCTCTGATGGCGGTGTCGATGGTGGTAACAGCAGCACGACCGTAAGAGTAAGAGGTCCAGCATATGTTCTTTGCAGGTGTTATTGCATGCCGATTCACTGAATCGGCTGTTGAAGTTATGTGATCCCAGATCCCCATTTCTCTCTTCGCGGAACACTGTTAGCGAGAGTAAAGCAAGAGTAGAGAAGACTAGTCAGGTGGTACGACTTTGGGAAAGCGCGAGTGTTTTTTTATTACTTTTAGAAAAGGTAAAACCTCGAATCAGCTCCTGCGATCTTATCCAATTCCCAATTTCATCCTAAAACTAAAAACCAATTATCAGTTACATCCCTAATTTTTCTATTTGATATATATATATATATATATAAAAATTCAATTTTTTTAGATTTCAATCTACCTCTTTAAATTGATTTATGACTTAAAACTACTATAAACATACAATTTTTTTAAAAATAAATAATATAAATACAAGATTGAAGATCTGGTAACAAAAGAAATCAAAATAAATTAGAGACAATTATGGCTTTCTCTCTCTTTTTCTACATTTAGGAATCAAATTACAATATAAATAAATTTAAAAATTAAAATAAAAATTTTGAAAACATAAGTGATCAAAGTACAATATAAGAAAAACTTGAATATAAACGTCTCGTTACCACCTAGAAATCACTAAAATATCATTACGTCGTACTATGACTCTAAATAAATATTAAATAAATAATATTTTATGAGTGCGTGAATAGTAAATAGTATAAATTGTTTAGCTTGTTTTACTAGTTAGCTTCCCATGCTGGAACGAAATATATTTATTTTAATTTAATAACATGTATTATACTATTAATCAATTAAAACATAAAAAATTAAACATAAAAAAATTATCTAATTATATAATTTTTAATTTTTATTTCATTTATTCTTTTTCATGTTTGTCATCGATTTTGTAGTTAAATAAACACAACTTTTATTATTTTAAATTGATCTCTTTAATTTGTCATTTTTTACGAAATTCTCTTCGAACAATCTTTTATTCTTCTTTTTTTTTATGTTAATAAATATAATTTATTTTCTTTATATACGAACTTTTGAATAATTTAAAAAATCAATTAAAAATTAGAATTGACGTGTTTTATTTACTTATTTTTTATATAATCAAAATATATCAAAATTAATTTTATAATTATTTTTATTCCAGTCTACTAACTTCAATATATTTCTTATAATTTGAATTTTATATATATGTATGTATGTATATATGGATTTATCTCTATCTCGTGATTAGTCCTTATATAGTTTCTATTATTTTAATTGAGAACTTTTATTATTTTTCAGCTTTATTAAAGCCTTCTATTTTTTAAAAATTTGTTTATTGCGACCCTCTATTATAACATCATTAATTATTTATCTTACGTGGCAAGGTTTATAATTTGCTGCCATTCATGAAGTTCATGGACAATATATATCAAATTTAGGCAATTCGGATGGTGAATCAGGGTCTTCAACCAAGGATACTCTAGCTAACTTGCCATGGTTGAATTCAGAGAACGAAGAAGTCACTACGGTTGGGGAATATTATGGGCAATACCAAAGAAAATTGGTGCATCTATGCATGGACTCCCAGCCATTTTCTGATAATTAACTTAGCATGCCGTCCGGTTTGGCAATGGTTTGCTCTTTAAAGTAACACTGACACCCATTTCACAGGGTGATCCATATTGCCAATTGAAGACCATGTCCTGGTCAACTCACCCTGACTGCATATTCAAATCTGAAAATTGACTTGGATTCCTATGCGGGGTTTGAAATCAAAATGAACAGAGGGATCCAACTGCCCATATAAACACTTCCAGCTGAACAACTTCTGGTAAAATTTTCTGTTGCAGAGAAAATCACTATTAAGGTTGATCTGTGTTCTTGAGCTCATGTCAAAAATTTCCACAGTAACTCAATAAAGAACATATAAATTATGATAGGAATACACAGTAACATAGTCATTCGTTTGTACTTTTGTAAAAGCAAAAGAAATTGATTTGAATTATGGTACTGATTTTCAAGTCACCTTCAATGACATTTTTGAAAAATAATGCTAATTTTATATAATTATCTTGAGGGTCCACATTGCCATGTGTTTTTGTATGATTAGTCTGTTGTTATTTTTAACTTGTCGCGCAAGATGAATAGTTAACGACATTATAATAAAGGATCTCAATCAACAAATTTGTAAAAATAGAAAGCTTCAATAAACTTGAAAAATAATTGAAGGTCTCAATCGAAAAAATTAAAACTGTACAAGGATCAATTATGAGGTAAATCCAAAAACAATGAAATTATTGATCTTATTAAAAATTAACTATGCACCTATATATATAACACAAATTGTTTCCTATTAAAACTTTTTTAATAGTATAAAATTAATTTCATAACTTTTAATCAAAATTTTATTTTTAACTCTTTTTTTTCATAAATTTTATGGATGAAAAACATGTAATAATTTAAATAAAAAATTAATATAAAATTTAAAAACATCTTAACGTGTTTTCATAAGATTGCATCAAAAAAATAAAAATAATTAATATAAAAACTTGCATAAAAATTATGTTGCTTTTTTTTTTTGAAAATATGTAAATTTAATTTATAGATATTTATTTAAAAATAATCAATAATATTAGTATAAAAAATTATATTTGAATTGTTTGTTGGTTCTTCTAAAAATATTATTTTAAATATTTTATTTGAAAATATTAATTTTAGAATATCAAAAAAAAAAAAAAAGCAAATCATTGGTGTTATGTGCATAGATTCATAGTTAATTTTTAATAAAACCAATGATTCTAATTTTTTTTATATACATCTTGACTATACCCGATGAGAACGAGTAAATCACGGTATGCAATGTAAATAAAAAAATATTAAAAAAAAATTAGATTGTAAAGAATATATTGAAGCTAATAGATTGCAATAAAAACAATTATAAAATTGATTCTGATAAATTTTGATTATATATAAAAAAAGAAAATAAAACACGTAAATTTTATTTTTTCATTGATTATTTGCTTTAAAAAAATTCATAAATTCATACATAGAAAAAAATAAATTATATTTATTAATAAATAAAATTACATAAAAAGAATAAAAAATTACTTTGATGATAATTTTCATAAGAAATAGCAAATTGAAAAGATCAATTTTACATAATAAGAGTAATATAATCCAAAATATATATTCATTCTAAAATCTGAAAATCTATCGTATATATTTTATAATCGACAGCATATATGGAAAATCAAAAAAAAAATTGATTTTTTTTATAATTTTCACACTCAATTCAATAATAAAAAGAGTATACTCGAAATAATAATTTCGATCACATTCGCCCAATCTCCTTATGTGTAACGATCACTTGGAATGCCAAAACAACACTATTTTGACATTCCATTGTTAATTATGTGTTTTTTTAAAAAAAATATTTTAAAAATATTTTTAACCCTCTTAATCTTGAACTTTTTTAAAAACTTTTTGTTCTTATAAAATATTATAAACATCTATAATATTTTTAACCCTTTAATTTTGAACTTAATTTTTTTATATATATAAAATGTTATTGTAAAAAACATAATTAATAATCCACAATTTTAGGCCTTAAAAAAAGATTTTATAAACTAAAATGAGTATAATTAAGGGTTGACCTCCCTAATTTTAGAAATTATAAAAAAATTAAAAAAAATTTATAATATTTTATAAAAAAATTCAAAATTAGAGAGGCTAAATATATTTATAAAGTTTTTATAATTTATTAAATTTTTATAATATTTTATAAGAATTTTTTTTTAAAAAAAGTTCAAGATTAGGATATTAATATTTTTTTAATAACATAATTAATAACGAATTTTTAAAACAACATCATTTTAGCATTCTAAGTAACAATCAATTGGGGATTTGGAGTGACCGTTACACATAACGAAAATTAAACAATTTGAATCACATTTGTTTAATTTTTAATATTTTTGGATTTAAATTATGTGATTTGATATTATAAACTCAAAATTATCAAATAGCAATAGAATGAGATAAAATTTATTATTTAACCCAATTGATTAAATAATGCAAATGAATATGAATGAATAGTAAGATAAATAGTGATTCATCCCAAATCTTTTAGTTTTTACCATATTTTTACCTATAGTGTACATAATATATAAAATTATTTTCAAAAATAATTTGAGTTTGATGGTACGTATTATGTTACGAGTCTACTAAAATATATCAAATCAAAAGTAAAATCAAAACTATTTTTTTAATTGTGCATTTAATTAATTATTCATTGTGTTTTTCATAATTTTTTTTGGCTAAAAAAAACATGGTTTATTCTTTTATATCCGGATTCTTAACTAAAAACTTGTGAGAAAATTCAAAAATTCACGGATTTTTAACTAAAAAATTTTATTATAATTTTTTTCAAAAATATATGAGACAAATTATATATATATATCATACTTTTATCATTTAAAAAATTTAAGAGCAAATAATCATACTCTGAAAATTCATTATATATATTTAACCATGCTATACCATTTAAAAATTAAAAGAATTTTTCATATAAATTATATCAATTTTTTAAGAGCAAATAACAATATTCTAAAAAATCATTAAAAAAAATCTATACATAGATCTCTCTCGTGCTCCCTTTTCTCTCTTTATTTCTCTCTCTCCTTAGCAGTTAGAGACTAAATTATAATACAAATAAAATTATAGATCGAAATAAAAATTATTAAAAAAAAGATACGAACGAATAATATGAGCTAAATTTTACATATAAAATATCTGAAAAAAACCTCAAAATTACTACAAAAAAATTTAAAAACATATGAATAGTATTGCAAATGAAATAAAAGTCTTAAAAACACTTAAAATAACAAAAACATTATTTTTTGGAATCATAAAAATACTATTAAGTGAATAGCTTTATGTGTGTGAATATATATATATATATAGATGTCACGCTATTCCTCGGTTCTGCATGAAAGAAACCCCATAACTGCTGGCCCACAAAAGTCAGGACTGGACGCATTTATGATGCCTTAGACCAGGTTTTTACAGCTTCTCAATCCCAAAATATCTATAGCAGTACAGTAACTATAACACCAATTGAAGCGCCACTGAGAAGCTACTGTAACGCATTCTAAAAATAAGCTAAACAGCAAATGCAGATTACAATTTCACTCGAAAAATTATATGATTGTTTGATTACTCAATCCACTGTATCGGGAACCAAAAAAGGACAGAAGAAGCTACCGCTAGCCTTTCTTCTCTTAATGCTTGGATCTGCCCCAGTATTTGCTGATTTAATTCCGGAAAAAATAAACAACTCTTTTTGCTCATTTCATTGCTGCTCTTTAACAACAGTAATATCCATCACTCACTACAACTTGAACGATGGCGTCCCTTCATTGGTCAGCTTACAGGATGTTGCAATTTCCAGGATCCCTATAAAGGCAAAGATGAAGTCATCGGCCATATGGCAAAATAGAGATTTCTCCGTTTGAAGATGCGCAAATAAGCGGGAAGTACCTCTTTATGTCTTCGTAATTGCTCAAAGCTTGCTCGAATTTAAGCCAAAGGGGACCAGTCTCTTGATGGTTCACGTTCTTTGGCCCAGAAAGATAAGCTGGAACGACAAACTGTGGAGTTCTTTCCCTGTTTTACAAGTTACAACTATCAATGAATGAGACACAATCTATCATCAAGGATTACTCATTACAATTCAGATTTCATGGTGATCGAATTCACCTCCCTTCATATTCTGATAACCAAGCCAAATAGGCCGCACCAAAATACATAGACACAAATGGCTTGGTCAGATCATCAGCAGAATCTACTCTGTAAGCCCGATAACCCAACTCCCTGAGAACAAGGAGAAAAAACGAGCACATTTTTAGCAATGGTCTTAAGAAACGACGGAAAACCAGATACAAAAGAAAAGGTCCATCTCATATATTCATGAATAATATATTTGGTGCTAGGAGTCTTATAGCGCTTTGCACTCAAAATGTGCACTTCCTTATAGTTAAAACTCGATCACGATAGGTATTAAACGAATAAGAAGATTCTACTTTCATTAATGTCAAATTTCTTAGGAAAAGTGAGAGCAGGCCCCATGGAATAGCCTCAGCACTCAATCAAAATGCAGCATAACAAGCTAGCAAGGCCAAACTTGTTTAATCTGTTTTTACCAAGAAGTCAAATGCGTGTGTAATTTTTTTTTCAAAAAAAGTTTTATGTTAACCGATACAACCTAGAATTTCAAAAGCTTTAGTTCCAGTATTTGCGTACATGTAAAGCCAGAAAGCTGTAGAGTAGTCAATTCCCATTAATCCGGTTCGCGGACCAACCCCATTCAGAAAACGCATGCTAACCATCTCAGCAAGAGCACAAAGGACTGACTGCGCAGAAAATAAGTATCAGGGAAAAAGAACACGAAACAAAAATAGAGCAGGATACAAATTCAAGAAAAATGAAAATCAGGCAAGAATATAATGTCCAAGAACTGAAACAAACCATAAGAGGAATTTCAGTAACCTTGTTGACCACTCAAATCTCTGGAGAATTTTCAAATCTGGGTAAGAAAGCAAGATTTGATACCTTAGCAGATCGGTTTTATCTAATACTAGCCTCTACGTTGTTATTCCCCGAGGAATAAAATCTCAGGTAAACCAATGACTCCAGCACCACTGCTTACGTCAAAACTGAGCAAAAATCACAAATTGGGCACATCCTTGTAACATTATCCTCTGTTTCCAACAAATTGAGAGCAAAAGAGAAGACAGACGTGTGATTTAAGATCGTCTATCCATTCCCACCATCTTATTGATCAGAAAAATATTTTACCCCATTTCTCTTCCTTGGAGGCCCTTATAGTCTTATAGAGCAATACTGGACGAGTATCTTCTGTTAATCTGAATACGAGTTCCAACATTTTTAGGGGAGCTTGTATGCTATAAAAAAGCACATGACGTAGGACTTGGCCTACCATAAGATGCCAGTTCTATTTTGAGACTTTGATTGCGTCCAATCTACATGACTTAATTGCCTCAGCAGGAGGGACGGATTGTATGTACCGTCCTTTAGGTTTTGCTAGAGCCTCCAACCTTAAAAGCTCAAGCTATTGGGGGACCCAGTTCCTAACACAAAATCGGATCACAACCCGTAGCAAATGAATGTGGGATCATCCACTCTACAAGGAGGCAGAAGTGAATAACGACTAATAAATACCTCTAGGAATTGGAAATAAAAGAGAAGAACAGAAACACAGAAAGAGAAAAAGAAATGCGAATTGGCAATATAATTGCATCTTGTTACAGTAAAAGGAACTTTTACTAGCAAGGATATATACTCACAGGTTTAACTCCCCTTGTACTGAAGTGCTTTGAAAGAATTATGTGTGCAACTGCCTGCATGAAGTCGGTATTGGTGATTTGAGAAATAATTATTGGTTTATTTCACATTCGTAAAAGTGTAATTTAAGTTAAAATGTGGGAGAGACTTTCATCAATGATATGATATGAGACCTTTAATAAAACGACCATAAAGATGATATATAACATGAAAGATTCATGCACTATCAGGACATCAGCGAATTTTTGGTTTTACATTCTTCCTAAGCTGCAGGCCAATATGCTAAAGTCATTAGCCTTCAACACAAAAATCATGGATGTTACTTAAAGGCAAGCCTATTATTTTTACATAAATAATTTAGAGGAATTTTCATGTCCATTTATTCATACCTTCATTTCTACCCGAGATAGATACGGTTTCTTGTCCTTATCATGTGAAAAGCGCACCTTTCCTCTTTTTTCTCCAGATTTCGTCCACTCTTTTGCGACTTCAGAACGACTCCACATCTCTTGCATGTCTTCTGGGGAAGCTTTAGAGTCCCAATAAATATAATCAACACCTGTTTCCTTAAAGCAGAGGGAAATTAAAAACTGAACAAAACCAAAAAATCTTTTAAGAAACAACTTGGAAAGGAGGAGAGCTTGGCTTCATTCAGGATAGTTGATCACTTGATTGACACTATCTAAATATTTAAGAGAACAAATTTTAATGCAAATTGGCATTATCTCTACTCAAGATGTGATCTTTCCATATATATGACTTCATAACAACAAAGAGAGCATCTTATGTTCAAATACACCACCATGTCGACTAAAACCATGTTGACCAAGTCAACTCCAATAGTAATTGTTCTGAGCACGTCGATTTTATATACTCCACTAGAGAAAGGCGTTCATGTTATTGAGTTATTATATGCTCTCAAAAATACCACGCAATTGTGAAGTAAATCAAGTTGAAAAGAGAAAAGTGAAACGTCATGCATATGAAGGCTGGAAAATATAACATGACAATTAATACATTCCATAAGTAAATATTTACACTTATTTTCTTTTCCCAAGTAATTATGCATTATGCAAGCAAAAGTCTATAAGAATATATATTCTCAGATGCAAAATGATTCCTGAAGGTTCTGAATGGGCAGTTTCTTGAGTAGCCTAAGGATTAATATATGGATCAAAAGACCACTGAACTACATTCTCATGTATGAATAGGATTTTTAATTCCCCTAATACTACAATCACCTAAAAGTTTAGCTTGAGTTGCATTTGGCCTTAATCTGTTGTTCGAACAAGATTCTGGCACATTTACAGTGCATTCCATGGTCCTTCAATTAGATGAGAACTGAGAATTTAATTGGACCTGATCCAAGCATTATGAAGAGCATGAATACCATTGCAAGTAAGCTTAAGTGAGAAAAGGACAACCTGTATTTTGTGAAGAAGGTGCGTTTGTATTTTGTGTAGCAGGTACAGCTTGAGCAATTGAAGAACTAGCATTGTTTACTGAAGGACTTTCATTGAAAAATCTTCTGCATAATGACAATACAGTTTACACAATTTCAAACATAATGTATCTATTCTTTTAAAACGTTGCCTCTTAAATTTACAAGCACCGATCCTGCTTTATAAAATTAGTAACAGTCATGGTATTACAACCTTTTTGAGTGCAAAACCTGTTACTTTAATGCAATCGTGCATCTTGTTTCCAGACCAACCATCAAAAGCAACCGCAAGTGTTTATCTTGCCTATGCAATTGTAAAATTTATCTTGTCGCTGATGTATTGAGTAAACGAGAAATATGAGCTCAATTAAAAAAAATGTAAAACAGAGGAACGTTGTGTTTTTTATATTCTCTCAGCTACTTCAGAGATGGCAGTAATAGCAGAACCATACGATACATTTACGCAGATTCCCGAGTGTGTACTAAAGACCTTCACCATTCAGATAACCAGAATCGGCAGAACAAACAAAAATTCAAATTGAAAATTGGGGGGAAAAACACAAATTTGCCAACTATTAAAAAAGACAAGGAAAGGAAATGTTCGAACAACTCCAAGAAAAGACTTTGTTGCATGTACAGTAGAAACAGAAGGTTTTCAAGCAGACGAGTGCACTGGAATTTCCAATTCACTTTTTGAAATTGTTCAGAAAACAATTTTGGAACTACTAGGATTCCAGAGTCAAGTGAGGAGAAGTAAAAGATAACAAATAAAGGAGGAAAGAAAAGAGAAATGCAGGGCATATAGGATTCATAAACAATCATCAAGTAATACACAAGAAAAACTATCACCTGGATGGGAGACTTTCTTTGACTGAAAGGTACCGTTTCCAATATTGCAGAGTTGATTTGTGAGTTGCTTTTTTAGTACCACCATGATACGACCTAACTACATACTCTTCACTTCTTTCTCTGCAAGAGACCTAGAAAGTTAATTCCTACGTCAATCAAACTCAAAATAGAAGCTTTGTCAATCAGTTAGCAAAAAATGTTTGCATCAAGACAAATATATGCATAGAGCCGTCAAACAGCACAAATAGATAATTGAACCAATGGCATCTCTGATCGATAACTTACATTTCCTCGAAGTTCGATAACCATTTAAGATAAGCAGCGCCTAAATATACGCTAACAAAAGGTCGATATAGGATGTCTGGATTTCCTTCTACTTCATATGCCCGATAACCTAAGTCCCTGCCAGCAAGATGCAGTTATAACTTCAGCAAGCCAGAATAAATTTAACATTAAAAGGATTCGCTAACAAGGAGCTCAATAAAAAATCAGAACATGTATTTGGTACCTGACCAGCCACTCTGCTGTTTTTGGTAAAATTTGCATGATCCCCAGCGCTGTCTCCTTAGTTTTCTTATCATACCACCGTGTAGAGAGGGGCTGTCTGTCACTTGCAAGTTCAGCTATAGCACATATCATGTCCTGCAGACAAAGGGAATGGATGAGAAATAGAATCATGAAGTTAGCTTCTCAAATCTTAATTACTCATTAATGTTGCCAAATTGCAGTTATGAGGTCACACAATTCTTCCCGAAACCAAAAGTTTGTTCAAGGATAATTCAGAAAGCAGTAGGCAGATAACTTAGGTTTTGTTTTATGCTTATCTACTTCACAAAAAGCAACACGAAAAAACAAAAAGTTAACTGAATTTGCAGCGATTGAAACTAAAAATATGATTCACTTAACATTTGGTCCATTGACAACTTGTTGTAAAGATGTGAGGAGTAAAGCAGAAAATAGATATCAATGATGAATTTTTCGATTGAACCGACCAATCTTCACACCTAGTTTGATATACGAACAAGTCATGAAAGTGTCTCTAGTCCTGTGCAGATGCTATTTTCTTTCTTTACCATGCTGCAAGCTATAAAAGTGTTGCAGGCACGGCATGAAACGGGTAGGGTGAAGGTCGGATCACTTCTTTTCTGTTACTATTAACAGGAAGTTGAATTTGGAAGCCAGTCCAATTTTGTAAAGCAATTCAGGATAGCTGGCTTCTCTGTGTCTCGAACCAACAAACTTGAAGGTGTTCGTGAAGACTTTATCCAATTAGCGGATTTATAAGCTGTTTCTGTCAGTCTATTGGTAACCATTACCCAGCTTTAGCCTCTTTGTGAGCAATAGAAGGAGTTAAAAGAAGTAATTTATGAGAGCATACCGGCTGTATCTGTGAATCAAAATGTCTATGGACAATAATATCAGCTACAGCCTGAAGGAATACAAAATGAACGTATGATTAGAAAACAAGATCAAAACCATATGGCTTGCATCTAAGAACTCGTCAAATTCAAAAACTTGCCTTCTTCAAATTTTTGAGAAATCAAATACAAGAAAAGCCACAGGTGAAATTAACATCTCAAATGAATAGGCACGCAACTATGTTTCAAACTCCAAAAAATTTAAAAAGATGAAAGGCAATTATCATTATGATGCTGCTTGAAGAGATTACTTCATTAGCAAGTGGATTGCATCATTTTATACATGTGAATTTGATGAATATAACACAAAGCATCTACAGTTGTCTTTGAAGTAGATGACGGGTTGTTTTTACCTTCATCTCAGTCTGTGTCAAATAAGGCTGTCCATCAGGATCCCGTGAAATGTGAACTTTATTTCCTTTAGCCTCTCCAGCATCTAACCATTCGGTGCTAACTTCAGGTTCCCGCCACATTGCTTCCATGTCCTGGGCATCAACGCAATCATTCCAATAATCGAAGCTAGCAGCCATCCTGGAGCCTTAGTACTAATTTACAAAAAGAAAATTACATCATCAACAAAGAGAGTTTCAAGGTGCAATTACTACATCAAAAAAGAAACTTTGTTGACTAAATTGAAAAGGTCTTTCTATGGACAAGGCAATAGTTGCTATGCTGAAGCTAGAGATTCCGAAGAGGAAGGAATGCATGTAAATAACAAGAAAAAGATTGTAATTCTGCCGATATCACATCAGGCACACTTGATTTTCAGGCTTGCAGGAAATACAAGTATAACATCATAGCTTGACCACACAACATAGCTCTGAGAAGAATGCTGCAACTTAACTTTAAGGTGTATAGAAATGCCGTAAAGAAACAATTCACTGCAGAAATGGGGAAACAAAAATTGATTGGAGAACTTCATATGCAATAAGGCTTGTAGAATTCCAACACCGATAACATGACAATAATTAGTAAGCGAAAGCAATTATCAATACTATGTGGGCCTAGCATTCAATTTATCAACCTATTCTTTTGAATCTAATCAAACTGTTATCTGGTACACCAGAGCTATTTGAACGAAGAAAAATAGATGAATTGTCCCTGTACAGTGAGATATTTGAAACAAAAAAATGGTAAAGGGAGAAATAGTCCTCAAGTTCTCCATCATTATGATACGTTTGACAGTAAGCAATCAAAACATACACAACTCTCATATGTATCTAGGAAAGAATTAGTATTCATTCCAGATTCTAAATAGGCAAGAAATGAGGACAAGCCAGCGAATTAAAAAATATAGTCTACTTGGGCAATTCCCAAATTAAATTGGCAAAAAAACTGTGCCGCTTTACTAGATATGTCAACTATTTAAGACCAGATGATGAATGTCGCAAAACAAATTAATTCTTCAATATACAAAATTTAAAACCGAATGGCACATAAGGAGAAGAAACAATTAATGGATCCTTGTTTGAAATCAGACATAAAACTAACAACCAATACAATGCTGCATTACATACGATGAAAAGAATTAAGGTGCATTTGGAAGTACCATGTAACAAGATCAGAAAATTTATATTTTATACATAGCATTTGAAATTGTTTCATTTTCTTTCTTCTTTCTATCTTCTTCTTCTTCTTCTTCTTCTTCTTCTTCTTCTTTTCCTTTCCTTGATGACATTCAGAACAAAATGGTCCCCATACATTTTTTACAACTATCTAACAATTCGTTGCAACTAGCCAGTAAAATAAAGGCCATTTACATTTATAAAAAATTAAAACAGCGTCCCAATTCTATTATTTAGACAAATTATGTATTCTTGAATTCCAGACAACAACTTTCAAAAGTCCACAGAATATGAAAACCTATTGCCCTTACATTCATTTAACCAAAACCCATTAGCAAATTTTCCAATCACAAAAAAAATAAAAATAAAAATAAATAAATCTGACAGACAAAAAGCGAAGCAAAAAAAAGAAGAAGAATCAAGATTACGGAATGAGAATGAGAGGAAGTCAATAACCCAGATAATCAACACTCGTTGTATCCATCATTCATGATCTGATTATAATATAAAGAAAGAGAGAGGGGAGAGAACTATGTACGTACAAGCTGGCTCAGAGTTAGAGGTTCTCTTTCCGTTCCCTCTCTCTTGTATTCCGTAAACAAAGAGAAAGGAAAAGAAATCCACCTGGAGATGTTAATTTCTTTTCCCTCAGTTTTTGTTTTGGAACAGAAAGTGAAAAAAAAAAAAAAAAAAAAACAGATACAGATCACAAGAAAGTATATAAAGACTGAGGGTGGACCATTGTTGACGGGAATTTATCCATCCCTAAATACATGAGTACCTCTGTCGCCCTCCCGTTTTGTGTGTCTCTGTGTGTAGGGGGTGCGGTTTTTTTCGGGTGGCCAGGTAATTGGTGTTTTGTTACATTGCTTGCAGAAGAGGGGAATGTTGAGAGAAGGACACTTGGCAAATGCCACCTTGTAATCTCTGTCTTGGTGAGAAGGCAGTACCAAACTTGGCAATAAATATATTTTAATGTAACAAAAAAAAATTGAAATTTTTAGGTTAAACGTATTGTAAGTATAAAGAAAAACTATAGAGAATATTGACTTTTTTGTTAATGAAGAACAAAAAATAAAATAAAATAATTAATTTTCTTTATCAATTAAGAGTATTTTAAAACGTATACTATTTAAATTTGTTTACCATATAAAAATTTTGAAACATATATACATATAAAGAAAAATTTTCTTTGAAAAAAAAAAGAGTGTAAAAAATGTAACAAGAATGCATTAATTACTAAGAAGAAGAAAAAAATACACGGTCATTGCGTGCTAGATCATATAAAACGAAACCTAGTCCTAATTATGAACAAATGAACATATGTAATCAAGAATCCATCCTGTTTCTACGTCCTAGCACGGTGGTAGGATTCAATATGACCAATGACTAATGTAATTGTATAGAAAAGCACTTCAAGTACGTCTGTTGTTCGAATTTTCTTATTATTCTACTATCATAATCCGGTGTCGTCGAAAGATTTGCTTGACTCATGTACTTGGGAGTCATGCATGTACTTTCAATTGTTTTATGAATAATTTTTTTATCAGTTTTGACAAAAAATAAAAAAAGTCCTACCATTGGTTGGGATTTTTTTATCTCTTTCTTTTAAGAATAAAATGACGTCAATTTGGTTAAGAATGAAAAAAAGGGAAAAATGTAAACGTAAAAATGTATCCATTATCTACTCATTTGGATTTTTGTTTTTAAGTTAGCAATGGCACTATGGAAAGTGGGATGGCCGAAATGTATAGTTTTGTTTTTGAGGGGGCCATTTCATATAAGCACCCTTGAAAATTTTATAAATTCTAGGGTGATTTTTTAGAATTCTTAAAACTTTGGGGCCAGGTTTAACACTACATTATTGTTTTGGTCGATGATTGTGTTTGCATGCATGCCTCCTTAATTGCATAACAATGAACGACATGGTTGACTTAGCTTCTACTGTTGTATACGGGGAGTACCAATGATTGAGGAAGCAGCCTAATGCGGCCCTTCGATCAAAAAAATAATATAAAATTGATCCATCATTATTTGGAACGAGGCTAAATAATTTTAGAGTTAAAAAAAAATCAATTTATTCATAAAATTGGCACATAAATGTCGAGAGCGCCATCAGAATACTCTTGTTGCTGTCGTTTTAGACAGTGCAAGTCAATCCCCTCATGTTGAGAAATTTTATAATATACAATTAGTAATTAATGATATATACAATAATTATTTCATTGAATTTATTTTGAAAAATATATATATAAAAAAAACAGAGACAGAAGAGAAAAATAAAAAAAATTTAAACGAACATAAAAATTGTTTTTATCATTTTTTATGAATCCAAATATAATTTAATATATTTATTTTTTAAAAAATAAATTTATAAAATAATTATTATATCTATTACTACTAGTTACTCGTGTAAACAAATTGAAAGAGGTAGGAAAGAAAAGGAATGCTCTCAGACCCCTGAGGCTTCCTAGTGGTCTGCGTGGGCTTTTTCAACTTAACGTTTTTCAACCCCGTTCTCCGTTGTATTTGGTGATTGGGCTTTAATTCTCAAAAGAGTGACTGTGAGTTGGGCTTTAAAGCTCACTGTCCCATATTCATACTTTTTCTCTCTAATGGAAAGAATCCCTCTAGCGGTTAAAAAGACATGGGATTTTCATAAAGTTTTCTGGTTTAAATCCTAAATAAAAGTGGCAGAACGAGGATTTAGATTTTGAGAACGACTATCGTACCTTGTAGGCTAATACCCATTATATCTGCCATTGAACCAAAAAATACTACCATTTTGCTCGGGGTAAATTTGTGATGGTTTAAAGTAATTGGTCAAAAACCATCTTAAATTTTCAGTTAATAAACTAGTTGCTTATCTATTTTTATTTGGATCTAGGTCTTGAATTTATTTTTTGGCTAGCAATGTAGTCATTCCTGCCAGAATTCCATCCATCCAGCAAGTTTAACTACACGTACAATCATGTGACTTTTCAGTATCATGAAAAAAATTAATTCGACCAAACAACCCTAAATTTCCCTCTTTCCTTCTTCTTTCATGTTCTTAATGTCACCATACGCTTTCTAGTCATCCATGGCCACTGTCACCAACGTTCTCTCTCCTCTCCTTATTGCCACCATCTACCACAAGAGCGCTTTCTCTTCTCTTCTCTTATCTTCTCTACAAACACAATCTTTTCTCCCTCTTTTTTCTGCTATCGTAAACCACCTCTATCGTCTGTCTCCTCTCTACCATCGTCAACCGCCATTTTTTCTCTCTTCTCTTCTACCTTTAACAACCATCATGTTCGAAATGTCCTCTTGTTTTGTTTGATTGATTGTGTTCTTGTAAAACCTGGAATAAAAAAACAAAATTAAAATCTACAACAATTAACAGTTAAAACCCACAAATTAAAAGCAAAAATTTTCCGCGTGTTGAAAATAAAACACCACATAAACCACATCTAAACCAACTTAACTGAAGAGAGAGAATTCTTATCAGCATCCCATTTTTCAAACTTATGAATTTTCAATTCATCACATATTAAATCAAAACAGAAGCACTATGGCACTACTAGCAAATTTCTTTTCAATATCTATGTTGTTGATGGTGTTGTTGCTGTGAACTAATTGGGTTATTTTTAAATGCTATATGGTGTTTGGAGTCTACATTTTAACTTCTTTAGTTCATGGGGCCTTGCTGAGTTTCCTTCCTTTTTTTTTTCCTCTTCGTAAGAGAGGAGAAAAATCACGTGTCTCGTAGCATTATGACGGCGCGTCTCTAATATATTTAAGAACGAAAATCTAAACAACGGGATGATATACTGACAAAAAAAAAAAAAAGTTCAAAACCCCAAAGATTTCAAATTAAAATAAAAATAGATTAGAAGCTAGTTTTCTGTTAATTGACAATTCAAGATAGTTTTTAGTCAACTAGTCTATAAATTATAATAGCAAGTTTCACTATTCATGTGCAA